CCCCCTCCCCCCTCCTCGAGGGGGGGTCCCCTCCCCCGGACCCCCGGGGTCCCCCCCCCCTCCCCCTCCCCTGATAATTCACGCTGCTCTTTTCGTATAGTATAGGAATTGTCAAGATGTCAAAAACCCTTACCATTCTCTACCGAGCAGCAGCCCATTTGCGGCTGCTGTTTCTCGTGCCGGCTGCTTCGAGGTACTTTCTCCTCTCCTCCCGCGCGGCGTTTGTTATCGACCGGCCGGTATCGTGAGAAAAAAGTGTTTCACTGTAAGGATTTTGCAGGTTATTTGCATCACAAGTTTGATGTTCTACATGACAGGGAAAATTTGCCATGCAAGGTTCCTAAGGGAAAACGCAGGTCGTGAAAATCCACTGTCTTGGATGTGTAGCAAGACAAACACTTGTGAGATACATTTTTTGCATATGCAAGTTTACAGATGAAGCAGTTTTTTCTGGCGATAGCCGGATGTCGAAATTGCGTCGGACGTAGAACTTCCAGAAACCCGTTTACTCTCCCACTGCGACGAAATTTTTCACGGCATTTGGGTCGAGAAAGATCTAGAGCCGGAGAAAAATAATTACAACAAAATACACCGTGAAATTCGTGAAGAACGCGAACAAGTTTTCATCACTCGGAATAACCAAAAGTACAAATTGGTGAACAGAAAGCTGCTGAAAAACTTTATCATACCCCTATCGGATGCGAACCAGGAGAAATTGAACGCGGAACTCTTTTCAACCGACGAGGACTACTACTTCCCGAAATACCAAGCGCGCATGGGGAACAACCGCTACAAATCCCAGCCGAAGTTCTGGGTGAATGTCGAGGAAGAAAACTGTGAACTCTTTTTAAACGCGGTCAGCAGGCTCGCGGCGCAGAACAGAGCAGAGCAGTATCTGAATCGCAGGCAGCCCGTCGTCCGTGGTGCTGCGCGACCAGAAAGTGGCTATTTTTTTGCCCAGGAACTGGAAAACCAGGCGAATGCGTTTTTTCTCCAGGTATCCTGTGTAAAAAAGCAACTACGCCGTGTTTGCCATGGAGTTTTGCGTTTATAAAACGATACAATGTCGATATCCCGTGCTGTCATGCAGCTTCCCATAATGACATGCGAATTGTAGGGGTTGTGAGTTTTTGGCAATTCGTCACACTTGTCTAATTAGTATGGGAACATTTCTAACGCCGAAACGCAAGCTAATTTTGACTACACTACATCAACGAGGCTGTCACGCTTGACTTCTTCCAAAGTTCTACGATTTATTCCGTAGCACACTCCCTATCTTGTTGCCTATTGGGTTTAGAGGCGGTACGTTCTTACATTTGATACCAGGAGCTGCAAAATCGGGCGAATGCACTTTTGGGGGGAAAGGATGTGTGGTGGAATCCAACGTGGGATATCAAATGTAAAAATGTCTGGGTCTGGAAGACTGCCAGGTTTGTGTTGCATATTCTGCATCAGCCATGAAGCCTGTAATGCATGGCCTAGCATCACAGATTTTTAGAAGGCTTTGTGATGCCTATTCCGCATGAGAGATACCCTCTCCACGTGGCACAAACCTCGTCTTGCTGGTCATGCAATACAGATTTTTTTGGAATCCAAAATCAGCAAGACAAGTTGCATTCTTCCAGACCCAGACATTTTTGCATTTGATATGGGATTCCAAGCTGCAATACTACAAGCCCGCCATGGTCGGGTTTTTGAGTGTCAAAATTGAAACTGGAGGCGACACAACCGATTATGCAAGAAAAAAACTGTGTAAGTGTAAATCTGTGATGCAGAAAAAGTTACACTTCTCATGCTCGACATGCATGATCGGCTCGTTTCCTATGTACTTATGTGTTTTCCCTTCCTGTCTGCGCATAACAAGTTTTTCCTGTCACTGCAGACAAACTTGTGATGCTGTTTTCCCAAAAGACTTGCACTAAGACAGTTTTTTTCTTGGATGCCGATACTTCTAGTGCTACTAAGAAGAGCCTGTCGACGTGGTCGCCGTCCTATCTTTCCAGTGAAGCAGAAGTACACGGCGGGGGTGCAACTGCATCAGTCCACCGAAAAGGTGAAAACGCGGTGGTAAATCCATCGGCGGGACCGCGCAAGGGAGGTACAGCCATGGCCTCTTCCTCCTCGGGTGAACCTGCATCGTCGGACCCTGCAGCGTCGTCCAGCAAGGCTAAAGCGAGATTCCTGCCGAAGGTGTTGCCGGGAACATCGAAGAACCAAGAGTCTTCTACTTCTTTCCGCACTTCCTCCTGCTCCGCAACTGGTTCTGCGGTCAAGGGTATCAACTGTAAAAATGTCTGGGTCTGGAGGAATTCATGTTTGTCATGCTTGTCTGGCATGACTCTTAAATCTGTCATGCACGTTATCCAAGAGCTCCGTTTTTCTGTGATGCAGAGCCGCATTCTGTCATGCAGAATAGGCAACACCTAGGAGCTCAGAAACTTGTCATGCTGAGCCAGTATTCGTAGCCTCATCATGAGACGCCGACCAGCATCACAAGTTTCCAGACCCAGACATTTTTACTTTTGATAAAGGGAGGGCTAGACGTGTTCTTTCCGCAAGTCTCGCTGCAGATTGACTGGTATCCCTATCACGACGATGCTGGTGGAAAAAGTAAAAATTCCCCGTACAACAAGAACGACGCGGGCAATAACAGGAACAAGCAACCGCCGGTTTTTTGGAGCGAAGAAGAAAAGCGGTACATCCTCCGAGGGATTCCAGGAGGACCAAAAATTGGCCACGAGACGCCGGACAAAAAAACCGCAGTTCATCGGGGGCAGGAGGGCTGCACCTGTTCCAGCGGGGAAAGTAAAAACCCGGCTTACGACTTGCAGCGGCCACACGGGCGGTTTCGATGGGTCAAACACCTGCAATTCCGGTCGACGGAACCAGTATCGGAGGAATCTGGACCACCGGGGAACTACGCCAGTGGGTGGTCCGCTTCAGGGCCAACTCCGGCTGCTGCAAAGCCAATTCCGGCTGCTGCAAAGGCAATAGCTGCTGCTGGACCGCGATCTTCGAGGAAGAAGAACACCAGCGGGTCCTCCCGTTTAGCAGGGCGATCTACTTCTGCTACTCGTCCTCCGGGGACTTGCACTAGTGGGACCACAAGCCATAGTAGTACTTCAACTCCTCGCTCATCCGCCTCCTCCTCTCCCGCCGTTTCCGGTGCACAAGGGCCTTTCTTGGCCCCCGACCTCTCGGGGGAACAGGCTAGTGCTCTGCGCGGGCTGGAGCAAGTTTTGCAGCAACAAGAACATCAAGAGCGACAACACCAAGCTGTAGTTGACGTTGTGCCTAAGTACTTCGTTTGCCTCCACAGAAGCGCCACGGGCCGAAGAGGATGCACTGTCTATTTTCGGGAGCGAAATTTTAGACCGTCCGCATTCGCCGGGTGCGACGACGAACGCGAGTTTGTTTTCTGCGGGAGGTGGCGGAGAAGACGGAGGTCGCGGAGGCTTTCACGAGCATCAAGATCAGCTACACTCGGACCACGACGTCGGGGACCAACGAGGAAACATATTTGATCCTGGCCACACGATAAGAACTGCCGCGCCGACGTCGTATACAGGAGCATTGCAGCCGGAAGTAGAAGATTCCCGAGTCGTACTTGGTCGTGGTACAACTACAAGAACCGGGGATTTTGTGCAGGGACTATTTGTGCATCAAGACGAAATAGATAACCAGCACGGTGAACAAGAGGGAGCTTTGCGTTTGCCTAACCATGATCCTCATGTAGTTCCCTCGAAGAAGAAGTTCAAGAACCGGCAATTTTTATACAGCATGCCCGACGACGAGCCAACTGCGGTGAGAAGATCCTCCTGCGTTGCAGCCGCGGCTTCCAGCAGTGGACCTCCTCCACCTCCAGGACTGCTTTATCGCCATGACCAGGAAGGCTGTTTGATTCTTTCGACGAGCTATAGTACGGGTTCGAGAACCTTCGAAACTGGTGCTAGCTGTAGCGGAAGTTCTCCTTCTGCTCCGGCTGCGTGGCTAGACCAGCAGCGTGTGGGCGACGGTGTAGAAGTCCAGGGGGAGCAAGAACGCAACGAGGCCTTCCTGCCGCGGGAAGACGTACAACTAGGTGGGAATTATTATCCGTGCAGTGGTCATCTAGCCGCACCGGGTCCTGCTCCTGAACAACAATCTTCTGGCCAGGAGCAAGCTGCAAACTATATGCAGTCGACCTCCGAAGTAGAAGATCGCGCACAGCAGTCTGCTGTGCGCGATCTACTTTGGAGGTCCCAGACCTTGTTTCGGCAGCAGATGTGGAACCAGGTTGCCGTGGGTAATGATGCTGGACAAACTGAACTAGATCCGAGGCAGCAGCAGATGCATCACGACCATCAGCTAGCAGGGACCTGTTATCAGCTGCTTGCCCTTCGGGACCAGCAGCACCAGGAACGTGTTGGCCCGCAGCAACAACCCTCCTTCCTCCCACCGGAGGATGGGGAAGGCCAGGACGAGCAGACCGAGTTGCGGCCGACGTGGCACGAATTTTTACGCAACCAGCAGCAGCAGGGGCGCGGTTCCGACGATCATGGGTTCGCTCCGTCGCGCGTTCAGACGACCGCGGCGGGCGCCGCAGGCGCGAGTCGCATCCTCGTGCCCAACAGTGAGACTTCGTCAATGGCTTCGTCGGCGCAGAGTTATCACAGTTCCGATGATTCCTCTACCAGATATCATAGGTCCGATGATTCCTCTATCAGAAATAAAAACTAAATCTGGGAGGTCCTCATCTGGAATAAGTAATAAGTACTTGTTAGAATGCGGCTCCGGCTGTTGCTGTGTCTGCTTATTTTTGCATCTTAATGTGCAAATCTGATCCAGAACAAGACCCGTCTTGCATGCGAAAACAATAGTACAGCTTTTACGCAGGAGGAGCAGGAGATTTCTGCTCCTTAATCCTGAATGGCAACTCCCGTAGTCTCGTCCCGTGTGGACAGAATTCAATCGGAGCACCAGAAGACGTCATTATACCAACTTACATGACAGATGTTTGTCTTTGTTATGTAACCGCGTGAGGAGCTGCAGCTGCGTTATATAATCCGCGCATCACAAGTTGAAGTTGGCACGTAGTTTCCAAGAGGACCCAGACATGTTTGCGATGCATATCATCGGAGCCAGAGTCCCTGGTGGTTCGACCCCCGCGCGAAGCGGAAATCCCGATACCGCGGTTTCTGCAACGAAACCACACGAGAGCCTCTACGGTGGTGAGCCTGTAGTAGAAGTGCCACCATTTTCTACTTCAGCAAGAACAAAGCGGTGCCGGTGGTTTAGTCCTTCGTGCTCCGCAAACACAAACTTCTTGCCGCAGCCGCGCAGAGACGTGTTATGATCGGTGAATTGAAATAAGCCAACAATATTTTTTGCAGTTGCATTATTGATACAAGAGAATGAGAAAGACAAAGAACTTCAACATCAACTTACTACAACCTATGCGTCGCTACTCTCCATACAAATAAAAAACATGAATAAGCAAGTCAGCAGCCGTTTTTTCTGATATTGTATGTACGAAAGCCAACCACAGCTTTACATACTTTATGGAGCTACTTACCACAGAAGGCACACATTTTGTGCCCCCCGTCCTGTTTTATGGCATAGGAAAAATAACTTTTGTTGTAGGGCCGAAATAAATGGGCCGCGGGTATTTATTGTGCCGGTTCATGTCGATGAATCGAAGAACGAAAAACTACAAACCAGCAGTGAAGACGTCGTGGAAAAACGCATATGGCAAAGACGTTCACCCCCCAAGAGAAATTCAAATGCATCTTTTGCAGTTTTGGCATACCTTTTGAAAGATACTTCTCGCTTCTGTGCGCAGCGCTAAACGCTATTACCCCGCTCCATCTTTAATGTTTCACGAAGCAAGTAGAATCCATGCGGTGTTTTTCTTATTTTCAATTTCCACCAACTGTGAGACCTCCCGAAGCTGAACGATTACGGTAAAAGTATTCATCCGTGTCGGTTTCAGTAATAGTCGGAAAAGATCCTTTGACGTTTCCGGAGACTCTGAAGAAGACTTTGAGCGTGTCTGTTAGGGGAAGAGAGGCTGAGGGGATATCGGCGCTCTTGAAAAGTTGAGAGCATGGTGGACAAGAGCGGTGTTGTGTATTCATCTTCTTTAAGAGAAGGGCGAAAGACAAGATGTTGCAGCTGTCGCTTCCCCGTTCGTATCCATCGTGATAAAACGGGGCGGGAGAGGGTACAGTAGAGGTTGGGGAGAGGTTTCATAGAGGTAAAATAGAGGGTCGGAGAGGTAAAGTAGAGGGTCGGCCAAAGTGAGAGGGTCGGGGAGAGGTAAAACGAGAGGTAGCGGAGAGGGTAGGGAGAGGGTGCGTAGTATGCACGCCGTTAAAGCGCGGCAATACGCGCGCAGAAGTTGGGTAGAGGTTGGGGAGAGGTAAAGTAGAGGGTAGGGGAAGAGGGTGTAGAGGGTCGAAGAGGGTGCGTAGTATAAGGCGACCCTCTAGGCGACCCTCTACCGCGACCCTCCCAGGGAACCTCTATGTTACCTCTCAACGGACCCTCTCGGGACCTCTCCGACCCTCTCCCGGACCCTCTCCGGGAACCTCTCCGACCCTCTCCCGGACCCTCTCCCGGACCCTCTCTGACCCTCTCCCGGACCCTCTCCCGGACCCTCTCCCGGACCCTCTCCGGGACCCTCTCCCGGACCCTCTCCGGGAACCTCTCCCGGAGCACAGCCAGCCCATTTTTCTGCGCGCGGCGCCTCCTCAAGAAGCTCGCTAGGGCGCAGCGACCGGCTGGCATTGCTTTAGCTTTCAGATCAGAGCGGCCGTTCAAAGTGCGTGCGCCGCTCTGCGTCCCCCAGAGGGGGCGCGGCGCCCCGCCCTAACCTGGTCGGCCACCTAGGGTGGCCGCAACTACTTTACACAGCGCCCGCGCGCGCTGGCAGCAGGTCGGTGCGTCGTCCTTGTGGCGCCTGAAACGCGCTGGCGCCCGGAAATAGTTCCCTGTGCGCATTTTCTCACGGCGCGCAGCTATTAAGGCCGGGCATGCAGCAGCAGGCGGAAGTGTAGGACGCGCCCCCGCGCCGTCTATTAGTAATACAGGCAGCGCCCTAGAGGCGCGCCCCTCCGGTTGCCCACCCATGCCGAAACATGGGCCGGGCTCTTTTTCTTTGGTTGTGTAGTGGCGCGCAGCGATTCATTGCTGGCGCCACCTTCCCCACCGGAACACCTCCACCGAACAGCCCCCTCCCCGGCGGCCTCCGCCGGGGGGTGGCTGGTTCATCTTCTTTGAAGAGAAGGGTGAAAGACAAGATGTTGCAGCTGTCGCTTCCCCGTTCGTATCCATCGTGCGGCTCGTCAGTCGAGGTGGTAAATCGCACAGCAGCACGCCATGCGCGGGTGCGAGGATCGCAGTCCAAGTGTTTGGGCTACGAAGCCGCGCGCCAGTACATGCAGCGGGAATGGCCGGAAATCAAAACCTCGTGTGTTTCGGGGCCGGGGGCGGGGAAACTGTTTGAGCGTGAGAGCCATGATTCTGGTGGACCCGCGTTTTATTTTTCCAGAGAAGAAATTCAAACAAAGAGAAAGATGTTTGCTCTTCGTTCGCGTTCCCCGTACTCCGGAACTATCGCAGGGGAAGGTTTTCTGAGTGCATCCTCGCTTACAACGGCCCGGAGATTTTTGGGTTCGGCCGCGACAGGAAATTTTGCTGCGACCGCGCGTCAAACGAGTGACGCTCCTGCTGCAAAAGCAGTAGAAGATGAACCTTCGTCGCGGTTTCTCGACTACGACGCCGCGAGCAGGTTCATGCAGCAGACGTACCCGGAGGTGAAGACGGTAGACGGGTTTCGTTCGAGATTTCGCCGCGAGAAACGACCAGCCTTCATTCCGTCAAACCTCGCGCGCCAGTACAAGGCCCGCGGCTGGGTGTCGTACGCCGACTTTTTCGGACGGGAGGTGGTGCACCCCGTCAAGCCGACAATACCGCCCGAAGTCTCGCAGCGGGCGGTTGCTGCCCACGAGGTGGCGCACATCGGCCGAACGTGGTTTAGCGGCCACATCTCCCGAACGCTCGGCGACACGTTCGAAATTTTCCACCTGCCGCGCCGAGCCAAAGCCACCTACCTGCTTCGGAGGAAGCACGGCACGGACAACAGTTGGGTCGCAATACAAGTGAAAGTGTGTTCCGCATGGTCGCATCACGGTCTGCGAACGCAGCAGCCGTCGCGCCAAAGCCTGCGGTTCTCGCACGTGGCGGAGCTGCCACTCGGTGTGTCCTACGTCTTTGTGTGCCACGAACCTTCCACCGTGTGCTTTCTCGATGGCGACGAGCTACCGGCGTTCTTGACGGGGTCGGGAAAGAGCAGATCCATGTTTTTGCCGAAGGATGAGCTCCGGCCGCTGGATCCGGGATTCCTAGAGCGGACGGTTTCCAGGTGGTGTGCGGAGATGCCGAGGAGGACGATTGACGAGTGGATCGAGCTAGTTTGCGAGCACCCGCACGACCGGGTGGCGCATCGCAGTGGAGCGGAGCTGCGAAAGCTTTTGTTCGATCCGCTCCAGGTGGAACTCACACACCTGCGCTACTCGACGACAGCCCATCCATACCGCGGAAACATTCAGTTGTCCGGGCGCGCGTGTCTGCTGCGGACCTGCTACCGCCAGGAGCGGTACGGGGCCGGAAAAGCGTTTTTGTTTCAACAAATGAACACCGCACACCGAGCGGTGGATTTGGATTTCTACATTGCAATCATACCAGACCGGTCCGCAGAGCGCATTCGCGGGGTTTTCATTATCCCCTTCGACGCACTGATCCAAAACCGTGCGGCGTTCGCCACTACTTCCATGAAGTCGAACCAGGACGATGCAAGGTCGGACGAAAAGGCGGTGGTCGAGCGGAAATTTCTTCTGCTCTATCCGCCCAGCATTCAGATCGGCCTGAAGCCGCACTCCGAAGTGCGGCAGGTGCTGCAGAGTCAGTACTTTGTAGATTTCGTCACTATGAGTCCGTGTGAGCAGCTCGACCGCGCACGGGAGTTGCTTGCACTCCAAGAGAATCACTTAAAACAAGACCATGGACTTGGAGACCATGATCTTCCTGCAAATATCTAGTCAGTACTATGCGCGGCACAGAAGTTATGGACATGGTTATAGAACATTGTCTCGCAAGATTAAGATACAGATGAAATGCAAATGGCCAAGTCGTGTTCTTATTTGTGTTCAACACGTGGGATGAGTTCGGGTGATCGTTTCGTGTTGATCGAATCAAATCCAGATTACAAGGAGCGAGCGACGATGTTCATCTCAGAAAAAATAAACAAGCCCGCCCGTGATGTTCAAACAGGGAATACATAAGTACATCGGGCGTGTTTTCATATTTCTCATCGAGATACTACCATAACTGGGATCTTCGAATCGTTGTCGTTGTCGTTTCGCCAGAAGTGAAGATGTGCTGCTTTCATTCACATTGTCGCTCCAAATTTCGCGTTCCCGTTATCGTGGGCGCGAGCAAGCCCTTTTGCTCCTGCTCCTCCCCTTCACTCGTATAATAGATACGTACTGGAGATCGAGATGTCGTCTGCGCCATTCCTGGCGCGATGACAGACGTGACTTCTTTCCACAACGTAATTGCACATAAACTTGTTTGGTGGGTAAAAAGTACATTAGACACGCAGCGGCAGGAGCCACGCATGTTTTTTCTTCCTCCTTAGTATTAGTACGTTGATTCTTGTAGTCAACTTCCACTTCGTAATATCGAAGAGTGTCATATTATCAAAATGATGTTTTGGACACCACGAGTTCATCATCCAGGGCCGACGTCCAAAAGCTTGGCGGTGGTGTTGCTTCCACTGTTTCATTATGGATTGCAAAAATGTCTGGGTCTGGAAGATTGCCAGATTTGTCATGCAGGTTTTCTATGACCCATGAGGTCTGGTATGTAGGACATAGCATGGCAGATTCTGCGAGACTTTTCTAATGCCTACCCTCCATGAGAAACTGCCTCTCGATCAGGTCAGAAGTGCACAACTTTTGGCAATCATGCAACACAGTTTTTTGCCTGATTCAGATTTAGCATGACAAGTTGCAATCATCCAGACCCAGACATTTTTACATTTGATTTTGATATTCATCTCGCCTTGTTGTGTTTCTGCTCAGCAGTTGATGTGGACGCATTATCTGGTCGACAGGAAAAGGAATTTCAGCCGGAAGTAGACCACGACGTGTCGTCGTCGAGGACTTCTAGCCGGGACGACGGAGCAGGGCAGCAGCAGCTGCTGCACGAGGAGCGAAAGCCTCAGGGCGGGGCCCGCGACGGAACAGTTCTAAACACGCGGCTGCGCGGCGGGTTTATTTTGATCCGGATGAGGACCACAGAATCACAATCAGAACAGAATACCGGCGCCCCTCGCGGTGATGTGGTTCCCACTCTTGCGCAGCACGACACCCGCGGCGTCGTTCCAGCGGCAGATGAACCACGCACCACGAAACACGGCGCCGCAACAAGCTCCGTTTTGAACATCTTCAAGGAGCAGGGGCGAACTACGGCGCGGCGGCTTAGCCCGACCGGCGAGAAGGTGGACGGAGGGAGCGAAAGTACTAAATTTGGCGACGGACGACCAGCGCCGCGGAGCAGTATAAGTAGTTCCGGCACAAGAACTATCCTGTGTAAAAACGTCCCCACCCCAGAGTTGTCATGCAGATTTGCCATGACAGGAACATTTGTGATGCGCAACCCCATGACAGGCATTTTCAATCGTGTTTGGGAACTTGTAATGCTGTAAACAGGATCAGAAGGTCGATTTGTGATGCGGCTTTCCTTGCTAACTTGCACTACCGTACGGACTGAGACTTGTCATGCGTGACTCCTAAAACTCCTAGGTTTGTGTTGCAAAATCCCCATCCTGACTCTGGTGTGAGTACGTTTTTACTCAGGATAAGAACATCAAGAGAAGCAGTACAACCACGTACAGGCTTCTGGCACGAGGTTGTGAGCATATCAACTGTAAAAATGTCTGGGTCCTCTGGAACATTCTGACACTTGTCATGCACGTTTTGCATGAGCCCTGATGTCTGTGATGCATGCCCTAGCATCACAGATTTTTTCAGAGCTTCTTGATGCCTATTCCGCATGACAAATGCCCTCTCCGCGTAGCAAAAATTGCATTCCTTTTGGTACTCATGCAATACAGATTTTTCTGGAATCCAAATGCAGCATGACAAGTTGCATTCTTCCAGACCCAGACACTTTTGCATTTGATAGAGCAGCTTCCTCAACAAATTCGTCGACGTCGGCCACGTCACTGGGGCCGTGGCAGTAGCGGCTATCAAATGCAAACATGTCTGGCTCTGGAAGATTGCAAGACTTGTCATGCTAGTCTGGCATGACTTTGCATTGTGTATTGCGTGAGGCCATCGGAACAGCCTCTCTCGCATGTCATGCAAAAACGCAATTTCTCATGCGGAATGCGCAGCACAGAAGCACGAAAAAAACTTGTCTTCATACTTGGCTGCGCATTAATACAGTTCACTTATTGCTCACTGACTTGCTCACTGGCTTGCCTCCCCAGCGATAATGGACAATGGCAATGTCGGCGCGGTTGTTTTAGCATCACAAGTTTCCAGAACCAGACGTATTTGCATTTGATAGCGGCAGAGCACATGCAAGGGTGGTTGTTGGAGAACCAGGACTACTTGACGGGTGACGTGGACCACAGTGGAGAAGTTGATGCTCCTTTACAGGTATCAAATGCAAAAGTGAGTCTGGGTCTGGAAGAGTCGTGCTGTTTTTGCATGACACAGAAGGTCTGGCCCCTCTTACAGATGGTTTCTTTCGTAGTTGGGACTGTGTCATAGTAGGATGATTTACCGCTTTTTTACTTTTCTTTTCTCCCTTGACGCTGGTGCTTAGGTTTGCATACAACGTTATCCCTACCCAGATAGCAACAAATGCTCACGCCGCAGCCGTCCCAGGAGCTATCTTTTGTTGTTGTCTCTCGGTAGTGATCACTTTGTCCAAACTTATTCTACCTAGAGTTTGTCGAGTAAGTGGTTACCGTTTTAAGGTTTAGAGAACGACAGGGACGCCCAGCCCTTAGCTTCCCAACATGACACAGAAGGTCTGGCATGGAAGCTCTAGCATCACAGGCTTCGAGAAGCTTCCGCAATGCCGAATCCGCATGAGAAATCCCCCATCCTGGTGACAGAAAGTGGGCAGCTTTTGCTGCCTATGCGTGATAGATTTTTCTGTTTTCTGAAATGCGCATCACAAGTTTGTACTCTTCCAGACCCAGACATGTTTGCAATCCATAACAGGGCGTACTTGGCGACCTGATGAAGATGGAGGACGCTACGCACGGCGGAGAAAAGTTTGACATGAGAGACCACATGACGAGCGAGGGGTACCTGGACCCGGCATCGTTTCACCCATCCACGCTGGGCACGATCGAAGAGCTGGTGGAGCATCGCACGCATGGCGCCCACGTCGTGCACGACCTGAAGGACCCAAAGGAACTGACCGGCCAGGTTGGACTTTTGCTCACCCACTCAGGATCCACCGCGGAGGAATCTTACGACCGGTTCAGAACCGATATGCAGTGGGTTTGGCTTCGCCACGCGATGGCCGCTAGCGACATGGATGGCAAGGATGTTCTCTCTTGGGACGACCTGGCGGCGACGATCCCAGCCGCGGTCGCCGACGGAAAAATAACCCAGGAGGAGTGGCCCGGGCCGAAGGGGATCTATCAAAAGGAAAAATCCCCCCTCCCCATATCGAAATGGAAATCTGTGATTTGGGATTTGTGTACACAAATCGGATTGCAGTAGAGAACTGCAGACAGATACAAAGCCGGAGTAGGGGCGTTTTGGTGTAGGGGCCTAGCAAGGTAGGCATGTCCTCCCTAGGCCCTACAGCATTACAAATCGCCTGCTGCACGCGGCCAGGTTTTTGGATTTGCCTTCTTGCAATACAGAGACGATTTGTGGCCTCAAATCAGCATCGCAAATTTTTAGAAGTTTTCCGTTTTGGTATGGGGAGGGGGGATTTTTCCTCACAATAGGATCTGGCATGCCGTTCGCGGTCGCGATGATCCCTGGTCGCTTCATGGGGTCGGATCGTGGATGGCGGGCGGAGCAGACCAGTTGCCGGACAATTACATCACCGCCGAAGACCTATCACCTGCAAAAATGTCTGGGTCTGGAAGGATGCGAACTTGTGATGCGTGTTGCGGATGATGCAACAATCTGTGTTGCATGACTTGCAAAAGGTCCCCATTTCTGGCCATGCTGAGAGGGCATTTCTCATGCAGAATAGGCATCACGAAGGGGCTGCAGAGCCTGTGATGCTAGGCCCTGCATTCCAGACCTGGTGGAGCTTGGAAAAACTGCATGACAAAGCTTGGAATCTTCCAGACCCAGACACTTTTGCATTTGATAAGACCTCGGAAGGTACAATTTCGAGCATGACGCCGAGAATGCCGAGAGCATTGGGCAAAGGGTGTCCTCTATCGCAAGAAAAAACTGTTTCACTGTCAACTTGTAATGCAGGAAATGCATCCGAGAAGTGGTTGCCTTGCTACACATGCAAGACAGTGGATTTTTAGCTGTGTTTTCCCTTAGCAGGAATCTCGCATGGCAAATTTTCTCTGTAATGTAGAGCAAACTTGTGATGCAAAACATGCAAAATGCTTTTACAGTGAAGCACTTTTTTCGTACGATATCCTCGTGGTGGGCAGTAGGCCACGAGGGGGCGGAGGCGGAGCACTTCTCGGTGCGGCACCAAACCAACTTCGGCTATGCCCCGCAGCCCGCATGGGTTAACGCTGACAGCACTATCCTGAGTAAAAACGTACCCACACCAGAGTTGTAATGCAGATTTGCAAAGACAGGAAGACTTGTAATGCGCATTCCCATGAGAGCCATTTCCAATCGTGTTTTGGAATTTGTGATGCTGTGAACAGGATGAGCAGATGAATCTGTGATGCGGCTGCACTTGCTAACCTGCACTACACTGCATCGCGCAACTTGTCATGCGTGACTCACAAAACTCCTAGGTTTGTGCTGCAAAATCCCCATTCTGACTCTGGTGTGGGTACGTTTTTACTCAGGATAAGCACTCCGAAAAGTTTACAGCAGTGGCTGACGGAACACACGGTGACGGGCAGAACCTTCGGGACCCCGGGGGTCAACGGGGGCGAAAGTCGGGCTTTTCTCGACGCCCTGCAGTATCGCAGCAAAAAAGTGTTACAGTTACTTACACATTTTGTTGCAGGCCAAGCAAGACAGGCAAGCTCTGTCATGCCGGATAAGTAGCATCGGAGCTTCGTTCATCTTTCACACGTGTTTATTTCCCGTAGGATTTCTGCATTGCAAGTTTTCTCTCTCATGCAGAGAAATTTGTGTTGCTGCATTGACAACAGGTGTGTAACTGTATACACTTTTTTCTTGGGATATGCAAGAAACCGCGGCCAGTAGCACGGAAATTTCATCTATTGAGAGGAAAAATCCCCCCTCCCCATATTGAAAAGGCATGCTTCCGAAAATTTGTGTTGCTGATTTGAGGTCGCAAATCAATTTTGTTTTGCAAGAAGGCAAGGGCAGAAGCTTCCGCCCCATTATGGAGGCGATTTGTCATGCTGTTGGGCCTAAAGGGGAGCCGCTTGCCATGCTGAACAGCTAGACGCATACGCCCCTACCTAGCCTGGGGACCTGACTGCAATGCTTTCCTGCAGTACAAAGCTGATTTGTGTACTCAAATCCAGCATCAGAAGTTTCGTTTTGATATGGGGAGGGGGGATTTTTCCTTTTGATATCATCTTCGTCAAAGCACGTCATTGCGAATCTGGGAGCCGTATGAGAATGCACAAGAACTCCCCGTGCTCTCGTCCCTCATTTGTAATGCGAAATACCAAATCCACGTCTTGCTCTTGCCTCCAAGCACAGTTAGCATGACAAATTTTGGAGCCTCAAACGGTACTACATATAATCCGTCTGCAGATTTGTCATGCAGCGGAAGCCACATTTCTGGCGTTGCTTGTGTTGCTGCTCATGCCATTCAAATGAGGGGAGTTGTGCACTGTCATAAGCCGAGGTGGACAGCGCGGCCGAGGTCGACGCTGTTGCCGAAGTGTGGAAACACCACGTCGCTTATCAACTGCAAATATGTTTGGATCTGGAAAGTTGTCATGCGGATTCTGAATAGAAGCAAAAATTAGCATTGCATGAGCGCCAAAACAACCTGCCAATTTCTTGCTACGCAAGTAGGAAACTTTTCATGCAGGATAGATATCAAGAGGCCTGCGCAGAACCTGTACTGCTTTTGCATGCATTCGGGATCGGGACCAGTTGCGTAAGATGCATGAGACACCCTTCTGCACTCATCCAAACCCAGACATATTTGCAATGCATATCGCCGGCGACAAGGAGGCGGAAGCGGAGTTCACAAAAACCTTTCAACGAAATTGGGAGGCCATTCTGCTGGCAAAGAGTCCTCGCGAAGTATCCTGAGTGAAAACGTTCCCACCCCATAGTTTTGATGCAGATTTGCAATTGCAGAAACATTTGTAATGCGCATGCCCACGAGAGGGACTTTCCGTCGTGTTTTGGAATCTGTAATGCTGTAAACAGAATAAGCAGATGGATTTGTCATGCTGCTCTCCTTTGTAACCTGCACTACGCTACGGATTGCAACTTGTCATGCGTGACTCCCAAAACTTCCAGGTTTGTGTTGCGAAATCCCCATCTTGATGACTATGGCGTGGGGACGTTTTCACTCAGGATACGAAGGAACGGAAGTGGGGTGGGAGGAGTTGCAGCACCTGGCCGCGTATCAAGTGCAAATATGTCTGGGTCTGGAAGAATGCAACTTGTGATGCTGCGTGTGGGTTCCAAAAAAATCTGTATTGCATAAGCAGCAAAGGGAATGTAATTTTTGCTACGTGGAGCAGAGGGCATTTCTTATGCGGAATAGGCATCAACAAGCCCTCAAAAAATGAGTGATGCTAGGGCATGCATCACAGACGTCATGGCTCATGCAGAACGTGCATGACAAGGCTCAGAATCTTCCAGCCCAAGACATATTTGCCAGCAATGCCGCGGGTTTCGACGCGGGGTGTGAGGTATCAAAAGGAAAAATCCCCCTTCCCCATATCAAAACGGAAATCTGCGATGCAGATTTGTTGTCACAAATCAGCTTTGTCATGCTACACGGGAAAAGATGCGGACTGTAGTGCTGGGTGGCGTGGGGAAGCCTTGCATCTTCAGCATGATAGGAGGCAGCTGAGAGTGGGAAACAGCATGACAAATTGCCTGCAAACGAGGCCACGACTGCGGCTCTTGGCCTTCTAGCATGACAAGTCGATTTGTGACCTCAAATACAGCATCACAAATTTCGTTTTCGATATGGGGAGGGGGGATTTTTCCTTTCGATATGAGGAAGGCAATGACCACAACCACGGAGTCGATGTGGTTATGGATTGCAAACATGTCTGGGTCTGGAAGATTGCAAGTTTGTCGAGAATCTGTGCTGCATAGGCACGAAAAGGCCCTCTTAGATGTCATGCAAAAACGCAGCTTGCCATGCGGAATACGTAACACATGGCAGCCAAAAAAATTGTCATGCATAGCTGCGTATTGCAGTGCGTCTATCGTTCACTCTTAGCATTACAAGTTTCCAGACCCAGACATATTTGCAATGCATAGTGGTTTGCGATTGGGAAAAAACACCGACGATTTTTCATTATGCTTGGGCGGGGACGCCGGAAACCTGGCAGCGCTTGTCGGAGAAATTGGACTCAACGACCACGACGGACGTTCGTGCGACCGTCGGAATGCACGAGCTTAGCGACCAAAGCGTGCCCAGCGAGGCCGACCCCGGTTTGGTTGAGCACTACGAGCACTACTTTGATCCGGAAAAAGACAACCGTCCCATCTGGGAGAAAACCAAGGAAATGGCCCAGATCGTGGTAGAAGATGGTGTTTCCGAGTTGGTCCGCGGGCTTCCCATGCTCGCCGTCGGAGCTGGGGCAGGACTGTTTCACAGAGGTCAGAACATCATCAAGGAAAAAAGGAATCGAAGAAGCACAAACGGAACAGCCACAGCAAAGGAAGATGAAGTTGGTGCGCCGCCGCGTGGAGGTCGTGCCACAGCAGAACTACAAGGTTCAACATCTTCCCCAGAACAACCGGAGCTAAGGACCAAGAACTACATGCAGCTTCTCCGCAGCGGGGGACCAAGTTTCTTCGGAAACCAAGAACGACATGCAGCTGGAGATCATGAGCGACCAGTTGTACCACACAGCACATCCCCCTCAACATCTTCAAGACGTGGCACAACTAGCATCGATGCCAAGGGTGGTTTTCTACTGAATTCCGAACCGGACGAACAAGTAGGGGAGGCACGACAAAAGGGCAGTAGCTCTACGTCCCGGGGGCGCGAACAGGAGGAAGGTCATCACCGTGGCCAAGGGTGGTTTTCTAGTGAATTCCGAACCGGAAGTATTGAGAGGAAAAATCCCCCCTCCCCATATTGAAAACGCATTCGTCAGAAAATTTGTGATGCAGATTTGAGGTCACAAATCCTGTCTGTCTTGCAAGAAGGCAAAGCCAGAGAGTCCGCCGCATTATGCCGGCGGTTTGTGATGCTGTTGGGCTTACAGAGCCGATATCTGTCATGCTAGTCCCCTACGTCAAAACCTCGCGACCCAGGCTTGGCATATGCCTGCAGTCCTCTCCAGCAAGACAGACCTGATTTGTGTACGCAGATCCAGCATCAGAAACTTGGTCTTTCAGTTGAACCAGTGTGATGGTACCAGCTTTAGGGCGTTTTTAGATATAGTGGAATTAGAACTTGTTTTTTGATAGTACTCCTTTCTATACTTTCTTTGATCCCTCGGTGCTAGTGGGCACATTTGTACGAAGTTATTTCTACCCAGATAACAACACAACTCACTACGCCGCCTTCCCAGGAGCTGTTGTTGCTGTCTTTCGGTAGAAATCACATCGTCCAAATAATCCTACTAGAGTTTACCGGGTATGTGGTTTAAGTTTTTTAGGCATAGTTTAGACAGGGACGCCCAGCCCTTAGCCATCCAAAATCAGAAACTTCGTTTCGATATGGGGAGGGGGGATTTTTCCCTTTGATAGGAAGAACAAGTAGGGGAGGCACGACAAAAGGGCAGTAGCTCTACGTCCCGGGGGCGCGAACAGGAGGAAGGTCATCACCGTGGCCAAGGGTGGTTTTCTAGTGAATTCCGAACCGGAAGTATTGAGAGGAAAAATCCCCCCTCCCCATATTGAAAACGCATTCGTCAGAAAATTTGTGATGCAGATTTGAGGTCACAAATCCTGTCTGTCTTGCAAGAAGGCAAAGCCAGAGAGTCCGCCGCATTATGCCGGCGGTTTGTGATGCTGTTGGGCTTACAGAGCCGATATCTGTCATGCTAGTCCCCTACGTCAAAACCTCGCGACCCAGGCTTGGCATATGCCTGCAGTCCTCTCCAGCAAGACAGACCTGATTTGTGTACGCAGATCCAGCATCAGAAACTTGGTCTTTCAGTTGAACCAGTGTGATGGTACCAGCTTTAGGGCGTTTTTAGATATAGTGGAATTAGAACTTGTTTTTTGATAGTACTCCTTTCTATACTTTCTTTGATCCCTCGGTGCTAGTGGGCACATTTGTACGAAGTTATTTCTACCCAGATAACAACACAACTCACTACGCCGCCTTCCCAGGAGCTGTTGTTGCTGTCTTTCGGTAGAAATCACATCGTCCAAATAATCCTACTAGAGTTTACCGGGTATGTGGTTTAAGTTTTTTAGGCATAGTTTAGACAGGGACGCCCAGCCCTTAGCCATCCAAAATCAGAAACTTCGTTTCGATATGGGGAGGGGGGATTTTTCCCTTTGATAGGAAGAACAAGTAGGGGAGGCACGACAAAAGGGCAGTAGCTCTACGTCCCGGGGGCGCGAACAGGAGGAAGGTCATCACCGTGGCCAAGGGTGGTTTTCTAGTGAATTCCGAACCGGAAGTATTGAGAGGAAAAATCCCCCCTCCCCATATTGAAAACGCATTCGTCAGAAAATTTGTGATGCAGATTTGAGGTCACAAATCCTGTCTGTCTTGCAAGAAGGCAAAGCCAGAGAGTCCGCCGCATTATGCCGGCGGTTTGTGATGCTGTTGGGCTTACAGAGCCGATATCTGTCATGCTAGTCCCCTACGTCAAAACCTCGCGACCCAGGCTTGGCATATGCCTGCAGTCCTCTCCAGCAAGACAGACCTGATTTGTGTACGCAGATCCAGCATCAGAAACTTGGTCTTTCAGTTGAACCAGTGTGATGGTACCAGCTTTAGGGCGTTTTTAGATATAGTGGAATTAGAACTTGTTTTTTGATAGTACTCCTTTCTATACTTTCTTTGATCCCTCGGTGCTAGTGGGCACATTTGTACGAAGTTATTTCTACCCAGATAACAACACAACTCACTACGCCGCCTTCCCAGGAGCTGTTGTTGCTGTCTTTCGGTAGAAATCACATCGTCCAAATAATCCTACTAGAGTTTACCGGGTATGTGGTTTAAGTTTTTTAGGCATAGTTTAGACAGGGACGCCCAGCCCTTAGCCATCCAAAATCAGAAACTTCGTTTCGATATGGGGAGGGGGGATTTTTCCCTTTGATAGGAAGAACAAGTAGGGGAGGCACGACAAAAGGGCAGTAGCTCTACGTCCCGGGGGCGCGAACAGGAGGAAGGTCATCACCGTGATTCTTCTTCCCCTCTGAAAAATGACTACCCGGAGCGCCTCATCCCTGCGGGGCGGGAAAGTGAAGCGGATGCAAGAAGTGTGCCGGCAAGGGGGGAGGCGCAGGAGCCAGGGCAACAACTACACGACCACGAGCTTGTGGAAACAAACAATGCAAAGCATGTTGGTCTTCCCAGGAACAGCACCAGCAGAAAAAGCGACGAGTTTTCAACACCTGCGTGAGACTTGATAAAACGCGAAAAAAATTTTCAATGCTGAACTAGTACAACTACTGCTAGAAAGATATGTCTTCGGTTTCACCTTTGGTCTTGACCATTCTCCTTGTATGTTTTCCACGACCTGGAGATTAATTAAATTGGAGTTAGATGTACAAACTGTGAAACACAAAAATTTGCTGCAAGTGTAAATCTTTTCTGAAGACCCCGCATTCCCAGAAGTCACTGTTCTCTTCGGTCGGGCGGTTAGAGTTTCGCTGTGGCGATGCTGTGTTCTGAAGGGAGTGAAATCGCTAGAAGCCCTGAACAAGATTCTAGCTTCGCGACAAATTATGAGGCTGAGATAGGAGGAAGAGGATTCTGTGATGTGAAACGACCTACAGCTATACCTAGAGAGTGGTTTGCGTAATTCTAGTTGTGGAAAAAAGAAGGGCGATCGAGCTGTGAGAGAACGAGAGGTACGGAAAGAAAGTCAGAACATGCGTCTCACGTCGCCGACTTTGCGATCGTCTAGTTGCGCTGCAGCTGCAATGGGGGTTGTCCCGCCACCCACATGTGGTGCTCGGGTCTTGGAGCTGGCTCTTCTACTTCACTGATGGAGTAAAAGATCATGTCACTATCGACGTCGTCCTTCCGCTCCTGCTCTTCGGCTTCCTTGTCCACAGTGACTTCCCTTGTACCACGAGCGAGCGCCGGACGGGGGCGAGGGTCCAAGTTCCTAAATTTCGAAGCCGCGCGGGATTACATGCAACGCGAGTGGCCCAACGTGAAATCCATCTTGGCGTGGAAATCGTGGTGCCGAGACGGTGATCGCCCGGCTTTCATTCCGTCGCACCCTTCCAACATTTACGCCGACAGCGGTTGGACGTCGTTTCGAGACTTTGTTGGTCATAACAATCGCTGCGTCGGAGGCGTCTGCATCTCTCATCGCACAGCCCACGATGGAAGATTCTGGTTCGAAACGAACGTATTAGAGCCACTTTCAGAAGATTTTGAGGTCTTTCAGCTACCTCGGCGTGCAAAAGCAACGCTTTTAATCCGAAGAAAAATCGGGGCTAGCACTGTGTCCGACGACTGGGTCGCCTTGCAGTTGAAGACCACTTCGGAGAGGGGTCTGATACAGCGCCAGAGGGACGGCCGGTCCACGAGCTACAAGTTTTCGCACTTGACGGCACCGGCGGCCGGGGTGAGTTACGCCTTCATTCACCCACAAAAGAACAAGGCGAGTCTTCTGGACGACAAAGAAATAGGCCCGCGATTGCGTGGACCGCAGCAGCACTTGTGGTTACTTCTAGCTCTGTCGGAGCTCGAGGATCTTACCCTCTCGTCGGTGCAGCGCACGCTGCTGCAGTGGTGCGACGAAAAACCGAGGAAGACGAGGGAGGAGTGGATGGAACAGTTGTGCTACAACCAGCGGGATCAGATGTCGAACTTGTGCGCACAGTATTTGGACGAGTCGCTGTATCGCCCGCTCGGCTTGAAGCAGGATTTCCTGCGTCCCGGTGCAGACGTGTTCCGCGGAAACGTGTTGCTGTCGGGCGTCCCTTGCCTGCAGCGCCTCTGTCACCAGTGCAAGACGTACTCGCGCCGGGGCGGGGAGTGTTATCTGTTTCAGCAAGTGCATACATTGAAGTTGCAGCCGGTAGTGAAGTACTACGTTGGAATGATCCTCGCAGAGGAGCGATCGCGGGAAGGAGAAGGTGTTCTGCGTGGTGCTTTCATCATTCCTTACCAGCTGATCAAGGAGAATCACGACACTTTTTTGGCGCACAATAAGCAAACTGCTGACAAAGATCTCGTGCCCATAGCACATCGAAAGTGGTTGGTTTTATACCCTCCGTTTCTCGATGGCGCTAAGTTACGGCCACGGTCCCGTGAACGGCAGAAAAAGCAAAGTGAGTATTACATCGATTTCTCCACACCACTAAATGCTGAGAAACTTGATAAGGCTCGAAGACTCCTGTGCTCAGACCATGGTAACGATGCGCACGAAAGAAGGTTCGAAAACAGTGCAAGCTTCTTTGCAACAAGCAAACCACAAGAGACCAGAGCGACAACCGTCATCTCCTGATCATGAAGTATCAGAATTCAATAATGTAAAAGGCGCAGTGGGAGTGGCCGAAACGGCAGCGTCGTATTTATAAGTACGTTCTAATTATAACTTGCTGCTGCTGCAAGCACTTATGTGCAGTAGTTCGTAGCGATACATCAATCAATGCACCACGTTTGATGCTGGTAGGGTTCTGCCGGAGGATGATGTTGCAGCCTACCGCAATGTGCGTGGTTCTGTTAAGGCACTGAAAGAGAGGAACAGATTATTCGAGGAGATCGGCAAGTACTCACCGGTCGATGGGAGATCAGTTTGTAGCGAGGCGAGCATGAGATCATTAGTCTTCGTGAACTTATTGAGGCTGCTTGATGTCTCCGCGAGGTATGAATTGTTTCTCCTTCTTAACGGATCGCATTTCGATCTCATCTACCTTCTTCCACGATCAGAAGTCAGTTCACGCTGCATAAGAGAGCTCTGTCAGCTGCTTGCTGCCGCCCGGAAATTATTGGAGGAAAATGCACAGCGAGTACGAGCAATGAATAGGAATTTCCTGCTGTCTTCGCTTGTTTTAGACGAGCGACTACGATCTCTATATTCAAAGTCAGTGGTAGTTCTTCATTCGTGATTTGTCTCTTTGTCAAGCGGAATAACTCACGACGACGAAGTCAAGTAGAATTGCGACCCGTGAAAGAGTGCATTCGTCGCCAAGGTCTGTCTACTCACACCCTGCTTTTACGCTGAGCATTAGTCTAGAAGTCATTTTTCTTATACTTGCTTTCAAGTCTGTATCTGTTTCTGTTGTAATCATCGTTGTTTTATTGTCGTTCTAGACACTTCCGACAGCACCAAGGTCTCGTCTCAAGGACGGAACAGTATGGAAAGTAGAAGCGACTCCGACGAATCCTCCGGCCTTGCTGGTGGCAGCAGGAGCGATGCCGGTTCATATGCTCCTGCGGAATGCTACACGGCGATTCGTGATGAAGACTACTGGCACGGCCTTCACTCGCCGGCTGCGATATTTTCCAATCCTCCTGCATGTGCCGGGGAAGAAAAAGATGATAGAAACAGATCCGTGAGTCGGAAACGCAGCAGGTCGCGTGCATCACGAGTGAGGAAACAAGGGAACAGCAGGAAGGATACGAGGGTTGCTAGTACCAAGTCGCATTCGAGAAGGCGCAGGAGAGATCCCTTTCCACCATTCGAAGGAGGAACGCAAAGATTCATGAAAGCCAAAACGACTTCTTCGGAGGGCAGAGAAGCCCCGCATTTCGCTCCGCGCAATGCGATGGGCGGAGAACGCGCTGAGCACTTTGACGTCCGCGATGCAGTGCCTTTTTCGCCCAGCGCGGCTTCAACAGCGGCCACCCCAACCGAGGAGCGAGTGCGGTTTGAGACGCTTCCAAAACTGCCAAAGCCGTCCGCCGAGGACGTGGAGCGGCCGAGAGAGGAGCAGCGCATTTTTGATTTGACAAACAAGTACGTGAAACACTGGACGCCGGCCCAAGCCATGGACGAATACGTGCAAAATTGGTACGACCAGCTGGAAAATTCCGTGCGATTGAACGGCTTCGACGTCGACCTGCTGAAGATGACCGAACGAACGAGCCATGGGGAAAAGAAAAAGAAAAAGGACAAGAAAATCGCATCCAGCAGTACTGGAAATTGCCCACCAGAACCAGACGAAGACTGGCGACTGGAGTTCACTGTTTCCACGCCAGCTGCGAAGAAGTACCGGGTCGGGTACATTTCGAAAGAATCGAACATTCTCACCATGGTGAATTTTTCAACGACCTTGCCGCCGAAGTGCTTTCTCCTGGGATACAGCGGCGAGGAAAAGGAGCGAAACGGCACGGAACATGGCGAGACACGAGGCAAGTTCGGGGATGGCTTGCCGTCGTCGACTTTGGTACTGACGCGTGAGCCTGATACCCACGTTCAGCTTTTCAGCCTCGGACGGCGTTACCACTTTAGCATGAAACAGAATAAAGACGGCGTTCCGTGTTTCGCAATGAGCATCTGGCGCGAAAGTGAAGAAGACATACGCGCTCGGCGGCTGCATTGCTTCGACGCTTACCAGGATACCGCCGCGCGCATCCAGTGTGGCAGAAATTGGAAGACGCGATTTGACCGGGACCGCTATTTGTTTTTGCGACACAAAACAGACAAGAAACTGCTAGGGGAGTCTCCCGTCGCAGAGATTTTGAAAGGGAAACGCCACAAGAAAAAGATCTACGTGAAGGGCATGTTTGTCCAGGAACTAAGCAACCTCACGTACGGCATCAACCTAAAGCAGTACGAAATGCAATCACGGGACCGACAAAACACACTGTCTGAAGACGCACTGTGCGAACAGATTGCGCAAGCCTGGCGCAGCGCCGCGGCAGGAAGTAGCTTGAATATGGTAAAACACCTCTATACCGCAGTAGATCGGGACGAGCACTGCACGGAAGCGAATTGTCTTTGGGCGGACAACTACAGCGCAGAAGAGCTGTGTAACCTGCTTGCTCAGTATTTTCTGAAGGAGTTCTCGGGCAGCTTTCCTGTGGTTTCTGGTGACAGTCGCAGCGAGGATATCGTGCGCGGCAAGCTGCAACAAAATCCAAAGACTGTGAATCGAGTCCTGTTTGCCGCGTTACAAAGAGCAAAGGCCGTGGAGACCGACGCAGCCGCTGCCTGGGATCGGCTCAAAGGCGAGATGATGCGAAAAGCACACGCGGTTTTCCCTGTTCCCGACGTCTACTCCGCTTTGTTCGAGGTACTGAGTTTGAGCTTCCACGGCGTCTGCGACCTTGACCCGAGTATGTTTCATCTCGTGGACTGTCCGACGGCATCCGAAGTCAGTGTCGGAGCTGTTGGAACGCGGGTGGGTGAGTACATCATATCAGGATTTCAACAGAATGCAGATCTCTTGAATGGGCTGTATGTTTTGAACCATGACTACAGCATCAACAATCGGCCAGTCTACGAGCAGCCTTGGGACGGTGGTTCGTTTTTCTACTGGCCGTCAGCGACGTCGTCACAAGTTCGATTTTGCGGCAACAAAGAGACTTACCTGCAGAAATGCAACAATGGAGCGCGGTACATGGATGGGGAGGCGGAAGTTCCGCAGGGGAGTTTCGTTCCCGAGGGTCCCGTCAGAGCTCGCGAAGTATGCGATGGCCTTTGGTCCGGAACCACGGTAACGTTCGAGGCTAACCGAAGGGGAGTGCCCAGCGACGCACGCATCCTCGTTAACGAGTCCTATTTTCGCAACATCATCCATCATCTCCAATCGTACGAGCCAGAAGAGGTTGAGAAAAACAAGCTGTGCATGCACGAGCAGACGGGGTGCTGTTTGTGTGCTTTTGACGAGATGAAGGAGGCATTGGTCGAGGAGCTGCGCAAAAAGTTGTGCGTGCCCATCCCTGATCTGCCCGACCGAAGGCAGATTAATGCAAATTTGAACGCAGTCGTTTACAAGCCTTCGTTTCAGCAGATGTTCCAGGAGAAGATAACGCTGTACAAGGGTGGGGCAATACTGGTGCCGAATGAAGCAGAAAACAGTAACGCAGTGTACGATCCGGAATTGCTGGACAACGTCCGCCACTTTTTGCAGTTCGGGGAGGGGAGAGCTACTGAAACAGAGGATCAGGGCGCCGTGCGACAAGTAGTGGCAACCTTGATCGAGGCCGGAGACCTGCACCAACCGAAGCAATTTGCGGGGACCTACGCCTGGGTGGGTGACAAGGCGCAGGACTTCTACCTCGCGCTGGCAAGCGCGCACGCGGGCGGGGAGAGGCTCTCCCCCGGCCAAATCGACCCGATTCGGCAGCAACTGTTCTGCACGAAGACTCTTGGCGCGGGGCTGGGGCGAGAAGTTGCGGAACGACGCGAAGAGCAGTTGGGACGGAAGGTTTGCGCGGACGGGGAATCGGGCGACATTTTCCGTGGCCTTCAGCACATCATGAGGGGACAGAAGTATCCAGATCCGAATGCTTTCGGCGTGTACCGCCCCGTTTCCGAACTGGTCCAGCGGTCGATCGCAGCCGCGCAAGCGAGCAGAAGCAGCAGTTTCGCAGCAGCTCCATATGGCGCTGCGGGATACGGGGCTCCAGGCACGAGATATCATAAAACAGGGAGTGGTGCGAAGGGACAAGGGAAGAATGGGAAAAATCACTACTGGAGCAAAGAGGGCGTCGATGGTTACTATCACAGCGGCAAATGCAAAAAAGGCGGTGGCAAAGGGAAGAAGCCGTGGTCCACCGTTGGACATCGATTCGAGTAATCCGTTTCGGGAGGGCTCCGTGATGAGCAGGAGGCCGCAGATGAACGATTTGGTGCTGTCTGCATTCACAACTTCTTCACTTCGTTTGTGCTACTACGCAACGACTTTCAAATTATCCGGTATGAACACGAACTCCGATTGACAAGACCGCTTGTTACGCGGGTCTTTTCCTTCCTCCTCGATGAAAAAAGAGATTGAGTATCTATCAGGCGAGAAAAGCAGATACAATCTGCTCGAAAGGGACAAAAGTACAAAAGACGAGTCGTGTCCCTAAGATTTTCTTGTCGAGCTAGACGTCATGGTTCACTACAAAAAGTGCAGGGAGGGTGCTTTCTTGGGGAATTGAAAACATTACATATCCAGAAGAGCGCTGAAACCGAAGTGAAGAGTGCGCGTCGGTGCCCGGAGCGAGAGATATTTTTTCTCGAGACCCTGACGCTCTGAGACCCAAACCAGCGAAACACGACGGCAGCGGGGTTTTTTTTGTGTTTCGAATGACGGGAAAAAAATACGCATACCGTCGCGATTTCGATTTGTGTTGTTTTTTGGGGGATCCGCCCGTTCCCCGGGGATCCGCCCGCTCCCCGGGGATCCGCCCGTTCCCCGGGGATCCGCCTTCGCCCAGGGGATCCGCCCGTTCCCCGGGGATCCGCCTTCGCCCAGGGGGCCCGCCCGTTCCCCGGGGATCCGCCTTCCCCCAGGGGATCCGCCCGCTCTCCGGGGATCCGCCTTCGCCCAGGGGATCCGCCTTCCCCCAGGGGATCCGCCCGCTCCCCGGGGATCCGCCCGCGCCCCGAGGATCCGCCGGCGCCCCGGGGATCCATCGGCCTTCGCCCAGGGGATCCACCCGCTACTCGGGGATCCGCCCGCTCCCCGGGGATCCGCCCGTTCCCCGGGGATCCGCCCGTTACTCGGGGAGCCGCCCGCCCCCCGAGGATCCGCCCGCATCCCGGGGATCCGCCTTGGCCCAGGGGATCCGCCCGTCCCCCGGGGGTCGGCCTTCGCCCAGGGGATCCGCCCGTTACTCGGGGATCCGCCTGTTCCCCGGGGATCCGCCCGTTCCCCGGGGATCCGCCCGCGCCCCGAGGATCCGCCCGCTCCTCGGGGAGCCGCCCGCTTCCCGGGGATCCGCCTTCCCGCAGGGGAGCCGCCCGCTCCTCGGGGATCCGCCCGCTTCCCAGGGATCCGCCTTCCCGCAGGGGAGCCGCCCGCTCCCCGAGCGGACTGCGCCGGCCTTGCGGGGCTTCACTCCCTCCCCGACGGGCACCCGGGCTGCCCGGGGCGGGTGCGCCCTTGCGCCAGAGGCTCCGGCCTTAGCTAGGGGTCCCTGCCCTTGCCGCGTTGGCGGTGAGCACGGGCACCGGCAAACCGGCGCACATTTCTTGCTTCGGCTTGGTTCTTACAAGTTGCCAACTTGTGTGGTTTGGTTGTCAAGCCGGCGTTTTGACAACCAAAGCGCGGCAAATGTGGCGGCCTGCAACCGCGTGGGGTCTTGATAACCAAGCGAGGACAATGCGGGCCGTGTAGTTAAGACAGACTGACGCAGCGCGCTTGCAGACACGCCGAAGGTCGCGCGCCTGCACCCGAGTGCGTTTCAAAATGTGCGCCGGTTTGCCGCAATGTCCGTGGTGCCGCATCAGAGGGCTGCGGAGCCCTTCGACGGTCCATGTGCACAGCCCTCTGGCCTCTGGCCAAATCGGGACCATACCACCGGGGGAGGCCCTTCCGAAGCGGCCCAAATTGGGCCAGAGGACCCGACAGAGGACCCTCGGGTCCTCTGACGGGTCCTCGGTAAAATCCTCTGGCCAAATCGAGGCCGTACCATCGGGGAAAGGCCGCCCGAGGCGGTCCAAATTGGGCCAGCGGACCCGACAGAGGACCCTCGGGTCCTCTGACGGGTCCTCTGTAAAGTCCTCTCGTCAAATCGAGGCCGTGCCATCGGGGAAAGGGAGGCCGCCCGAGGCGGTCCAAATTGGGCTGTGAAGTCCTCTCGTCAAATCGAGGCCGTACCATCGGGGAAAGGCCGCCCGAGGCGGTCCAAATTGGGCCAGAGGACCCGACAGAGGACCCTCGGGTCCTCTGACGGGTCCTCTGTAAAATCCTCTGGTGAAATCGAGTCCGTGCCATCGGGGAAAGGCCGCCCGAGGCGGTCCAAATTGGGCCAGAGGACCCGACAGAGGACCCTCGGGTCCTCTGACGGGTCCTCTGTAAAATCCTCTGGTGAAATCGAGTCCGTGCCATCGGGGAAAGGCCGCCCGAGGCGGTCCAAATTGGGCCAGAGGACCCGACAGAGGACCCTCGGGTCCTCTGACGGGTCCTCTGTAAAATCCTCTGGTGAAACCGAGGCCGTGCCATCGGGGTCAGTCGGAGAGGCCCGGGGCGGTGAAGTCGACTAAATATTTTCTATATTTTGCGGGATTTTTGAAAAATGAAAAGAACGGGGGGTGCGGCGCTGCCTGCGGCGCCACGGTTGGCAGGGACGCCATGCGTCCGGGCACCGCGGGGGTTTGGGCGCATTGCCTCCCGTCCGTGTGCCCGGCGGCAGTGTTTCCCCCCTGGTGTTCTCGCGTTGCCTTGCGAAAAAATTAAAATTTAAAAATTGGCAGCGTCTTGAGTGGTATTGCGTGTGCTAGGAATTTCCCAATCCCGCAGCCTCGTGGGTTCCTCTGTGTTCATTTCCGATCGCACACACCGGGGTAGGTGTGCGTGGTGGGTTGTCCGTATTCTGCCTCCCGGGCGTGAGGTTGTTTCCAACATCGCGCTGACTTTCGTGAGTCAGTGCGATTTTGGGAAGGGTTTGGGATTTGTTTGAGTTGTCCGTCGGAAGGAAAGGTCGTGGGGCTTCGCGACCGACCTTCGGCAAGATCCGCGGTCGGGGTCGCGCAACGACCTTTCCTGCGGGAGAACCACCTTCCGGACCAACTCCGTTTTGATTTAGAGTCGCCGGGGGGTGCATTTTCGGGAACGATTCCCGTGCTTTCGGGAATTTCGCCCGGTTTCGGGGTGGTCTGCTAAACCGTTTTCCCGCACGGTTTAGCAGGTTCATTTAGCATGCTGATTTAGCATGCGACTTAGCGTGCTGATTTAGCATGCCAGATAGAGGGGTATTTAGAGCCCCCATTTAGCACCCCCATTTAGCACCCCCATTTAGAGGGGTGCATTTAGAGCCCCCATTTAGCACCCCCATTTAGAAGGGCTCGATTTAGAGCCCCCATTTAGCACCCCCATTTAGAAGGGGTCGATTTAGAGCCCCCATTTAGCACCCCCATTTAGAGTGCCATTTAGAGCGCTTTTGGGCAGGTGCCCACCTCGTCTGCGAAATCGGCCCCATGATTTGCTTCTCCCCACCCCGCGACGCTTCTCCGGGTTTTTCCCCACCCGCAGTGCGTAGGGGGCCGCGCCGGAGTTTCTCCTATGTCTTCTTTTCCTCGGTCCCACACCATTTGCCTCTGTGTTCCCCATTTCGTCTTTGCCTTTTTCCTTCTCGCCCCTTTTCAATTGAGGCGCCGTCCGCATATTCCCCGGGAAGGCCGTTTCTGAAAAATCCCGCAAAATTTAGAAGCGATGTAGCAGCCACCACCGCCCCGGCCCCTCCGCCTGATCGGGGAAAGGCCGTCCGAGGCGGTCCAAATTGGGCCAGAAAGTCCGCGAGGCAAAGTCCGCGCAAAATGTGCGCCGGTTTGCCGCGCCCCCAAATCCGGCGGCAAACAGCACGGGGACGAAGATGATGGTGTGCGCATCATCTTCGAAGCCCCCTGTTCCCGAAATCGAGGTAGTGCCGTCGGGGAAAGGGCGCGAAAGACGGCTCAACTTGGGCCAGAGGATTCCGGAGAGGATTTTGGAATCCTCTCCGGAGTCCTCTGTGGAAAATGTGCGCCGGTTTGCCGGGGCCGCCAGGTTGCTCGCAATCCGCAGCCGACTGTGGCGATTTAAGCACACGAGACGCCAACACAGACGCGGCGCGGTTGTGTACACAAACAGCAGCGGAGTCCATGCGCGCGCCGCCTTTTCGGTTGTATTGCAATGTATTGCAACACACTTTAGCACGAGCTAAGCCGAAGGTTTCCCGGGAAACCTTAAACGACCTTTCCCGAGCGGAATCCATTGACTTCTGGGTCTCACAGCGTCACTTTCTCTTTTTCTTTCCTAGAGAAACGAGAAATCTGATCGACTTTACGTTGAGGGAGGGTTTTCAACCCTCAAGCGCAGCGCAAGCTGCGAATATTTTGTCTAGAGTTTAGAAGTAGAGTACAGGAGTCAAAAATCATGCTGACTGCCACTGCCGCTGCACGAACACCGTCACTCTTCTATGCGTGTGCAATGACCATGAGCTGCCGTTCTTGGGGCACTTGTTGCACATCTCGGGACGGGGCGGGTCGTCGAAAGTACGGGGACAGAGGAGATCCCACTGCAGGGCGGGGACGGCCAGCTGCGGGGCCAGAATGAAGTTTGAAAATCCGTAGTGCGTCTGTATCACGCCGTGCGACGTTCTCTTTCTTGACCGCGTCAGCAGGACTATCTACAACGTGAACGTGCCGGCAAGAGACGGAGAGGCAGTATTACCGTGCTGGTGAAAAGTAAAATTGGAACGTAAAAAAAGCACCGGAGCTCCAGTCGGTTTCCCCTTTCGTCTTGGTCCGCTGCATACGAGACATTGGCCGGTCGGAAAAATGTGTCTGTTCCTTTCACGACCAGAACGCCAGGTGGTCCTCTCCTTGTCGCGGCTGTCCTGCGCCGGCACTAGGCAAATGTGGCCTTTGTTCATCTTGACCGCATTTCTGCTCGGCCTCGCTCTGCCGCTAGGCTCTACCAGGTCTCTCGAAAGAACGCTGTCACTCTTTGCTGCGGCCCTTGAGCACAACGAGAAATACCAGGGCGCGTGTGAAAAGATAGACATCGACCAAGACAATGGGATTAACGAGGCTAATATCCAAGAAAAAACCTGTGTTAGTGTAACTATCTTTGGCTGGCAGCATCACAAAGTTGCTCTACATGACAGAGAAAATCTGTCATGCGTGGCTTGTAAGGGAAAACACACATGAAAAGAGGACTTCATGGCTGTCTGGCATGACAGACGTAACTCTGTTGCATGTTCTGCATTACAGAGTTACACTTACACAGTTTTTTTCTTTCATAGCTAACAAGGACACGGCAGCGCTGGAGGAAGGGTATCGCTGCAAACCGAGACTTATCGTAAGGAAAAATCGCCCCCTCCCATATCGAGAGGAAGTTTCTGATGCCGGATTTCCGTACACAAATGCGCGCTGTCTTGCAGTAAGGCATCGCAGCCAGTAGATCCCTAGCCTAGGTAGGGGTGTATGGGTCTAGTCGTGTAAGTAGCATTACAAACGGCTGTCCCCGAGGCCCAACAGCATGCCAAATCGCTCCCATAATGGCGGCGCGGAAGCCTCTGCGCTTGTCGTCTTGCAAGATAGTCGTGATTTGTGGTCTCAAAGCAGCAACACAAATTTGCGGAAAAATAATACCGCTTCGATATGGGGAGGGGGGACATGTCCTCGCAATAAGACAGCCTCTTTATCACACCGAGGCCAAGACGAAGCGGTGCGCCAAGTCCAAACGTTTTAACTACATTGCTGCAAGCGGGAACACACCGAGGGTGGAAGGTTGCAACAACTGCTACGACTGCAAGTTTAAGAAGCACGAGTTTCTGTGGTTCCGGTGCTGGGAATATCAAATGCAAGCATGTCTGGGTCTGGAAACTTGTGTTGCTGATACTTGCATTGCAAACTTGCTGCTTGTACGGCATAACAGCATGAGAAATTTCGCGAGGCTTATTCCAGATTCATTCGTATTTAGCATGAAGACAAAGTACCATATCCCGCACGACAAAAAAAATGGGCAATGGTATTCATGCATTACAGATCTTGTTGTCCTTGAAGTCCTCCATCGCAAATCCAGACCCAGACATATTTGCAATGCATAGGGAAATGTCGCGAAGTAACGAAAATCAGTACCTGGGGAGCTTCTTGTACTCCAGTGGCGACGAGAAGAAGTGTCAGGACAAATGCCGGGCCTGGGTAAAGGACTGCTACTCTCTGGGCAGCACTTGGGACTTCGAGAACCGAGAGTGGGACCTGACAGACGTTAACCCTCCGGCCGCCTTTATCCAAGAAAAAAACTGTGTTAGTGTAACTTTCTTGGCCTGACAGCATCACAAGTTTGGTCTACATGACAGAGAAATCCTGTCATGCGTGGCTTGTAAGGGAAAACACACATCCACATGAAAAGAGGACTTCGTGGTTGTCTGGCATGACAGATGTAACGCTGTTGCATGTTCTGCATTAAGACAGTTTTTTTCTTGCATAGCCTGCCTTGCCAAGTACGAGGAGGCCGGGTCCACGTGCAAAACGAAAGTGGACGATTGGTGGGACTACTGCAAGAACAAGGGGACTTATGGAGAGAGAAAAAAGTTTGTCAAAGTCACTAACTTGCAGGCTTTGCATTACAAATCTTTTTAGCATCACAACTTTTCCTTATATCGCAGAAACACTAGGGAAATCCCTTATGAAGTTTGGCTGTGATGCCTTTTTACGCATGACAGAAAGTTTTGTATTGCAAAAATGCGCATGTGCATGAGTGATCGTGGCGAACTTTTTTTGTTTGATAGGACTGCTTCCGGGAAGACACTGATGAAGGAGGCGCGCAAGAACTGCACGTATCAAATGCAAATAAATATGTTTGGGTCTGGAAGAGGGCGAGATTTGTCAACATGCTTGTCTGGCATGACTCTGGACTCTGTGTTGCGCTTGCGTGGCCACAAACAGGTCCCTCTGCCTGTCATGCAAAAACGCAGCTTCTCATGCGGAATACGCAACACAGCGCGAGGACGAAAAAACCTGTCATGCTTGGCGGTGCAGTACAGAGTGCTTAGTACTATTCGCTGAGTTGCATTACAAGTTTCCAGATTCAGTCATATTAATATTTGCAATGCATAGCACAAAAGCCCCGACAACGTCCACAACGACCACCACGACGACGATTACCCCTACCAAATGCAAAAATGTCTGGGTCTGGAAGATTAAAACTTGTCATGCTAAATCCGAATAGTGCAAAAATCTGTGTTGCATGAGTGCCAAAAGCTGTCCACTTTCGACCAAGTTGGGAGGTAGTTTCTCATGCGGGATAGGCATGGCAGAGACCTCACAGACTCTGTCATGCTAGGCCCTGCATTCCAGACCTTATGGGTCATGGAAAATCTGCATGACAAATCTCGCAATCTTCCAGACCCAGACATTTTTACATTTGATAACCCCCTATGCCTGGGAAGTATGTCTGGGTCTCGAAGATGATGAATGGAGCTTGTCAAGAACATGCGAAGTCCTAATTCCAAAAAAACCAGTGTTGCATGAACGCCAGAAGTTCTTGCCGAGTTTTGGCTAGGAAACAGCAACAGGCGGATCATTTTTCTTGCGGTGGAATATTAGGCGTGAGGAGGGTCATCTCAAAAACGAACAGGGGGCGGCGGGTTGAAGTTGTCTATAACGAAAAAATAAAGCTAAAGAACTTCACCGGTGTACTTGATGAAAGCAAACACGACCACACTGGACGTCGATTATCGGGGAATGTTGACAGTGGTTCTGTTTCTGTAGTTTACACAAGTGAAAATGAAATAGAATGATACAACCAGTACAAGAACTCCACAAGGAGCCTCAACAAAGCGGATGAATCATGCAAAATGGTTCGCCGGGTAAGAATTTGGAAAATTTGGCTGGGGCTTTTTCAGTTTTCGTTTCTTTTGGAATATTGAATTGTAGACCAAATAACCTTGAGAGGAGGGGGCGTGAACAAGCGGGAGGTCCTGCAGCAAACACAGCCGAGCAGGTCACCATGATTTCAATTATTCCCGGTGCGCAGCTTGAACGACAACGAGCAGCGATAGAGGGTTTTACTCGATGAGTTCTTCCTGCATACTGGTACGTAGCAGTACAGCCGAAATAAAGTACAAGGAGCGGCGGGTAGCCTTGAGAATAGATTTCTGAAAGTATGCGACTTCTTGCCCTGCTTTGCTGTAGCGGGGGAAAGAACAAAAGCAAAATAAAGAATGTTCCCGGCGCCAGAGAGGCATAAATTTCTGCGGCCGCACCTCGGCCTCATGCCGGCATGGCGGTTTGACGTGCGACTCTGCATGAGAAGCCTGGTTCTCGTGTGGGTACTTGCAGTACAACTTTTTTTGAGCTGCAGTACTACAGGCGCATTCTCGGTAGAAGGCAGTGCAAATGAAGAAGCCCAGTTGTACAACCAGAAAGTAGTAGAACAGGGGCGAGCACTTCACGCAGAAATAAACGTCGCGCCAATCCTTCCTGTGCCAGCCTTTGCCCTGCAGCCGTTGAACCAGACTGGCGGGGGGATCTTGGTTACTACGGTAGGTGGGCACCGAACGGCAGCAACGGCTGCTTCGGTCTATCCAGTGCATAAAATATAGTGTCAGGGTCTCCTGGGAGACTGCAAGGTTTGTCATGCACATTCTGCATGGTTTGGGTTTCCTAAAGTGGTCCCCCCGGGGCGGGCGCGGTGGCGGCTCTGCTAGCGCGGAGCTCGGAGGACCGATCTGCACCTATGCGCATAAAAAGGGGGCGCGGAAACCGGTCGGGAGCGTGCTAAAAAAGGGCACGCGTTTGGGGTTGTCCGTCATCGGGATAGGGTTAGCGAGTACGATCTTAGCCCCCCAGCTTATCTTAGCGCGCAACCAACCACAAAAGCGGAGAGGTTGCAATAAAGTTTGCAAGACTATTAACCCACCAAGGCAACGCTGGAGCTCCACCTTGCTCACGGGCTTGGATGATAAGGCAGGCCAACCACATCTAGCGCCCACGGGCCGCAAGCACGCGCAAAGGGTAAAATGGTCACTCTCACTACTACTGAGTAGAAAAACTGGCCGCCTTTTGCTGCTCCGACAAAAAAAAAATCACGCATTTTTTTGGAAAAATCCAACGGCAACTTCGCAAGTTGCACTCTACTTCGAGACCCAGACAAAGGTATTTGCAGGTGATACAGTCTATGAATTGCAAGAGCATCGTACTAGTTGTAGTAATTGCATTACAAATTTCCTCAGCATGAGAAGTAAAATTTGTAATGCTGATTGGCCTTGAGAACCAGACTTGTAATGCATAAATGCAGTTACTACGAGTGCGATACTTTGGCACAGGATACGTTCCCGGATGCGGCCATTCTTGACACGGAGAACTGGATATGCATTGTGCAAATATGTCTGGGTCAGGAAGGATGCAAGGTGTGTCATGCTTGTCTGGCATGACTAAAGAGTTTGCGATGCGTGGCCAAGGAGAGACCCTTTTGCTTGTCATGCAAAACGCAATTTGTCATTCGGAAGGCGCAACACTAAGCAGCGCAAATATTTCTCATGCTTGGCTGTGCATTACAGAGAGTTTTTCACTATTCACAACTCAGCATTACCCCATCCAGACATATTTGCATTTGATACTGGAAAATGGGAAACAATTTGAAGGTGTGGGAGTGGTGCCGCGATGTTTCCTATCAACTGCAAATATAATGTCTGGGTCTGGAAACTTGTGATGCTAAAATGTGGATGATGGAAATAATACTTCCGAATGCAACCTATCCATCGTGACAACTTCCAGAACGCTTTCTCATAGGCAATCCGCATAAGAAGCTGCGTGTTTGGATGTACAAAAGAGGCTGTGAATTTTGGTGGTTATGCAATTACAGATATCCTAGGTATGGAAAGCTAGCATTACAAATTCCAACCTTCCAGACCCAGACATTGATTTGCGTTGGATATGTCCGAACTGAACTCGTGGAAGAACAAAAACAATTGTTGCCAGACCGAATGTACGCATTGCAAATATGTCTGGGTCTGGAAGGTTGCAACTTGTCATGCTAATTTTGGATGGTGCAAATATCTGTGTTGCATGATTACCAAAAGCAGCTGTCCACTTTTGGCCAAGCTGAGAGGGAGTTTCTCATGCAGACGAGGCATGATAGAGGTCAGACAGAATCTGTCATGCTGGGTCATGTATGACAGAACTCAGGTGTCATGGAAGACCTGCATGACAAGTCTTCCAACCTTCCAGACCCAGACATATTTGCATTTGATAGAATGCAAGACACGTTGCAAAGACTATTTCCGCCAGTGCTACGATAATCCGGATTCCGACCCCGTGATCGACCAGGTTTTATCAACTGCAAAAATGTCTGGGTCTGGAGACTTGTGATGCTACGTTGGGAATAATGAATGCTCTGTAAAAATGCACAGGCAAGCACGTTGAGAAATATCTGCGCTTCTTTGTGTTGCGCTTTTCGCATGACAAACTGCGTTTTTGCATGACAGGCAACAGGGTCTCTTCTTGGACACGCGTCACAAACTTTTTGGTCATGCTAGACAGGCATGACAAATCTCAAAATCTTCCAGACCCAGACATTTTTGCACTTGATAGGTTTACTCGTGGTACAATGTATTCTGAGTAGAAACGTCCCCTCTCCAGAGTTGTCATGCACATCTGCATGCCCAAAAAGTTTCTCATGCGGAGGTCGCCGAATGTGCTTCCTCGCCCACCCCCCGGGGAGGGGATCCTTGACCTGTGGCGCTGGGTGCGGGTGTCCACTACATGATGATGATGATGATGATGATGCGGAGCCCAATGAGAGCCATTTTCTAGTCGTGTTTCGGAATTTGTGATGCTAGAATCAGCATGATGCGCTAGATCTGTGATGCTTCGGAACTAGCTAAACAGGATGACAATACGGGGACAAACTTGATGTCATGCCAAACAAACAAAAGTGGTTGATTTGTCTAGCAGATTTCCCATCTTGACTCAACCGCAGATTTCCAGAAGGTGAGGCAACCGCGCCCTACAGGTATGTGGGAGACTGAGATTGGTATTTGTTTTAATCAGTCCTTTACTGTTTCTTGTATGACATGTATGCGCAGATATGTATGCTACAACCGTGGCACTAGCCTTCGGCGAAGTGCGATCTCTTGGTTGCTAATCAGGTATGTATGTCAGGACTAAGAAATAAATACCAAAGGTAGAATTCTAGCGGCAAGAATTCTACCTATCTTCGTCTCCGCTTATCAGTAGGAAGACATACTCAAGGTGGGTGCCAACCGTTTTGCGTGAATACACTTTTCCTTTTCCCTTATTTTTGCATGCGGGTAGCCGTGTATAGAGGCATCCTTCTTTTCCCCCGGCTGTACGCCTGCGTTTGGATCTGTCTTTGTCGCTCTCTCCCGGTACGAAAACGTAGTTGCACTTAGGACGGTATGCCCTCTTCTAGGTAGTGTCCGAAGTTTCGGGTCCGGATTTCGGGCCCACGGTTCGAGTACGGGTTTCGGTTTCGGGTCCGAGTCTCGGCTTCGGGTCCGGGTTTTGATTTCAGGTCCGGGTTGGACCATAAAAGCAAATACCAAAACAAAATCACACTATAGCACCGTAAAACTAAAAGCACCGCGGAAGAGCTTGCTCGCCGGCGGTGTTTTCGGTCTTTTCCTCACCTTGATTTCAAATATGAATTTCCCCGTTCGGTTTTTCGATCCATAGTACTCCGGCCCGACCGGATCCTGATGACGTGGAGGTGACCCCGAAGCGGCAGCTGCCAGTTTCACCGGAGACAAGTGCATCGCGGTGGCCGGTGAATACGGAGCTACAAAAAGAATTTCGGTCTGTTCTGCGCGAATCGCGGCTACTGGCCAGAAAACCGGTGTACAGGGCACCAACACCGCCAAACCAGCTGCTAGCCCTGTTTATGCATTCGCAGAACGGGAATCCCCACCTGGCGCCAGTTTCCGTCGCTACCAGACCTCCCGGCGTATCGGGTCCACACTGCCGCCCTGGGAGCAACCGGAGTTTTACTTGCCCGGACCGGAGCCGGGCCGCGTTTGGGGGCTCGCCATGCTGTCCCTTTACCTCTTCTCGCCAGCAATCCGGCACTTGCGGGCCGGTGCAGCAGCTGTACAATCCACACCACCGGACCTGCACGGGAGCCAGCTGCCCCCCGCAACGGACGATCAGACAAATACGCTGTTGCTGCACTTCCCCGGTGTGCTGTTGTACTTCGACATCTTGCAGACCCTTTCTCCGCCGAGTACACCCGAGCCTGCCGCGTCTCCCAAGAAAGGAAATCCATCTTCAAGTTCCTCCACCCCACACGCCGATTTTCAGCCTCGAATACTGCCGATCCCGTGCAAGACATCCTCGACCGCGACGACATATAACTCGCCGCTGCTGATAGTCGAGATTTCGCCCCGGTTGGTTCCGCAGCTCTTGCCCTACAAGTTCCATCTTATCCAATTTTGCATGACAAAATAGTTAAAATTTAGTGGTTTTACTAGCGGCGCCCTGCTGGCTATCTGCGGTATCTGCACAAAGCTGCCGGTGTAGTTTCCTAGAAAAAGAACTTCCGCCCGCTGCTACCGGGTCAGTACATAGCAAACCGATTCAGGCGGCGCAGTTACTAAATAGCCGGTAGGTGTCACCTAGGCGTGACGCGGTGACTTGTTAGCTCTAGTAAAAAAGTTCGTTTGCACTATCCGAAAAACAAATTTTGCATGACAAATTCCGGCCCTGCAAAGCCGCAGTACATTAGTATCCCCCCGCACTGCTATGCCCCCCAACACATCCGTCCGGACGCTGCAAGATGGAAGAGATGTGGCGTGTGCCGCTGCTACCGGCTCGACACGTAAAGGAAAACGAATCCGCGCGCTCGGCGTGGTAGCTACCCCCATGCCGTTCGGGTTTTAGCAGCCACAGGCATCACAAATTGCGGTCTTCCGATCCTCCCCGATGATTTTCGTCTTATCTTCTTTTGTGGCCGGTGCCTTCGATTCGAGCTTGATCTCGATTTCCTGTCGACCACCGATGTCGACCTTTTGCAGTATGCACGCACAAACGGGATTTTCGAAAGCGGAGGGGGGGGGGAAGAGACCCCCATTTGGTTGTCGCGGCGCGAAGCCGCAAATCTCGTGCTCACGTCCACCATCAGAAGTGTTCCAGCACGGGGCCGCTCCATGAAACTGAAACTGAAGGGTTTAGGGTTTTGGGTTTTGATTTGTATGGACCAATGCGGCGCGCACATCGAGTTTCCTGGCAGTGTCGACCTGCTGTACACGGCGTAACCCCCGGCGGAAATAGACCGGAAAACGCATCTGAAACTGAAATCCCCTCCCGCAGGCAAAAAAAAATAAAAAAAATTTCCCATCTTGACTCTGGTGTGGGGACGTTTTTACTGAGGATACAATGAAAAGGTTCGCTACTCGAAGATAAACACTAACCCGGCTTGCAGTGAAAAATGGAATTCCTGGTGGAGTTATTGTGGCAGTAGAGTCGTAACGTCTGCTATCAAGAGAAAAAAGTTCGTCGCGATCACTTATGGGCATTTTTGCAATACAAAAAATGCCTGTCATGCGTAAACATGCATCTTCACAGCCAAACTGCATGCGGGATTTCCCTTAGTGTTTTTGCAATACACGGCAAAGCTGTGATGAAAAAATTTGTAATGCAAAACCTCCAAGCTAGTGAGTGACTGTGACAAACTTTTTTCTTTCCATATCTGTCACGGGGGGGAAGAAGCCGAAGAACGCGATGATCTACGAGCTCTGGCGGTCTAGCTATCAAGAAGAAAAATCCCCCCTCCCGACATCAAAACGGAAATCTGTGACGCAGATTTGTGATCACAAATCAGCTCTGTCATGCTAGAAGGGAAAAGATGCGGACTGTAGTGCTGGGGGGCGGGAGAAAGCCTTGCTTTTTCAGCATGACAGGAGGCAGCTGGAAGTGGGAAACAGCATGTCAAATTGCCTGCAAGCAAGGCCACGACCGCGGCTCTTGGCCTTCTAGCAATACAAGGCGTACTCAAATACAGCAGCACAAAGTTCGTTTTCGATATGGGGAGGGGGGATTTTTCCTTTTGATACTAGCTATCAAAAACACATCCCCGCGGACCTCCCCGTGTTGGTGCAGTTCCGCGGCCTCACCGGGGCGGAGGTGGACGACGACGCGAAGATCGGAGAAATCCTGGGCAACTCAGTCCTGCACATATCCTGAGTAAAAACGTCCCCACACCAGAGTCAAGATGGGAAATCTCCTAGACAAATCGGCAAGCTTTGGGAGTTGTGCATGACAAGTTTCCGTCTGTAGTATAGTGGCGCATAGCAAGGCAAGCCGCATGAGAAAGCCAATTTCTCATCCTGTTTACAGCATTACAAATGCCAAATCACGATTGGAAATACCTCTCATGGGGATGCGCATTACAAATGTTCCTGTCATTGCGCATTTGCATTACAACTCTGGGGTGGGGATGTTTTTACAAAGGATAGCACAACGCCCTGCGCCATGCGTTGCAGGTTTTTTCTATGCACAGTAAATGTCGTCCCGTAAACGTACAAATGGTGTTTCTGCATGACAAAACTTAGCTTCAGTCCTGGTTTAGCATGACAAGTGTATAGACTTCAAATTGGAGAAATTTGTTATGCATCTTGTACACGTACGGGAAGTTTGTATTGCATATTTTCGGACGCCTTTCGTTGTTGGCAGCAGGAGAATGACGCAAGCAAGTACTGCGCGAACGGGAAGCCGGTGTGTTGCACTCTCGCGGCCTCTACCGACCGCAAATTTGTCTGGGTGTCTGGAAAGTTGTGATGCAAATCTGGTGCGAATCAATCTTAAGCGCACTGCAATACGCAGCCACGCATGACAAGGTTTTGAGCTACTATGTGTTTCGTTTTCGCATGGCAAACTGCGTTTTTGCATGACAGGCAAGAGGCCCTTTTCCTGCTCAACATGCATCACAGAGCTAAGAGTTGTCACGTGACGAGACTACACGCATGATAGACTCGTACCCATCCAAAACACCAGATCGATATTTGCAATGCATAGCCTCGGGGAACGTTGCCGATTTGAGGACCAACGATAATTTGCGGCAGGACCAGTTCAAGGATTTGGGCCTCACGCTGAACAGACAGGCGGCGCAGACGCAGGTGACGGATGCCAAAGAAAACTGGTACTACGAGTTGAGACTGAAATATGGGAGTGTCAGAATTGAAATCGTCAAAGTTGAAATTACTATCTATTATATTCATGCGAAAATATTGGTCTAGAGAGGGTGAACGAGAGGTGGCCGGGAGGTAAAAAAGAGGTCAAAAGAGGTGAAAAAGAGGTCGACAGAGGTGGAGAGGTGGCGCGGGAGGCAGTTCGAGAGGGTGCGCGAGAGGTGGCGCGAGTATAGCCAGCCGAACCGCTCGCCCTTTAGGGCCGCTAAGCGCCTCGGAGGGTGCCGAGAGGTAGAAAAGAGGGCAGGCGAGAGGTGGACAGAGGTGCCGAGAGGTTGCGCGAATAAGGGGCGACCTCCCGCGGACCCTCTTGGCCACCTCTCGGCCACCTCTGTCGACCTCTACCCGCGAGTATAGCCGGAGTATTAGCGGGGACCCCAAAAAGAGGTCAAAAAGAGGGACTGCGAGAGGTCTGCGAGGAGGTAAAAACAGCAAGAAATAGGCGCGAATCCGCATGGCGCTACCCATATCTCGAACTGCAGGCCCTTACGGACTTGTTTTGTTCGGCGTCTTTCCGTGCCACCCTCTCGCGCACCCTCTCGCGTCACCCTCTCGCGCCACCCTCTCGCGCTACCCTCTCGCGCTACCCCCTCGCGCTACCCTCTCGCGCCGGGCGGCTTCTGTTCGCCCCCGGTGTTCTTTGCAGCTGCTCCCTGCGCAGAGCGCCCAAAGGCGCGGGAGGCGCGCAAGTGGTCCTGCGGGTCGGCGCGGCGCAAACAGGCGGCAGGACTCCAATACGTTGCGTTGTGCGCAGGCCCGTGGTGTTGTGGTCCAATCGGCGCACAGTCTTGCCCCGGCCCAACAGCCTTGCGCTCCGGCGGCAGCCGGAGCATGGCTGGTAGTTTGTCATGCATAAAATCGACACCAGTCGGCAGCCCAATTTTCAAGCGGTGCATGACAAATTTCGGCACCATCTGAATCCAGTTTGTCATGCTGCTTAGGGATAGAAGGCGTCTTTTGTCATGCTACGTTAGCAGCTCTATCGCAGACCTGAAACAGGCTGCCAGTCGGCCTCGCTTGCCATCCCTGCAAGAGAGGCACTTCATGCCTTGCAAGTTATGCATGAGAAATTAATATTATTTCAACTTTGTTGTCGATTTCAATCCTGACGCTTCCATATGAAATTCACCGTGGCCCCGGAAAACTGGGTGTATTGGGACCAACCGCACGCACTGAAGGAGATCTGGTCGACCGCACCCGCCACCGGGGCCCCCGGTATCCTGTGTAAAAACTTCCCCACCCCCGACTTGTCATGCGAATTGGCATGCCTAAAAATAAAATGTTTCTCATGCGCAGTCCCATGAGGGCCATTTTCTAATGCTATCGGGTAGCTTGTCATGCTAGAATCAGGATTAGGTACCCGATTTGTCATGCGGTTTCACTACCCAAAACCAAAAGAGGACTGCACTACACTTGTCATGCGCAACACGCAAAACTTGCTGATTTGTGTAGCAAAATCCCCATCACCATCTTGACTTTCGGGTGGGGGCGTTTTTGCTCAGGATGCCCGGGGTGTTCACCGCAGCGCTGAACAGTGAAACAAACGGGATGTACGACTGGCTGGTGCGACATTTTGAGTACGTGGTATCAATTGCAAATATGTCTGGGTCTGGAAAAGTGGAACTTGTAATACGTGTCTTGCATAATTCCTAGAACATCTGTGTTGCGTGACGAGCAGCAGCAGAGCCACTTCCTTTGTAGTCATGCAAAAACGCAAGTGGTAATGCGTGCTAGACATCAGAAAGCGTTTCAAAGAACCGTTTCAAAAACTCGTCATGCTTGGCTGCCATTGCAAGCGTTGCAATCAGCAGCAAATAAGCATCACAGGTTTCCAGACCCAGAGGACATATTTGCACTGCATACGTGGTGCCAGCCTACCAAGTCACTTCGTTCGAAAAGTTTGTTCCCATGACAACCAGCACGACCACGACGAGTACCGTTTCGGTCGCTTTCTCCGGGAAGTTAGAAATGGAATTCGCGGCGACCGTCAGTGACCAGTTTACCGCTCTAGCAAACGCAAAAGTGTCTGGGTCTGGAAGAATGCAAGTTTGTCATGCAGCTTGTCCATGACCCACGAGGTCTGGAATGCAGTACCTAGCATGACAGATTGTGTGCGATCTCTATCGTGCCTATCGTGCATGAGAAACTCCCTCCCGACTTGGTCAAAACTGGACGACTTGTGGTAATCATGCAACACAGATTTTTGCATGATGCAGATTTAGCATGACAAGTTCCATCCTCCCAGACCCAGTCATTTTTGCATTTGATACGCTCTGGCAGCGACCGACTTCACCAACGCCGTCATCCACGTATGCAACGAAAAAAACTGTGTAAGTGTAAGTCTGTGATGCAAAAAATGCAAAACAGTTACACTTGTCATGCCAGACACCCATGAAGTCCTCTTTTCATGTGTGTTTTCACGTACTAGCATTGCATGACAGGCTTTCTCTCTCGTGCAGGGTAAATTTGTAATGCTGGTCGTCCAAGAGACCTACACCAACACAGTTTTTTCCCTGGATAACACGGCATTGTCGATTACTCTGACTCCCGGTTCTATCGCAAGAAAAAACTGTTTCACTGTGAACTTGTGATGCATAGAATGTAACACAGAACTATTTGTCTTGCTACACATGCAAGACATTGGATTTTTAGCTGTGTTTTCCCTTAGGAAGCGCGCATGGCAAATTTTCTCTGTCATTTGTAGCAAACTTGTGATGCAGATCTTGCAAAATCATCACAGTGAAACAGTTTTTTCGTGGGATAGGTTCGCCAGGTTCCCCGGCCCCCGTGAGGAGCTGCTGGTCTCGCAGGTGTATCAACTGCAAAAGTGTCTGGGTCTGGAAACTTGTGATGCTGGGTGGCGTATCATGAGGAGACCACAAGTGCTGGCTCAGCATGACAAGTTTCTGAGCTTCTAGGTGTTGCCTATGCTGCATGACAAACTGCGTTGCTGCATGACAGAAAAGTGGGGCTCTTGGGTAATGTGCATGCCAGATTTGAGAGTCATGTGAGACAAGCATGACAAACTTGCATTCTTCCAGACCCAGACATGTTCGCATTTGATAAGGTGCAAAATTTGAGGCTGCGCGACTCCGAGTGTCTGCACCTGGTCGAGCAGGACGTACGCATTGCAAGAGTGTAGAAGTTGTACTCGGTGGAGTAATTGCAGTCATGCATGAGCATGACAGATCGAGATCCGGCTCCTGACCTGAAAGCGCATTACAAATTTGATTTGTCGTTTTGTTGAAAAAAATTGTAAATGCAATTTACTACGAGCACCAGCACGATACTGCTCTTGCAAATTGCATAAATCGCCTCGGGAAATGATTTGCTCTCCACCGGAACGTACGGCCGCGTGCCGGGGCACATCACGTTCGTATCAACTACAAATATGTCTGGGTCTGGAAAACTGCTAGACTTTGACTTGTCATGTAGGTTTTCCATGACCCATATGATCTGCAATGGAGGACCCAGCATGACAGATTCCGCGAGATCCCTCTCATGCCTACCCTGCATGAGAAACTGCCTCTCAACTTGATCAAAAGTGGACAGCATTTGGTAATCATGCAGCACAGATTTTTGCAATATTCAGATTTAGCACCACAAGTTGCAGAGTTCCAAACCCAGACATATTTGCAATGCATAGTGCGATGGGTGTCTCGACTGGTGTGCGAAAAACTCGATATGGCTTCCTCAGGTGCTACGCTCTCAACTTCTACGTAGCCAACACGTTTGTCATGCAAAATCTGCGTCACTTTTCCAGTTTTCATGTAGCTTCGCATCACAAATTTGAGATGCCTCGAATAACATCGAAATCTGTCCAAAACTTGTCATGCGAACGGAGCAGCGCATCTCGCTTTTCTCTTGCTGGGTTGCTATGAAAAACGCTGTCGGGTACGCAACAGCTAGGAGAGTAACAGCTGAGGAGGCGATACTCGACCTGCAACGCTTTTTGCTTTGTCACCGCGGATATCAAATGTAAAAATGTCTGGGTCGGGAAGGATTCAACTTCTGATGCTGTCTTCGGATTCTAAGAAAATCTGTGGTGCATGACTAACAAGAGGATTCGATTTTGTGCTACACGATGAGGGCATTTGTCATGCTGGATACGCATCAGAAAGCTCGCAAAAAATTTCTGATGCTAGGGCATGCATCACAGACATCAGGAGTCATGCAAAATGTGCATGACAAATCTCGGAATCTTCCAGACCCAGACATTTTTACATTTGATAGCGGAAACCGACACGACAAAGAGCAACTGCGCCGTGAAAACGAAGCACGACGCAATATCCTGAGTAAAACCGACCCACCCCAGAGTCAAGATGGCGGCTTTGCTACACAAATCAGCAAGTTTTGGCTGTTTCGCATGACAAAGCTGGACGCAGAGTGTAGCCCTGTTTGAGGTAGCCGCGCAGACGTATCACAAATTGACTGCCTTATCCTGATCCCAACATCACAAACTTCCAGATAGCATTAGAAAATGGCCCTTATGTTCTTGGGACGGCGCAAGAGAAACATTTTAGGCATGCCAGTTTGCATGACAAGTCTGGGGTGGGGACGTTTTCACATATGACACGCAAGCAAGCTGGGGCCCGCCTGGTGGGGCGATTACGCGATCGTGTCGGCTGCGTGCCTATCCAGTGCAAAAGTATCGTACTCGTACTAATTGCAGCATGCATGACAGATCTACTTTCTAAGGGAAAACAGCATTACAAATTGTATTTTTGTTCTTGAGCAAATTTGTCATGCAGTTTATACTAGAGCTAGTGCGATGCTTTTGCAATGCATAGGGCCGAAAACGGGTTTTGGAGAACGAACCAACCTTGGTCCAACTGGATTTCGTATGCATTGCAAATATGTCTGGGTCTGGAAGGTTGGAACTTGTCTGTGTTGCGTGATTACCACATAAAGCTGTCCACTTGTCACCTAATCGAGATGCAGTTTCTCGTGCAGAATAGGCATCATAGAACTATCATAGAATCTGTCATGCTATGTCCTACATACCAGACCTCATGGGTCATGGAAAACCTGCGTGACAACAAGACTGGCATTCTTCCAGACTTAGACATATTTGCAGTTGATATTTCGACCTCGTGATAACCGAGGACACGGGGAACGACCAGGCGACAAAATTGCAAACCATATGGACTGACGTGACGAAGAACGAAGATGACGAGCTTTTGGATTTTTCAAAATCAATTCAGAACCAGGTGGCAAAACATAGTATCACGGACATAAAAGTTTTGGAGTACACCACCACGACCTCCTATCGCATGAAAAAAGTGTTTTACTGTAAGAATTTTGCAAGTTTTGCATTACAAGTTCGCTACACATTACAAAGAAAACTTGCCATGCGAGGATCCTAAGGTAAAACACCACTAAAAATCACCTGTCTTGCATGTGTAGCAAGACAAACACTTCCGTGATGCATCTTCTGCATTACAAGTTCACAGTGGAACAGTTTTTTCTTGCGATATCTCCACCACGACTGTCCCTGTGAGTGAGAAGGTGAAAATGAATTTCGCGGAGACTGTCACGGACCAGATGAGTGTGATGCTAGACAGTACTGTGCAAACTGCGGTCATTAAATCCATTGTCTCCTACACCAATGCGCAGCTAAACGCGCTCGGAACAACTACGTCGGCTTCACCCAATGTTGAACTTCTCGAGGAAGCACAGGTTAAAAATCTGAAATTATCCGACAGCGAGTGTGTCCGGCTAGTAAACGAGGATGCGCCGGTATGGTACGAAAAAAGTGTTTCACTGTAAGGATTATTTTGCAACTTTTGCATTACAAGTTCGTATACACATGACAAAGCAGACTTGTCATGCGAGGTTGCTATAGGGAAAACACGGGTATTAAGATCACTGGTCTTGCATGTGTAGCAAGACAAACACTTCTGCGCTGCATTTTCTGCATTACAAGTTGAAACAATTTTTTCTTTCCATAGCCGGGGCACGATTTAGCCGCCGGCGGCACCCACGACCGCGTTCCGGGGCACCAAACCTTCGACAGTTGTCTGGATTGGTGCGCGAAACACGAAAATTGCGGTGCGTTCTGTTTTGTGAAAGCGGCGCCCGCGGGGGAGGATAATTGCGCAGTGAAAACCCACCACGATAGCACGAAGTTGGAAGAAGTAACTTTCGGCGACTACGGGATCGTTTCCGACGCCTGTCGGGAGCGGGTGAAGAGTGGTGTGACCTGCTCAAACGTTACAATCTCAAACGTTACAATAGAGTCTGGGTTTTGTATTGCATGATGAGCATGACAGATTCCGACAGCATTCCACTTTCTGCAATACAAATTTCGCCAGATTGTAGTGCGGATTGGGACTCCAGAACTTGTCATGCGCAATCCTATGAGAGTTGGATAGATAACGCACTTCTTGCAACACAAATTCAAGATTCTATTGTAACGTTTGAGATTGTAACACCTGAGCAGGTTATAAGTGGGAATCCGGTGAAGGTGGAGCTCGCGTTTGACTTGTCGACCGATATCAAATGCAAAAATGTCTGGGTCTGGAAGATTTGAACTTGTCATGCTAAATCTGAATGATGCAAAAATCTGTGTTGCGTGAGTGCCAAAAGCTGGCCGCTTTTGACCAAGGTGAGAGGGAGTTTCTCATGCAGCAAAGGCATGATAGAGACCTCAAAGTTGCTCTACCCACTAAAGCCCAATCGTGACCATGCCCGTAGGAACTACTTTATTAATGTCTCTACGACTTTTGACTTCAATCTTAACCTTCACATGTATTCCTACCTAACTTGTGTTTATTTTGTTTTTTCTCTGTACGATTGGCCAAAGCGCCACCGGGACAGCCTGCCCGTAGACCACCGATGTCATGCTGGGTCTCGCATTCCAGACCTCATGGGTCATGGAAAACCTGCATCACAAATCTTGCATTCTTCCAGACCCAGACATTTTTACATTTGATAACCGACTCTGCGGAGCAAGTGACGAACTTGCAGAACATCTGGCAGGCGGTAGAGCTGAACCAGGCGAATGAGAAACTGGAATTTGTGCAGCAAATCGCCGCCGAATTGACTACGCTGCAGGTGACCACGGTGACTGTCGTCACCGCCATGTGCGAGCCCGGGCACCACGATGCGGGCGACGGTATGCACTGCAAATATGTCTGGGTCTGGAGGGGTCTAACTTGCGATGCTGCATTTGGATTCCAAAAAAACTTGTATTGCATGACGAGCAGCAGAGGGAATGCAATTTTTGCCACGCGGAGAGGGCATTTGTCATGCGGAATAGGCATCAAGAAGCCGTCAAAAAATCTGTGATGCTAGGGCATGCAGAACAGACGTCACGGCTCATACAGAACGCGCGTGGCAAGTCTCAGAATCTTCCAGACCCTGACATTTTTGCAATCCATAGACGGGATTTGCGCGGAAAATTTGTGCACCTGCGACCACGGCACGCCAGCTATCAAAATGAAAAATCCCCCCTCCCCATATCAAAAAGGAAATTTGTGATGCTGATTTGTGACCACAAATCAGCTTTGTATTGCAGAGAGGCACTGCGGCCAGATCCCCAGGCTAGGTAGGGGCGTATGGGTCTACTAGTTCAGCATGGCAAGCGCCCCCCTTTAGGCCCAACAGCATGACAAACCGCTTCGATAATGGGGCGGAAGCTTCTGTCCTTGTCTTCTTGCAAGACAGACGTGATTTGTGACCTCAAATCCTTCCACAGCACAAATTTTTGGAAACATACCTTTTCAATATGGGGAGGGGGGATTTTTCCTCTCAATACCAGCCGCGGCGACCAGTTGCCCAGAGCACGACGAGCCCCGCTGCGATTCTTGTAACAACGGCTACCACAAAGATGTGACAGCAACCAACCCTGAACTATGTGTAGAAAACGTGTGCACATGTGACCACGGAACCGCCACGACAGAAGCCACTTGCCCGACGCACGACACGCCGCGTTGTGCCAGCTGTACCAGCGCGGAGTATGAATTGACGGCGGACTACCGCTGCGATACCACCACCACAACGTCAACAACGTCGACCACGACGGTCGCGCTGGACATTCAGGAAGGGTTTCAAATGCAGATGGCGGAAGCGAGTACGAGTAGCAGTTCAGCGTCCTCTGCTGCTTCGACGAGCGCGGCAGCAGCAGTAGCATCAGCCACTTCTGCGAGCTTGTCGGAGAAAGTAATGGAGAATTTGAGATTGTTACGACTACGCGAAGATGAAAAAAAGAAGTCCTCGAAGAGGAAGAAAGTTGAAAATAAAGCCAATACTGGAACTGCTGCAAGCACAACCAAAAATGCCGTCGATGAAGAGCTCAGCGACCCGCTGTTTCAAGAGGCCATTAAAAAGGGCGTCCGTGACTACACGAATTTGAACATCACTGACGCCGCCCTCCACCTTGAAACGGACCAAATTTTGGACCTGGTACTGCAGAAAGTTGTAGGGTCTACTACTACTTCTTCGACATCCGCGTCTGCGGTCGAGGTGAAATTTCACCTGAACACGACTTCCGAAGCGCAGGCCCTCGCGGTGGGGAGCGTGTGGGGTCCGGTGGAAGAAGGGTCCAGTGCGTACTCGGCGTTGGTCGCGTTGCAGCAGTACGAAGTCACAGAAGCGGGCATCACCAGCATCAACCTCGTAGCGATCACGACCACGACAACCACGACCACCACGACCATCGTCTGCGTTTGCAATAACGGCACAGCGGCCACGGGCACAGACTGTACGGCACACGATGCGGAGGTTTGCGGGAGTTGCGACCTTGGGTTTCATGTGAACTCCGCGGACAAGAAGTGTGAAGTGAACACCTGCACTTGTAACGAGGGAACAAGTGCGACGGGGACGGTTTGCGATGTCGACAGTGCGGAAGTGTGCACGGGGTGTATATCAAATGCAAAAATGTCTGGGTCTGGAAACTTGTGATGCAAGGAAGGGAATAGTGAGCCCACTGTAATGCGCTCCACAGCATGGCAAATTTTTTTCATGGTTCTGAGTTGCGTATTCCGCATAACAAACTGCGTTTTTGTATGACAGGGAGGAGGAGTTCTTTGTGGCCACGCAATACAGAGTTCAGAGTCATGCCAGACTAGCATGACAAATCTTGCAATCTCCGAGACCCAGACATTTTTACAATCCATAGTGTAACGCCGGGTTCCATTTATCGGAGTCCATGACTGCAGGTGCTGGAATAAGCACCGCAGCTGCGAATCATCAGCACTGTGCTGCGAATTCCTGTACGTGCGCATTTGGGGAGGTTGCGGAAGGGAGCGTGTGTGACGCACACGAGAAGGAGCATTGCCTTTCCTGCGACAAGGGATACCACATGGTGGATGATGAATGTATATCTTCAAATGCAAATATGTCTGGGTCTCCTGGAAGAGTGCAAAGTTTGCCATGCTCGGCCAGCATGACTCTGAAAACTGGCATGCACGTTGCCCAAAAGCCTCAGTTTAATGTCGTGCAAAAATGTATTCTGTCATGCAGAATAGTAGGCTCAGAAACTTGTCATGCTGAGCCATCACTTGTATGTGGCCTCCTCATGATACGCCACTTAGCATTACAAGTTTCCAGACCCAGACTTATTTGCGAACTCATAATGTATCGCGAACCAGTGCACGTGCGCCAACGGGCACGGTGCCACCGGCGCCCCGTGCGAAGCCTTGGCCGCTGGAGAGGGAAAAGCGGGGGAATTGTGTTGCGAGACCAACAACACGGCGATGTGTGACACCTGTCACACGGGCTGGCATTTGCAGGAAACAGACAAAACTTGTGTTGCAAACACGTGCACCTGCACACACGGGACAGGAGCAACCGGGTCGGAGTGCTCCACTGATCAAACAGAGATTTGCGGGACCTGCGAGGCGGGCTACCATAAAAACCTTGACACAAACCTCTGCGATGAAAACGTCTGCACGTGCCACAACGGAAACCACGCGGTGATCACCGCGTGTCCGACCCACGACACGGAGCAGTGCGTGCAGTGCAATTTCGGGTACGAATTGAAGCCTGTGGATAACCATTGTCACGGGATGCCCATGATCATGCGGGCTTTTGAACTTGCGGTGGTCATCCCGGAGGGATATGAATTGCAAATGTGTCTGGGTCTGGAAAGGTTGAACCTGTTTCGTGTTTCGCATTCCTAAAAAATCTGTATTGCATAAGCAGCAAATAAAGCGCCACACTTTCGCCATGCAAAAACGCAGGTTGTAATGCGTCCTGCGTATGACAAAGCGTTTGAAAAATTTGCCATGCTGCACTGCACTGAAGGGCGCAGTCAATCATGGCCATTCAGCATTACAAGTTTCCAGACCAAGACATTCTTGCAATGCATAAGGGAAAAACCGGCGAGGAAATCGTGTTGGAAAACAACGTGAAGCTAGTCGCTGCATTCAAGAACGGGATTCACAGCTATTTAAACAAGCCTGACGCGATCGATTTCGACCTAGCAGACGTGACAAGTGTCGAGGTGAAGAGTGAGAACAAAACGCAAACTGAAACCGTAACTGCAACCGATGGCACGACGACTTCGAGGAAAACGACGGCGACCTTGGACATCGCCTACGTGGCCCAGATCCCCACGTTGAAGGGGAATAGCCTGGCAAGTTTTGAGGCCCGGTGGCCGGACCCACTCGTCGGGGAACTTTCTGCGGATCAGAAGGCGGAGTTGAAAACCTTTCTAACGGACAGCGTTGTCGCCGCGGCGATTGACGGTGTGTCTGTCGCAGTAGACGTATCCTAAGCAAAAACGTCCCCACCCCATGGCCACATAGATTATGCTTCTCTTCTCGTTGTAGTTCGTTCTCTCCTCTTTTCCTTTTGAAAATTTAAAAAACTTCTCTGTGCTTTAATTTTGGTCTTTTCCAGTACATAAACACTCCATGCCATAGTCAAGTTGGGAATCTAGCAACACAAATCTCCAAGTTTTGGGAGCTGTGCATGACAAGTTTCCCTCTGCAGTGTCGTGCTGGTTGGCAAGGGAAGCCGCATGAGACAGCCACTCTCTCATTGTGTTTGCAGAATTACAAATTTCAAAACTTGATTGGTAATGCCTCTCATGCCGCTGCGCGTTACAAATGTTCCTGTCATTGCACATTTGCATGACAACTCTGGGGTGGGGACATTTTTATTCAGAATAAGACGCGGACATCACCGCTTTAGATTCGCCAACCACGACGACCACGACCACGACGACAACCTCCACGACCTCGTCAACCACTACTTCGAGTACCACAACAACCGCACCGCCTTTGATTGTCGACTCCTCTTTCGTCTTCGACGTGAGTGTCGAGGCTTTTCAAAAGACCGCACTGTTGTACTCATTCAGTGAAAACGAACAAAGCATGTTGACCGCGGACGATAACGTTACAGTGGCAGTTCACGACATGACCTTCCAGGAAGCAGTGAAGAAGGGCGTAGTGGACTACACGAACATGATATCGTGAGAAAAAAGTGTTACAGTTACACACTCTGACGCAAGACCAGCAAGACAGACAACCTCTGTCATGCAGGATATGCTTGCCAGTGCCAGCCTCATGTCATGCTTGTTTTCCCTTTTTACAGGCTGCGCATTACAAGTTTTCTTTGCCATGCAGAGCAACTTTGTGATGCTGAAATTACAACAAATGTGTATAGTCGTGTAACACTTTTTTCCTGTGATACATGAAATTAACCGATACCAATCTACACGTCGAAGAGTCCCAAGTCCTCCTTTTCGTCATTGCGGACCTCGACGTGACCGCGGATTCGCTCGGCGAAACGGTGGATGTCCATTTCGAAATCAACTCGACGTCGCAAGAACAGCGCCAAGCCGTGGACGATATATGGCAGCACGTGGAAAACGATGACGGAGAATATTCTGCTCTCGTGCACTATCAAATGTAAAAATGTCTGGGTCTGGAAGATTGCATGTTTGTCATGCTTGTCTGGAATGACTCTCAAATCTGTCATGCACGTTACCAAAGAGCGCCATTTTTCTGTCATGCAGAAACGCAATTTGTCATGCAGAATAGGCAACACCTAGAAGCTCAGAAACTTGTCATGCTGAGCCAGCACTTGTGGCCTCCTCACGATACGCCACCCAGCATCACAAGTTTCCAGACCCAGACACTTTTACACTTGATATGCACGTCCAACAGGACGAGATTAACAATGCGGGGATCACCAACTTAGTGATCAAAAAGCACCCGCGGGGGCGGTTGCGGGACTCGCAAAAGCGAAAGTTCGATATCAAATGCAAAAGTGTCTGGGTCTGGAAGGGTGGAGCTTGTGATGCTAACTTTGGACTCTAAAAAAAATCTGTATTGCATGACCAGCAAGAGGAGTCTAGTTTGTGCTACGCGGGGAGGGCGTTTGTCATGCGGAGTAGGCATCGGGAAGCCCTCTAAAAATCTGTAATGTTAGGTCGTGCATTACAGACATCCTGGGTCATGCAAAACATGCATCACAGGTCTCAGAATCTTCCAGACCCAGACATTTTTGCATTCGATATTCGAACTTGGGATGGAATTGGCAGATAACTCGAAGGTGAAGAAAGTGACGCGGGATTCCGAGTTTCAAGACGCGGTGATTGAGGGGATCGTGCTGTGGTTCCGATCGAAGGGGGTTGTGGACATGGCGTACACGCAGATTGCGAAAATCCAGATCATGGGCAAGAAAAGTTCATCATCTTCTTCCGCGGCATCGTTTCTCGAAGAAGATGTTGGTGCCGGCAGTAGTGATCTTGACGAAGAGAGCCATGTGGACATCCTCGCTGCGATTCCCTTCCGAACAGAACCAGAGGGTGCGGAGCTTATGGAGATAGAAAACGACGGAGATGCTACTACGACATCATCAAATAGCGACAATTTGTTGGACCACCGATCGAAGGAAGAAAGCGGGGGTAGCAGTGCGACAAGTAGTGCTAGAAAAACAAAGAAAAGGGGCCTGGGTGACCACACGAGGATTCTTCGGTATGAAGATGATGACGTAAGAAGTATGAGTCCTACAGGAGCGGAGCAAAGCGGCCATCACGCAGATGAAACAGCCTCGTCCTCTAGAAGAAAACCAGCGCCGCAAGCAGGAGCGCCGTCTTCAGCAGTGCAATTGCTACGGAAACAGGAACAGGGAGATCATCTTCAAGCACGAGGAACACGCGGGGGCGGCTTGATAACTAGAACTGCTAGTACACGCTCATTCTCAACAAAAAAATCCATTAGCACGGTCGTCATCCAGTTCCACTTGCAGCCTTTGAATGACGCCCAGGCAGACAGCCTGAACACCGCCTGGCCATCTGCCACCGCGGGCGAGGAGGTGTCACCCCTGGATCCAAGTTCTGATTCCTACGCAGGGTTGTTGGAAGACGTAAACAAAGAGGTGGCGAAGTCCGCTACGCTGACTACCATGGGCGTCTCCATGGTGAACGTGGCTGAAGTATCAAATGCAAAAGTCGTGTCTGGGTCTGGAAGAATGCAGATTTTTGTCATGCTGTTTTTGCATGACGCAAAATGTCTGTCATGGAAGCCCTAGCATCACAGATTTCGAGAAGCTTCCGCATTGCTTAATCCGCATGACAAATCCCTCATTTTGGTGACAGGAAATGGGCACCTTTTGCTGCCTATGCGTGACAGATTTATCTATGTTGTGAAATGCGCATCACAGGTTCGCATCCTTCCAGACCCAGACATATTTGCAATGCATATGAAGCGACAGCGGATGACAAGAAAAACGGTTTTCAGCTAGGAACAGCAAACGGAACTGCGAACACGACAACCACGGGAGATGACGAAAAGAAAGGTAAGGGCCCGCCGGTTCTAGCAATCGGCGTTGGGGTGGGGGTGATTCTTTTGCTGGGTGTAGTAGGAGTGGTTCTAATGTCGTCAGGAGGTAAAAATGAATCGGCAGGAGCGGCAGAGGATGCGGGAGAAGAAGAAGGAGGGGGAGCCAAGCATCATCACCACGGCAAGGCCGACGCGGAAGGCGAGGACGGTGATGATGCCGGGGAAGGGGATGAGGGCGGCGGGAATGGAGACGGCGGTGGGGATGGAGACGGCGGTGGGGATGGAGACGGCGGTGGGGACGGAGAAGGCGGAGGGGAGAATGAAGGGGGCGGAGGTGAAGAATGAGCGGAAGGATTTTATGCTGGGAGTCTATTTTTGGAAAATAACCAAATCTGTATAATAGTGCAACCTGATGTTGAATCAAGACGAAAAAACTTTACTGAAGGAAGCACACTGCTGATTAACGAGATTGACACTGATTCTGTTTCTAGTTTACACACACACGAAGACTGTCGAAAAGCACGCGAGCCGGATAAGCGGCCAAGAAAAAAACGCTGAAAATCATTCCACACACGACACGCACACGCAACGGATTTCAGAATGAGTTTCCGCCGCACGGCGCGCTTTTTTTTCAAGAAATAAAGACCAAAGAAGATGTGAACAAAAAGGCCAAACACGAGCATATAGAGGAAAACGTAGTGGGGCCGTGGACCTTCGAGTTCACAAGAGCCAAAGCTTTTCTTGATGCCACTTGAGATGTCACAAGTGAGACCTCAATTATGTTCCCGAGAAACCTCCCGCTCGGGTCTTGGCTTGAGAGGAGGGATGAGGAACTGGAAAGGACTGCAGACTTCTTTCATGTACGCGAGAATGCAAAAAAGCTATAAGCAGAGGCAGAGGGGGTTTTAGTATTATAGGAAAAGCGATTCCAACGGCAATTCTTTGGTGCTCGGGGTGTCGAGTGCGTTTCTTTCGTCGTTCCTGTGAATACTTAAACGAATCTGTATTGCAGAAAACCGCTGTTGTAGTTGTAAAGCGGAGCCGCGAAAACTTTACGGACCGTGAGCCGAATGATCTCCAATTATTTCTGCAGAAAAGATGTTTCCGGCCCCAGAGAGGCATAAGTTCCTGCGGCTGCAGCTCGTCAAAATGCCGGATATTTCATTTCGCCCGCGATTCTGTCCGTTGTGGGTAGCGTTGCTATTGGGCAGCACAAGCACTTTTTCCTTGGTTCGTGCAGCAGAACAAGTACCGGAGCCGCAACCGGAAGCTGCAGTGCTAAACGCTACCGCAACGGTCCCCACTGCTTCCGCCGTTGTTGAACAGTCGCATCATGCACAGTCTGCTACTACACCTCCCCCCGCCTCCGCCACCACCAGCCCCTGCGACTACCTGGAGGACGGGCGCATGGACCCCGCCCGTTTCGACCAGGGCTACCGGTGCAAACCGAAGACCCTGGCCGACGACACCACTGCTATGGGGGGGAACTGCCACAAGAGCAAGACGGATACACCGGAACACGGGTTTTTCAAGTGCTCCGACTGCGAGCATTGCGAGTTCCGGAGGGAGGAGAAAATCTGGGAAAAATGCTGGCACATGTCGCAGATCGACCCGGTGACGGATTTATTCAGCGGGGACACTACCACGGTAAACGCCAACGCGACCCACTGTCTCGCCGCGTGTAAAGAGTTCGTGGAAACGTGTTACGATTTGCCGGAAGCAGATTACGAAACCAAGAACTGGAACGGAGTGAGCATGCCGGTCGAGATATCAAACAAAAAAAGTGCGTCACGATCACTCATGCGCATTTTTGCAATACAAATTTTTCTGTCATGCGTAAAAATGCATCACAGCCAAACTTCATAATGGACTTCCCTAGTGTTTCTGCAATACAAGGAGAAGTTGCGACGCTGAAAAAATTTGTAATGCAAAGCCTGCAAGTTAGTGACTTTGGCAAACTTTTTTCTCTCCATGCGAGACCTGCCAGCAGAGGTACAACAGCGGGAAAGGAACGGGTGGGCAGTGTACAACTACTAGTTCTACGTCGGGAGTAGATCCCTGTTGCGCAAACGCGAACGCCTTTTACGACTCCTGCATGGAAAAAATCTTCCGGCACGAGCTTTTGGCGGAGGTGGTGCATGACTGTTCCCAGGACGAGAAGCACAAGGCGGTGTTGACAACCTCAACGACGACTAGCACCAGCTCGAGTACTACAACCCCCGCTGCACAACAGGCCGCGGTCTCTTCGATGTCTCTTTTGGAAGAGAACGAAAGTCATCTCGACGGTCATGCGGGGTCGTCTTCCATTTATTCCAGTAGAGAATCATCTTCAACCGAGTTGAAGACCGATCACTGCACTTGCACCAACGGCACACCCGCAACGGGAACGGACTGCGGGGATACTGACACGGAAAAGTGTGCGCAGTGCAACGCCGGGTTCGAGCTGGATGTTGGGGGTGGTATGACGTGTGTTGCTAGTAGTTCAACCAGCGGGAATGGTAACACGACTGGCGGAGTGGGAGCATCATCACCAATTTGCACCTGCGCCTACGGGACTCCGGCGGCCGGCACAGAGTGTACGAACAACCTGGAGGAGAAGTGCGTGCACTGTGACAGTGGCCACTACCTAGACAGCGCGAGTTCGCATTGCGTGGCTTATGCAACGACGGCAGCACCAGCAGGGACAACCACCACAACACCGCCCGCTCTCGACAGCTCCGCTTCCTGCGCCTGCGCCAACGGCACGCCGAAGACCGGTATCAAATGCAAATATGTTGTCTGGGTCTGGAAGGTTGCAACTTGTGATGCCGATTCTGGAATAGGCAAAAACTTGTATTGCGTGAACGCCCAGAGCTGGCCATTTGTTGCTACGCAAATAGGGAATTTCTCATGCGGATTAGGCATCAAATGGAGGCCTGTGCAAAATCTGTAATGCTTTTGCGTGCATTAGAGACCATTTGCGCGATCCAAAAGATGCATGACAAAGTTCTGCATTCATTCAGACCCAGACGTTTTTGCACCTGATAACCGGCACGGAGTGCGACGCGAGCCCGACGCCGGAGAAGTGCGAAAGCTGTGATGCGTATGGGTTACAAATATGTCTGGGTCTGGAAGTTTGTAATGCGCATTTTGCATCACCGGCGATGTCTGTGATGCATGCCCTAGCATCACAGATATTGCGACGGCTTTCTGATGCCCGTACTGCATGAGAAATGCCCCCTCCGCGTAGCAAGGAGACCACCTCTTTTGCCCTTCCTGCAATACAGATTTTTTTGGAATCCAAATGCAGCATCACAAGTTGCATTCTTCCAGACCCAGACATATTTGCAATGCATAATGCGGGATTCCATTTAGGAACAGGACAGGGCACAACTGCCGGCGAGTGTTTGAACAACCTGTGTACGTGCGCCCACGGCCAGCCGGCGACCGGGACTTCTTGCACCGGCGACCAGATGGAAATCTGCACCGTGTGCGCCGACGAGTACGAGATGGTCGCGGGGAGCAAAGTGTGTACGGCGACGACAACCACCTCGACAACGACATCGACGACATCCACGACTTCCACCGTCCTTATCTGTCAATGCACCAACGGCGTGCCCGCGACCGGCGCCGCGTGTACGGGGGACCACGCGGAGATCTGCAGCTCGTGTTTCGCCGGGTACCACTTGAATGTTGATGTGTGTGAAGTCAACATCTGTACCTGCAACCACGGAATCGCCGCGGCGGGAAAGAATTGCACGGTGCACAACACGGAGCTTTGCGGCAACTGTGACGCGGGGTATCACGAGAGTACCAGCGATCCGCAGGGGCGGTGCAACGAAAACGTCTGCCAGTGCGGGTTCGGGGTCGGCGCGAAGGGGGTAGATTGTCCGGCGCAAGACGCGCAGAAGTGCGAATCGTGTGTGGACGCTTCGTACGAAGTGAGTAGTGACAAAACCTATTGCGTGCATTTGTTGCAGATGAAACAGTTCGAGATGTTGATGGCGGAGGTTGTTGTTAGTACATCATCATCGTCGTCGTTTTTTCAAAAAGTATCCGCCGGTCCTGGCCACATCGCGGAGCACGTTCTCTACGACCCGGCTTTGCAGGACGCCATGAAGAAAGGCGTTTTTAGCTTCACGAACGACAAGATAGTAGAAGTTGATTTGAAACTGACCGAGCAACAAGTCAGGAATTTACACGTCAACGAGTCGGACGCCAGCACTATTTCTGAGCCGAGAATTACCGTTACCTTTGAGATCGACAGCAGTCTGATGAATGAACAGTCGTTGACCGTGCGGCAGGCGGAGAAAGTGGAAGAAATCTGGAACATGGTAGCGGATTTGAGTAGTAGCGAGTACGGGGCGTTGGTCGATTTGGAACAGTACGAAGTGGATCTGGCGAATATTACTAGTTTGAACTTGAAGCTCTATCCGGTTTTGCCCACTACAACCACAACAAGTACAACCTCGACGACTACAACAGCGGCGCCAACACCAGCACCAGTATCTCCAACACCAGCATCCCCATCCCCATCGCCAAGCCCGTCCCCCAGTCCGTCGCCCACCAAATCCGAGGTTTCCGGGGGCTTCGAGGTAGAGTTGGAACTGACGGAAAGTGACTCATCTTCGCTCAGCAGCTTATTGGCGAAAACAACATCGAGGCGCCTTGGCAAATTGCAACATCATCAGTTCCTCGAAACAGCACCAAGCGACGAGAACGTCACTGTTGCGGCGCACAACATTACGTTTGAAGAAGCGATCAAAAAGGGCGTGGTTGACTACACCAACATGAAACTCACGGACGACAGTCTGTATCAAATGCAAAAATGTCTGGGTCTGGTGGAAGAATGCAACTTGTGATGCTGCATTTGGATTCCAAAAAAATTTGTATTGCATGAGTAGCAAAGGGAATGCAATTTTTGCTACGCGGATAGGGCATTTGTCATGCGAAATAGGCATTAAGAACCCCCCGAAAAATCTGTGATGCTACGGCATGCATCACAGACATCATGGCTCATGCAAAACGTGCGTGACAAGTCTCAGAATCTCCCAGCCCCAGACATTTTTGCATTTGATAGTCTGCATTTGGAGGAAAATCAGGTTCTCATTTTCGTCCTCACCGATTACAACGCGACAAAAAAGGACGAAACGCTGGATGTTCATTTCGAAATCCAAACGAACTCGGATGAGCAGAAGCAGGCGGTTGATGACATTTGGAAGCATGTGGACGACGACGAGGGGGAGTATTCCGCTTTGGTTCACGTCGAGCAGGATGAAGTGGCGGCCGCGGGTATTGAGAACTTAGTGATCAAGAAGCACACTCAAGCGAGGCAAGACGTCCAGTTGCGGAAAGTCGACCTTGGGTTGGATTTGGCGAATAGCGGCTCCGGCTCGGCGCAGGGCGATTTGCAAGCGGTTTTGTCTGACGCAGGGTTCTATCAAATGCAAAAGTGTCTGGGTCTGGAAGAGTGTAAACTTGTCATGCAGGTTTTCCAGGACCCTTGAGGTCTGGAATGCAGGACCTAGCATGACAGAGTCTGTGAGGTCTCTTTCATGCCTATCCTGCATGAGAAACTCCCTCCCAACTTCCTTGGTCGAAAGTGGACAGCTTTTGGCACTCATGCAACACAGATTTTTGCATGATTCGGATTTAGCATGACAATCTTCCAGATCCAGACCCAGACATTTTTGCAATCCATAGGTTCAAGAACGCGCTGCGGACTGGGATTGTGAAGTGGTTCCAGGACGAGGGCGGGGTTAGTGATTTAACCGAGGATCAAGTTGTGTCATTGAATTTAGCGTGGAGCGTTGGGAGCCCTACTAGTTCTTCCGCCGCAGCGGCTTTTATTTCGGAGATATCCGCGGACGGAGGGTCATCGGCTTCGTTTCTGGAAAAAGGGGAAGATGTTCGTGGTTCACCCGCAGCGGCGGGAAAGAAGAGAAGAAACACAAGCACCAGGGTGCTGCGGTATGAGGAAGAAAGTAATAGTAGAAATCACGTCGTCCAAAAGCAAAACAGTATCAATGCTGAACTACGTCGAGGACCGAAAGACCAGCGACCGATTCTCTCTGCCGTGCAGCTTCTCCGCAAGACAGCCAAATCGTCTACCGAGTCATCTGGATCGACTACTAACGCGAGAGTCTACGTCGAGTTTGGCATCCAGGCCACGTCCGCCCAATCCGCAGCCTTAAACACCGCTTGGATGTCGACGAGCTCCGCGTCGCAAGCGGTCACAAAACTGGACGACGGTAGTACTGCAATGAAAAATGCCCCCACCCCGGAAGTTACAAAAGTTTCTCATGCAAAGTTTCCAAATAAAAGCTTTTTGTCTTGATGCATGAAAGGATTGCGAGCCTTTCTGGTGCAGAATCTAGGTGCGCAAGGTGTCTTTTGCATAAGAGATCCGGCTGCTGTTGGGCTCCTTTGCAACACAAATTTGAGCTATTCAGTTTGGAAAATTTGTGGTGCTGATATGGCCCCCTCAAAACGTAAGTTTTCAACTCGTAAGTGCGCTACCCAACTTTTTTGCATAAAATTACCACTTTTTTTTTGGTTTTTCATTTTTCGCAAAAGTAGCTACTTTCGATGAAAAATTGCAAAACGTCGACTCCGATGATTTCACTAAAAGTAGCTACTTTACAAAAATAGCTTGATTCATTTTTAGCATGCTCAGCTCATCATTAGCTAGGACCCGGGCCGGCGACGGAGAGGTGAGGAGACGGACACACCAGGCTGCTCCGGGAAGCGCGTGTGGGAAATGGAGATCATGTTCTTGCAGCTGCTCCTTGAAGCGAGTATGGGAAACGGAGATCATTTTCTCGCTCTATGATTTGCAATGAAGTAGCTTGCATTCGGCGCCCGGATTTACAAGTAGTCTGAGCGTTCGCTTCTTCTACATAGTCGCGCGCGTGCGTGCCTGCTGTGTGCCTTTGGCATGTGGAATAGGGTCGCTCGACGCCTTCACGAATACAGAAAGAGGCTTCTGGGTGTCTATAGGTGATGCAAAAGCGAGATATTTGGGATGCCCGCCCCCCCGCTACGAAGTGAAAATATCCAGCCCCGAACAAAAGCCGTATTGCAAGTCATAGACTTCCGGAGCCCGACAAAGACGCCCTCTTGTTGGTTTGGACGGCCTGAATCACAGCGGCAACAATGGCGCCACTGTCGAAAAACGTCACAAATGCTCATCAATGGAAGACCATTTTGCATCGTAAAAAGTGCCACTCTGCATCTGAAGAAGCTGCTTTTCCAGCTTCTTGGCATCGGTCGGAAGCTAAAAAAAGGCAAAAAAGCTGCCTGCGCATGCACAAAGTAAGGAGCTTCATCCGCTGCAGCTGCGTCTGCATCTTCAAGGGATCTAGGATCTAGAGCCACCCCTCGGGACCAGGCGCAAGTGCCCTGGGTGTCCAAATTGGTCCGCCACAGGCAAGGCATTTGCGATGCTTTTTTCCATTGATAGCCGTCCACAGCTCGCCTCCTTTCGACCAATGTTGTGCCCTCGACGTGCGGCAAACATTGGGCCGGGCGCCTCGCGGCTCGGCGCAATCGGCCCGCCGGCATTGTGCGCAACGCCACCACCGAGCCGGGGCGGGCGCTTGCCGCCCCAATGCGCAACCCCCGGCCGCGCGCCCGGCTCGGGCGCAGCCCGCAGCACACCGCCAAGCCTTTGGCGCCCGCCCGCCCGTGTGCAAGGCGCTTGGCCGGTCTGCCGGGCGAGTGGCCCGAGCTGGCGGCGGGGGGCGACATGTGCCGGCATTGTCCCGCGCCCGCCGCCCGTTGAGCAGCGGCCGGCGGGGCTAGGTAGCTAGCCGATCACTCAAGCAAAGCAAAGGAGGCGAGAACACCCCACGCCCCGTCCATCCGTGTCCGCTTCGCGCAGACAGAGCGCGCATGCAAAAAACGGCAGAGGTTGGTGGCCGCCCGGCCCTTGGCAATGGTTCTGCCTTTGCGGGGTGGGATCGATTCGAGCCGGCCGGCGGCCGGCGACAAGCAAGAAGCAGGGCCGGCCGCGCGCGGTGGATAGTTTGCTGAATGGCACCAAGTGGACCCCCCAAGTTGTAGGCCGGGGCAGGCTGGGAGCAGGCGAGGCGGGGGCCGGCTGGCAGGTTGGCTGGGCGGCAAGGAAGCGCGCGGGGCCGGGGCAGGCTAGCAGGCCGGCGGAGGACTGCGCCGGCCGGCTTCGTTCCTTCCGACACCGACAGACGAGGGGGGGTCGGCTTGCGCGGGAACCTTCGCAGAGACAAGGGCCACCACCAAGCCGGCGCCCGCCCCGTCTGAAGGCTGGCAAACGCCGGCCGCGCGGGGGGGCGGGGCCCTACTTTCTTGCAAAGCAATTCGCGGCCCGTGCGTGGCTCCTCCATACATTATTTCCCAACAAGTGGGGCGCCCGCTAACGTGGCAAAACACTTCCATAGGGAGCGCGCTCGCTATTTGTAAAAAAAATTTTACAACAGGCCGCGCGCTGTTTGTGCGAACACTTTTACCGGGCGCGCGCTACTTGTAAAATTTTTTTTACAAATAGACCAGCCGGGCCGGAGGGCCAATGGCAAAGAAACGGGCCGGCGCCGCGGCCTTTCCCATATACACCCATCGGGCGGGTGGGGCGGAGGGGGGGCGGCAAGCCGGTGGCCGACCTCTGGTCCGGGGTGGTGGTAAGGTGGGGGCCAACGCGCTTGGGGATTTGTAGTTGCGTGGCCCACGTGCTTGAAGCTGCTACCTGCGTGCGCCCACATGAAGCCGCCTCCCCTCTATGTGCTGCCCTTCCCCGACTAGACGCGGGGCCAGAGGGCCCAACTACGGCCCTCTGCCTGCCGTCGCCCGCGGGCCGTCTACATGTGAGTGCCGCGCGTGTTTGTTTTTGGCCCGGCTTTTCCGCCTTTCGCGCCATTTGTTGCGGGGGCGGGCGACATGCGCCGCGCCCACACACAGCTGCCCCACAAGCTACACACTGCGGGCCCCGCTCCCCCAACTACAAACGGGGGCGGGCCCACACACAGTAGACGACGCACCGGCCCAAGCCTGGCCAGGCTCGCGCCCATGCATCGGCCGCGCGCCCCGCTGGCTTCCTAGCTGGGGCGGGCCAGCAAGGTGCGCCACCGGCTATGCTTGCTTACATAGAAGCCGCCCGGGGAAAGCGGGCGAGCGGGCTAGGCGGGCCCGCCGCGTTTCCGGTTGCGGGCTAGCAAGGCTAGGCAAGCTGGCCCACAAGCAAGCTAGCAGCTGGCGCCCCGACAGTTCTCCGCGTTGCCTGGGCCAGCTGCACGCGCGCGCACACAGTTGGTCCGCCAGCGCCCCTCGGTGAATCGGCGGGCCGGGCAGCTACCGGGGGCGCCCGCCTAGGTTGGTGCGGCCGTCGGGTCCGCTGCTTTGCGGCCCGGCCCCCCTGTCGCCGCCCGGCCAATTGGTTCGCGTAGCTTGCCGGCCCGGCCCGGTAGGTTCACGCGCTCGAGCCCGGCCCGGCTCCGCTATGGGCTTTGCCGAAATGCCTGTGGCCCGGCCGCCCAACCACCAGCGAGGGGGCCTGCCCGAAGTAGTTTGGCGACCAGCTGCGCGGGCTAGGGGGCGGCGCTTTCTATCTTCCCGGCGATGGACGGCCCACAACAACCCGCTGCAGCCGGCCCTGTCCCATGTTGCCCGCGCCGGCCCGGCAGCCATTTCGCGCGGCCGGTCTGTGAATGCTTTGGACGGACCATCATGCGCGCCCGCAGGTAGCTGGCCCAAAATATTACGGAGCGCAGCTAGCAGGCCAGGCCCGGAGTGAGTTCCCCTGCAAGCAAGCTGCGCGCATCTTGGTGCTGTGCCAACTGCACGGACCGCCAGCATTTTGCTGCCTCGCAGGCATGCAGCCCGGCGCGGCCATTTCCGTGCGGCGCCCGCCCATTGGCCGCGTGGCCCCGATGCGTTGGCACATAGCCACCCCGCCGGCCGCGCGAAGCGGGCCGGCGAGCTACAGGAGCCACCCCCCTTCCGCTAGTATGATAAAAAAGAAAAGGCCAAACCACAGGCGGCCCACGCGCAGGCCCTCCGCTCCCAAAGAGTCCGCCGGCGCCGCGCTTCGCGTGCGTCGCTCAGCTGCATGCGGCAAAACCGAGCGGGGCCGCCATCCAGCTTGCTCTACGCAGCAAGCCGGCCGGCCCGGTAGCCGCTGGCTGCGCGTAAAATGGAACGTACGGCGCCAGCGATGGGGGCCAGCTTCGCGCGCCCCCCCCCCGCGTTCGAGACAGAGCCTGGAGCCAAGAGGCCGCCTGGCTTTTGGGCCGGGTTCAGGGTTCCCAACTTGCCCAAGTGGGCGCCGGCGCGCATGCAGCTTGCTTGTTGCTTGGGCCGGCCGCCTGCAGCGGGTTAGCAGCTAGCGCAGCGGCCCCATTTGGCCGGCAGGCGAGAATGCTTGCCGGTGGCCCAGCTCGGTCCGTGTTTCGCGGCGATTTTTTTGGCCCTGCGCCGGCGTTCCTCCCCCCTGAGTAGCTATCCAAAGGCGGTGGGCACGCCGCCAATGCGACTCCATCGATGGAACAACCTAGCGCACCAACGAACACCAGCGGCACGGGGCGGGCCGGCCCACTCTGGCGCAAGCATCCCGTGGCTTGCAGTCCCCATGGCCATAGCCCGCATGTTTGTTGCTGGCGCAATTTGGCCAGCGGGCTCCCGCGCTTTGAAGTAGCCGCATGGATGCGCCAGCGCGCCTGCTGGCGAGCTAGCTGCTGCAGCAGCAGCCGGGCTGCGTGCAAGCTGCGTCCGCTCCGTGCGCGCGCGCGCCGGCGGGGGGCCCGACTCACTGAATTTACCCCCGGCGCAGGCAGCCTGCCCAAGCCGGCAAGCCCTTGCGGCGCAGCGCTTGGGCCAGCTTGGTTGGCGCTCCCGCACGCCTGCAACAGGGCGGCCAGCTACTCACGGCGGGCGGCTGGTTGGCTGGGCAGGGCAGGCCCATAGCGTGGGGCGGTGGTGTGAGTGGGGTCCTAATATAGCTGGACCGCGCTGCGAAAGCCTGTCGCGCTGTTTGCCGCAGGCCCCCGCGCCGGCCCGGTGGGGGTCGCTAGCCGCGTTGCCGGAGCATGGGCCCCCCACCCCAGTCGGCCCCTCTCCTGGGCAAGCGGCGGCGCGCTCGCGGGCCACCCCGCCACAAGGGCCCAGTCCTGACTAACTCGCGGCACCAAGGTAGCAGGGCCCCTGCTTCAATAGGCGCATGACCGTGATGGGCTACGCTAAGCAACATGCGCCTGCATGTCGGCGACAGCGCCTGGCCCCTCGTCCACAGTTTGGATTGGACGGGCCCGCAACTAATCGTAGGGGCCAGCTGCATGCACCTGGCGGGCCAGTTGCATGGCCCAGCCGCGTGCGCCGCGCGTTGTTTTGGATGGCCCCCCCGGCTTGGCAGCCGCCCCACCCGCCCCTTGCGACCGGCCCGCGCGTTGCGCGCCTGGTTGTCTTTTCCCAGCCGGCCTCACGTAGGTGGCGCGCCGCGGGTACGAAATGCCCGCCGGCCGCGGCTCGTTGCGTATGTTCCTTCGGTTGGCCAACTATAGTGGCCACATGCATCCGTTAAGCCGGGCGGCGGGCCTGCTAATAACAATGCGCCCGGCCGCGGGGGCCCGCCAAACGCAACCCGCCCAGCCACGCAGTAGCTACCAACCTACCCGTCCCGGCCCGTCGGCAATTTCCCAAATCGCCTGGAGCAACTACGCGCCATCCCGTGCATTTTGCCACCAGCGCCAGAAAGAACGCGAGGCGATTCGGTGAAGAAATTTGCCCAAGCGCGCCAGCCTGCCACACGGGCCGCGCACCGCCCGGCCTGGCGCGCCCAAGTACGACGAAAACCGCCCGGCCCCCATTTGTTCGGCTCGAAGCCAGGCAGGTGTGGCCGCGCGCCGTTCGCTTGTTGTGGCCCGGCAGCTGCACGCAACAAGCCGCCCCCCGAACTAGAGGCACCGGGCCCCAACGCCCCTCTTTACGGAGTTCGCGCAGCAGCTTACTATGGGGGCACACATGGAGCCTGTTTGAACCGGCCGCGCCTCCCAACCGTTGATCCCACCACGGTGCGCCGCATGTTGTTGGTCCGTCCTTCAGCTATAGTTAGGAGGTCGGCGCCTTCCTAGCCTTGGCTGGTGTGGTCTGGAGGGTGAGCTACATGGACGAGCCACATGCACGCAACCACACACAACCGGGCGGAGCCTGCCCGCCGGCGCCCATTTCCGCCCTTTTTTTCTATTTCTGAGAAATTTCGCAACCTTTTCTGGATTTGCTCTGGAAAAAGTTGCGAAATTTCTCGCTGCGCTCTCGACAATTTGTGTGGAGCGCACTTACGAGTTGAGAAAAATGCAGCATTTCAATCGCACCCCCGATGGTGTGCTGCACTTTTCTCAACTCGTAAGTGCGCTCCACACAAATTTTCTCTAGTGGTGGGCGCACTTACGAGTTGAGGGCCTCCAACTTTCCCGAGATTTGTGTTTGTCGACGACAAACATAAACCTCGCGAAAAATTAGAAATCGCGGCCGTGAGATGCTTCTGCGGTTGAGCTCGCGCGCGCAATCGCAGAAACACGGGCGCGCATCGCGGGCGTCAAGCTGGGCGCCGGCCCCCTATAGCTGACGGCCGACCCAGCAACATGCGTCGCACGCAGTCGGCTCGGGCAACGCGATGCGTGGCCGATTCCGACCGGCCTCATGTGGGCCCCTATGGTTGCTGCGCGAACTCTGCGAAGAGGGATGGCGAGCCGGGCCCGTCTAGTTGGCGGCGCAGCTGCCTGCATGCAGTTGCGAGGGGGGGGGGCCGCGCACGTGTGGGCGCACGCACCTGGCCCTGGGCACATAGCTGGGGCCCGGGCGGGCTTCATCATGGGCGGGCCCGGTATGAAGGCAAGGCGGCCCGCATAGCAGGCGGTCTCGCTTTGGCAGATTTGCCATCTGCTCTTTGTTTCTTGCCCGCCGACGGACGCTGCTGGGACGGGAGGGAGGCCCACACCAACTACATGCGGGGGGGCGGGCGCGTAGCTGTTCCAGGCGGTGCTGGGATCTGCCGGCGGGCTTTGGCGGGTAGTCTAATGCTGGGGCGGGCCGCATTTCCTTGGCTAGCCCAAGCGGCCGGGCGCCCTCTTATTGGCCCGCCACCCGGCTGCCCGGATGTGGCCTCATAATTGGCGAACTGGACACACGCGCCGCGCTTCAATACTTCGCGGCCGCGGCACCTACGTGCAACCGGTTGGCCAGCTACATGCAGGCACACAACGGGCCGGGGGGGCGCTCGCTCGCAGCGGGCGGAGCGGCTGCCGCGTTGGATGGCGGGGCCAGCCAAAAGCGTGGCGCTCGCATGCGGCGCGCTGGGCCACTTAGCTGGGCCGCCAGACGGATAGGGCTGGCCCCTGCGATCAGGGGTGGGCCCGTCATCAAATACAGCGAAGGGGCCAGCTGTTGTCGCCGAATTGCCGGCGCACGCTGTCCCCCGCCCCTCGTGGCCACATGCCCCCAAGGCCGGCGCCGCCCTCCTGGCCCGCTACATGTGGGGCGCGAGTACTCGGCCCATGTGCCCGAACGGCCCGCGCGCGCCCCGCCGCCTACCCAGGCAGGTTGGGGGCTGAGAGGCGGCCGGCCAGGTGGGGGCCCCGTGCAACAGCGGCCAGCGACCTCCAGCAGGCGCGGGGACCTGGCCCAAATACATAGCGCGGGGGACCTCCGTTGTGCGGCCCGCCAATATTCGGGCCCAACACACTCACGCCACCGCCCCGCGCGGCGGACCGACCTACCCTGCCCAGCCAAGCAACTGGCCGCCCATTGTGAGCAGCCGGCCGGCCCACTCCATGTAGCTGCCCGGCTTGCCGCAGGCATGCGGGCGCGCCAAGCTGGCCCAAGGGGCGCGAGGGCTTGCCGGCGTGGGCCCGCCGCGTCCGAGGTGAAGTTAAGTCAGTGACCCGGCCCCCCCGCCGGCGCGCGCGCGCACGGACATAGCCTGCAGGCCAACCACAACAGCTTGAGCAGGCGCGCAGGCGAATGCGGCTACCGCCAAGCGCGTGAGCCCGCGGGGCAAAATACGGCCCCCCCCAGCCAGGGGGCCGGCAGGTAATGGCAGGCACGGCGCCCAGGCGGTGGGCCAGCCCCCCCCCGCCCAATATCGTTGGCGTTTCTTTGTCCGCTAGCCAGGTTGCTGCGCGGGGCGTCAAGGGTGCTGGGCCCGCCGCTTTTGGATCAGGAATAGCACGCCGAAAGCTGGCCCTCGGATTCCTCGTGGGGCGCAGAGCATTCTGGGAAAAAAAAGCGCCGCGAAACACGGACCGAGCTGGGCCACCGGCAAGCATTCTGGCCTGCCGGCCAAATGGGGCCGCTGCGCTCGCTACTACCCCGCTGCGGGCGGCCGGCCCAAGCATCAATCTGCATGCGCGCCGGCGCCCTCTGAGCCCTGAACCCTGAGCCCGGTTCAAAAGCCAGGCGGCCTCCCGGCTCCAGGCTCTCGAACGCGGGGGGGGCGCGCGAAGCCGGCCCCCATCGCTGGCGCCTTTCCATTTTACGCGCAGCCAGCGGCTACCGGGCCGGCCGGCTTGCTGCGTAGAGCAAGCTGGAAGGCGGCCCCGCTAGGTTTTGCCGCATGTAGCGGAGCGACGCACGCCCGCGAAGCGCGGCGCCGGCGAACTCTTTGGGAACGGGGGGCCTGCGCGTGGGCCACCTGTGGTTTGGTTTTTTATTTTTAACATACTAGCGGAAGGGGGTTGGCTCCCGTAGCTCGCCGGCCCGCTTCGCGCGGCCGGCGGGGTGGCTGTAAGCCAACGCATCGGGGCCACGCGGCCAATGGGCGGGCGCCGCACGGAAATGGCCGCGCCGGGCTGCATGCCTGCGAGGCAGCAAAATGCGGGCGGTCCGTGCAGTTGGCACAGCACCAAGATGCGCGCAGCCTGCCGGGGAACCCACTCCGGTCCTGGCCTGCTAGCTGCGCTCCATAATATTTTGGGCCAGCTACCTGCGGGCGCGCATGATGGTCCGCCCAAAGCACGCACCGACCGGCCGCGCGAAGCGGCTGCTGGGCCGGCGCGGGCAACGAACATGGGACACACAGGGCCGACTGCAGCGGGTTGTTGTGGGCCGTCCATCGCTGGGAAGATAGAAAGCGCCGCCCCCAGCCCGCGCAGCTGGTCGCCAAGCTACTGCTTCGGACAGGCCCCCTCGCTGGTGCGTGGCTGGGCGGCCGGGCCACAGGCATTTCGGCAAAGCCCACAGCGGAGCCGGGCCGAGCTCGAGCGCGTGAACCTACCGGGCCGGGCCGGCAAGCTACGCGAACCAATTGGCCGGGCGGCGAGCGACGGGGGGGGGCGGGCCGTAAAGCAGCTGCCCCGACGGACGGCCGCACCCACCTAGGCGGGCGCCCCCGGTAGTTGCCCAACCCACCGACTCACCGAGGGGCGCTGGCGGGCCAAATGCGTGCGGGTGCGTGCAGCTGGCCCAGGCAGCGCGGAGACCTGTCGGGGCGCCAGCTGCTAGCTTGCTTGTGGGCCAGCTTGCCTAGCCTTGCTAGCCCGCAACCGGAAACGCGGCGGGCCCGCCTAGCTAGCTCGCCCGCTTTCCCCGGACGGCTTCTACGTAAGCAAGCATAGCCGAAGCCGCTGGCGCACCCTGCTGGCCCGCCCCAGCTAGGAAGCGGGGCGCGGGGCCGATGCATGGGCGCGAGCCTGGCCAGGCTTGGGCCGGTGCATCGTCTCCTGCGTGTGGGCCCGCCCCCGTCTGTAGTTGGGGGAGCGGGGCCCGCTGCCTGTAGCTTGTGGGGCACCTGTGTGTGGGCGCGGCGCATGTCGCCCGCCCCCACAACAAATGGCGCGAAAGGCGGAAAAACCGGGCCAAAGAAAAACAAACACGCGCGGCACATTCAGACGGCCCGCGGGCGACGGCAGGCAGAGGGCCGTGACTGGGCCCTCTGGCCCCGCGTCTAGTCGGGGAAGGGCAGCATGCACATGGAGGGGGGGCGGCCTCATGTGGGCGCACGCAGGTAGCGCGCGGCTTCAAGCATTCGGCCCACGGAACTACAAATCCTTCCCCAAGCGCGTTAGCCCCCACCTTACCACCACCCCGGGCGGGCCAGAGGTCGGCCAACGGCTTGCCGCCCCCCCTCCGCCCCACCCGCCCGATGGGTGTATATGGGAAAGGCCGCGGCGCCGGCCCGTTTGCCATGGGCCCTCCGGCCCGGCTGGTCTATTTGTAAAAAAAATTTTACAAGTAGCGCGCGCCCGGTAAAAGTGTTCGCACAAACAGCGCGCGGCCTGTTGTAAATTTTTTTTTACAAATAGCGAGCGCGCTCCCTATGGAAATGCTTTGCGACGTTAGCGGGCGCCCCACTTGTTGGCAAATAATGGAGGAGCCACGCACGGGCCGCGAATTGCTATGCAAGCAGGGGCCGACCCCCCCGCGCGGCCGGCGGTTTTTTGCCAGCCTTCAGACGGGGCGCGCGGGCGCCCGCTTGGTGGTGGCCCTTGTCTCTGCGAAGGTTCCCGCGCAAGCCGACCCCCCGTCTGTCGGTGTCGGAAGGAACGAAGCCGGCCGGCGCAGCCCCCCGCCGGCCTGCTAGCCTGCCCCGGCCCCGCGCGCTTCCCTGTTGCCCGGCCAGCCGGCCCCCGCCTCACTCGCTCCCAGCCTGCCCTTGGGGGGGCCACTTGGTGCCATTCAGCAAGCTATCTAGTGCGCGCGGCCGGCCTTGCTTCTTGCACGCTTGTCGCCGGCCGCCGGCCGGCTCGAATCGATCCCCCCCCCCCGCAAAGGCAGAACCACTGCAAAGGGCCGGGCGGCCACCAGGCTCTGCCGTTGGTTTTTTGTGCGCTCTGTCTGCGCGAAGCGGACATGAATTGACGGGGCGTGGGTTGTTCTCGCCTCCTTTGCTTTGCTCGGCCGGCTGCCTAGCCCCGCCGCTGCTCAACGGGCGGCGAGTGCGGGACAGTGCCGGCACATGTCGCCCCCTGCCGCCAGCTCGGGCCACTCGCCCGGCAGACCGGCCAAGCGCCTCGCACACGGGCGGGCGGGCGCCACAGGCTTGGCGGCGCGCTGCGGGCTGCGCCCGGGCCGGGCGCGCGGCCGGGGGTTGCGCATTGGGGCGGCAAGCGCCCGCCCCGGCTCGGTGGTGGTGTTGCGCACAATGCCGCCGGGCCGGTTGCGCCGAGCCGCGATGCGCCCGGCCCAATGTTTGTCGAACAGCGAGGGCACAGCATTGGTCGGCAGGAGGCGAGTTGTGGACGGCTATCATTGGAAAAAAGCATCAAAAACGCCTTGCCTGTGGAGGACCAATTTCGACACCCGGGGCCCTTGCGGCTGGTCCTGCGAGGTGGTTCGAGATCCTAGATCCCTTGCAGATGCGGGCGCAGCTGCAGCAGATGAAGTGCCTTACTTTGTGCATGCGCGGGCAGGTTTTTTGCCTTTTTTTAGCTTCCGACCGACGCCCAGAAGCTGTAGAAGCAGCTTCTTCAGATGCAAAGGGGCACTTTTTACGATGCAAAACGGTCTTCCATTGGTGGGCATTTGTGAGGTTTTTCGACGATGGCGCCACTGTTGCCGCTGTGGTTCAGGCCGTCCAAATCAGCAAGAAACTGGCTTTGTCGGGCTCCGGAGGTCTATGACTTGCGCCACAGCTTTTGTTCGGAGCTGGACGCTTTCACTTCGTAGCGGGGGCGTGGGCATCCCAAATATCTCACCTCTGCGTCACTTATAGACGCCCACAAGCACAAAAAGAAGCCTGTTTTTGTATTCGCGAAGGCGTCGAGCGGCCCTGTTTTCCATGCCAAAGGCTCACAGCATGCACGTGCGCGAATGTGTAGAAGAAGTGAATGCTCGTCAAACTACTTGTAGATCCTGGCTCCGAATAAAAGCTACTTTGTTGCAAATCATAGAGCGAAAAAATGATCACCGTTTCCCATACTCGCTTCAAGGAGCAGCTGCAAGAACATGATCTCCATTTCCCACACGCGCTTCCCGGAGCAGCCTGGTGTGTCCGTCTCCTCACCTCTCCGTCGCCGGCCCGGGTCCTAGCTAATGATGAGCTGAGCATGCTAAAAATGAATCAAGCTATTTTTGTAAAGTAGCTACTTTTAGCGAAATCATCGGAGTCGACATTTTGCAATTTTTCATCGAAAATAGCTATTTTTGCGAAAAATGAAAAACCAAAAAAAAAGTGGTAATTTTATGCAAAATAGTTGGGTAGCGCACTTACGAGTTGAAAACTTACGTTTTGAGGGGGCCATAGCTGAGATATGCAAGACGGGGTGTGTTTCCATAGGAAAGGTTTGCAATACAAATGCTCGCAAGTTCTGGGGTGGGGGCATTTTTCACTGTAATAGGAAGCGCAGCGTATACCAGTTTGCTCGCGGACATATCCTACCAAGTGCAAAAATGTCTGGAAGAATGCAAGTTGTGATGCTGCATTTGGATTCCCAAGAGAATTTGTATTGCATGAGTACCAAAGGGAATGCAATTTTTGCTACGCTGAGAAGGCATTTGTCATGCGGAATAGGCATCAAGAAGCCCTCAAAAAATCTGTATTGCTAGGGTATGCATCACAGACACCATGGCTCATGCAAAACGTGCATGACAAGTGTCAGAATCTTCCAGACCCAGACATTTTTACAGTTGATATATCCGTGGAGGTGGCGAACGTTGCGAGTTTAACGAGTTATGGACTCACCATGGTGAACTCGAATACCATAGTGGTGCCCACGTCGCCAGGGCCGAAAGGTGGCGGTGGAGGAGGTGGTTCCGGCAAGAACGGTGGCAAAGCAGCAGCTGGTGGCGGTGGAGATCAAGAGTCAGACTCTACTTCCTCCACCAACACCACTAACGCGACAAACACCACAGCGGAAGAAAAGAAGAAAAAAGGCAACATGGCGATCATCGGCGGCGCGTGTGTCGGGATCGGGTTATTGGTGTTGATGGTGGTGGTCTTAGCCTCCTCGGCAAGTATGGCTGCAGAAGCGGACAAGAAGGCTTTGGAAGAGGGGGCGGAGGGTGAGACTGCGGATAGTAAGAAGGATGGAGGTGATAGAAAAGCTCCTCCTGCAAAAGAAGCTGCCGGTAAGAAAGAAGACAAGCCTGCAGATGAGGAAAAGAAAGACGAACCCGCAGCGGAAGTGGGGAAAAAGGAAGAACCAGCTGCAGCAGAAAGTGAGGAGAAAAAAGCGGAAGAACCCGCGGCAGCAGCGCCAGCCGAGGGGGAGGCGGTGGCGGTGGCGGCTCCAGCCGCAGAGGGTGGCGGGGGAGATGCGGCGGCGGCGGAGGCTCCGGCACCGGCGGAGGGATCCTAGGTTTATTCTTGTGACGGGCGACTCAGGGCTATGTTAATGAAGAGAAAATTACTTAGGTTTCAAAGATTTCGAGTACTTGCACAACTTCTTCGAACAATTTACAGTACACTGACTTCGAACAATTTACTTCACAACAGACGCCTGCGCATTGACTTTTTTTGAAACGCAAGGAGGCGCAATCGACGAAGTACAGATAGTGATAGAGTTTTCAGACCTTGGCCTTTTACGATTTCGTTCGGAACAACAGAGTTGCCTTGCAACCAATCAATTAGCTACTTTTTCTTCGTGTACAATCTTCAGAACATCAGAGACAGTTTCAAAGAAAATCACAATGACGAGCGTACTGGACACGGCGGCCACGCCTTTGAAAGGCACACTGTAAGTACACGCCTGGGTTTTAAACAAATGAGTTCAACAACAGCAGATGAAAACAGGAAAAATTTTAGTCGCTGGTACTCAGTCCGGCATTTTCTGTTCTTGCGGCGAAGCTGCTTTAATATTCCTTGGAGCGCTTTTTCCAGCTACTGCTTCTACTCGTAGCGGTTATAGACGTGTTTGCCTTTTGTCACATTGCAATTTCTCGAGGATGATCTTCAGTTTTTTTTCTGTTGCATCTCGTCTATTCTAATCCTGCGATCCTGTGAAATCAAAAGCGAAAAGGAAAAAAGTCTTTCAAACAACATCAACATGAAGATCCTCTTCGCCTGTCGAACCGACACGATAGGCACGTTGCTTGAAAATTGCGGGGACTTTGAGAAAGCGCAGAGCTTGAAAAAATCCAAGGAGCTGGCGGTCCGGAACATTTTGAAAAAGTTGGTCATCACCGAGGTCGCCGCAGAATTGCTTTTGCTACCCGGGTCTTCTTCAAACGGCGGGGGGTCCTCTTCACAGAAAAGCATGGAGTTGAGACTTGTGACGTACACGAAAGAAGACATTTTGGAAAAAATTCAGTACCACGAAGACCTGTTGGAAGAGGACATGGAGGAAGAAGAACTACCACCACAGATGAAATCTGTCGGCACAGCACAAGGAAATAAAGCGAGCAAGAAACCAGATTTCGAGCAAATCATCCACAACGACAAGTGTCTATCCGCCGTTTTCGAAGCAATAGCCGCGCTCACCTACCACCGTGCGGACGACACGGAAACGGAAAACACGTTTTTCGTTTGGGAGCCACGGGATGTGGGGGAGCACTTGAGGCTGGAGGTTAAACGCGCGGTGCATTCGGCGAATCTTCGGCAATCAGGGAAGACCACGACGCAATCTGTCAGGCAGGGTGATGAGAATGAATACCTGGAGAAGATCATCCTGCAGCGAATTTTGGATTGCGAATCGCTAGACGTCGTGAACGTGCAAAAACTTTTGGCGGAGAAGAACCGGATGGAACAATCGGATGGCGGGGGGAGGAAGAAAATAGAATTCCGGTCGTTGGATGACGTTTTTTCGAAGGACGTGGTTCCGGAGCTGGAGAAGGGGATAAAGCAAGGCAAGTTTAAGAACATCGACGACAGTGTGGGGAATCTGCTGTGCAAGTACCATGGCAGCATTTATGGGGTGGAAACACAGAAAGATGCGGGCACAGAGAACAGCTCTGCTTCTACGTTTTATGACGGGATGGTCGCTGGAGCAGCTAATCTACGAGATTCTGTTAATGCGTTGAAAAACTTGGATTTGGATTCTGCGAGTCAAAAAATAGAGCAGATGAAGGAGATTCTTCGAGCAGATATCATACCACCAGGATCTTCAAGCGCAAGCACCTGACAGCCCCCAGGGGAGAGATTTCTTCGCCCATGTGAAAAGTCTTGTTCGCCTATTTAGACGGCCGAAATGCTTGGCGTTTTCCTGTCATTTCCAGTTTAGAGCGCACATGCCAGAGAGAAACCTGAGAGGGAGCGAGACACCATAGTAGAGACAAAGCGTGCCATTTTACCACATAAAATTCGGAAAACGGCCAAAAACAAAGCAGCACCTACAAGATGAGGCCACCTCGTCCAAAGTTCCTGCCTTTCGACAGGGCGCGCGAAATCATACATGCCTACAATTTCAAGAATTTGCGAACGTGGCGGGCTTGGTGTGCAGCTGGAAAGCGACCAAAGAATATTCCCAGTGCTCCGAACCATTACTACAAAAACAGTGGCTGGTGTGACTTTCCCGACTGGCTGGGATATCGAAAAAGAGCAGCCGTCACTCGTGGCCACGACACAGGCGAGGCCAGCATCAGATCCAGTAATTCAATACTGCCCGCGAAGGAACTTTTCCTTTCACACGCTGCGAATTTACCGTATCAATTTGACTTGCTTCCCCACCGCGCACTCGCACATGTAGCTTATCGGACGGAGGAGGATGCGCAGCAGGATTTGTGGTGCCCTTTGGTTTTGAGGTCGATGACGCACCAGTACACCGAAAGATCGCATCTGTACGTTCGCCCACCGGGGTGCCGCGTCGGTAGAGGAGTGCTGTTCATCCTGGTGGCAGAGAAGCGCTTCTTCTTCTTTCCGTTTGATTTTTTGGACTCGTGTTTCCAACACAAGAATGCCTGGGCCTTGCACCGAGTTCCGATGGAGCGGGCCCGAGAGTACGAAGTCTTCGACAATGCCGCGTTGCACGACTGTTTGGAAAAGCACTACAGCTGCGCGACTCTCCTTCACGAGACTGAGCTTCCGTCGACTCTCTTCTCCGGTCACGTCGACGTTTTGCTGAACACCCTCGTACAGCAAGCGGTCGCCTTCTTCCGCACAGTGTGCCGTTTGACTCTCAAGCGTCCTACCTCGGTAACGTCCGACGCACACTACGAAACTGCTGGCGGAAAGACTTTGGTTTTCCGGTGCAACAGCTTACCGACCGCGCGGGCTTTCCGAAACGGTCGCAAAGTGGCACTTGGATTGCCGCGCGAGCTTAATAGCTCGCGCGACGGATTCAGCAGTTGCGCAGCAGAGCGTTGTCCTGACTACATAGTAACTCTGTGGCGCGACGAAGAAGAGCAAGCATTTGACGACGACGGTGCTGCAGCTCGTGTCCCGTTTGCAGCTGAGAAAGCTCGTCTGCGGGCCTTATTTATTTTTCCGCGGCGGTTTCTACAAGAAAAAGGCCGACTATCTGAACTAGATAACGAGAAGCAGAGCGGAAGGCAAAGTCTCTACGTCTATCCACCTTGGACCACACCAGTGCGAAGCGATTCCCGCCAACGAAAACTGGAGCAAGAGCAATTTTGTATCGATTTGTCTCCAGAAGCAGATAAAGCCGCATCTGTTGCAAAGGTGCACAAAATTTTAGAGTCAGAGGATTTTCCCGAGAACAGTCACGGTGAAAGACCGTCATCGCTTCTTGTTGCAGCATGAGTTAGCATCACGGTATACATAGAGATTCTGAAGATTCAGATTTTGGTAGATTCTGTGTTGGAGTTGGACTCAGCGTGTTCTAGGATGTTGCTTCAATGCCCACTTGTGCAGCAGGCGGAGGGGAGAGCAGCTTAGATTGGCTACGTTGGCAGGTGCTACTTCACTGGGAGAATTTGCGAATTGCGAGGGAAACGATGAATTTTGGAGGTTGGTCTACCCGAGAGATCGGACACTCCATCGTACTTGTATCAGAAGAAGTTTCATTCTGCAAAGCAATGCCATTCGTACTGAGTATTGGTCAGTCGACAAAATGTTAGCGTTTTCGCTTCCCAACCGGCTCAGCGCTGTTAAGGTCAGCAGAGGTAGAAGGCCGAAAGAGTTCCTTCCCTTTCAGGACGCGCGCGACATAGTTCGGGCGTCGAGATTGAAGTCCTGGCGCGAGTGGCTGTTGTGGAACAGAAGTGGCTGTCGGCCTTCTGACGTGCCAAGTAATCCGAGACTGTTCTACAGGAACACCGGTTGGACGGATTATCCCGACTGGCTCGGGTATGCGAGGCAGCGGCCCGGGCCTAAGCCGTCGATCGAGCGGGCACTCCGACGGAAGCAGCGCCAAGCAAATGCGCGTTTGCAAGACTCGCCGCGACAATGCAACGCCGCGAAGAAGCTGTTTTTGGAGCGGACGTCCGGTGGGCCGTTCGAGTTCCAGATCTTACCGCATCGGAGCATCGCGCAGTTTGTCTATCGCCAGACCACGCAAAATCAGAACGAAACGAAAGGGGAGGAGAACAAGTGGTGTCCGCTGGTGCTCCGTTCTGTTGAAGAGGTTCGTGACCGCTGGCTGTTTTTCCACGCGCCCAAAATTAGATCCGGATTCGGAATGATATTCGTCATCACGGCAGCTGATCGAGTATTCTTTTTTCCTTTCGCATTTTTGGATTCTCTCCGGCGCCCGACAGTGAGAGCCGACGCGCCAATCCGCATAGACGTCGAGACAGCAAAACCCTACGAGATCACGAGTTCCGACGACCTGCAAAAGCAGCTGGCGGAGCACTGTCAGTCCGCGAAGCTTCTGGCCGAAGAAGAGTTCGGAAGAGCATTTTACACCACTGCGGGCGATGGGGCGTTGCAGCAGAGCTTGCTCCAGGTGGTGCAGTTCCTGCGCGACCGCTGCGGCTGCAACGTCGAGCGACCAAGTTTTCCGTCTTTGGACGCGCACTTTCTGATCGATGGCATGAGAATGTTAGCCCGCAGCTGCGAGTCGGACCGTTGCCAAACCTACGTGCGGTTGGATCTGGGGCTGCATCGAAGTACCGTTGCCAACGGGGGCGAGCGGATGCGCAAATGCGACGAGGCGCGCTGCCCGGACTTTCTCTTTGCGATCGCGAGGTGGCACCGATCTTCTGCAGAGTGTCAAGACAGCGCTCAGCACGAGGCTGGCGGCCGCGCGGAGCAGGACGGCAATCTTCTGAGGGGTGTCTTCATTTTCCCGCGGGCGTATTTGAAGTCGCTGCGCGTGCTCAGGAGGGGAAATAACGCCGGAAAGACAGCGATCTACGCCTATCCACCGTGGTCCAATCCAACATGGAAAGAGGTGATCCGCAAGAAGCAGGAGCAACAGCAGTTCTTTTTAGACTTTGCACCAGATGCCAACATCGAAGAAAATGTTGCGCGAGCAAAAAGAATTTTTTCGGAGTATAAACCGAAACCGAACGACAGTGATGCTGAGCAACAGGATGAAGATGAAGTCTGAATAGACAGGAGAACCCTGCTACCTACAACAACCTAAACTGAACGGTCTAAGCGCTTCGTGAACCTAGCGAATCTCAGCAGTGTCAGGCTCAAACCAGTTCTTGGGACTATGTAACCAAGCGGTTTATCCTCAAGATCACTGTTTGAAGGACAAGATTAAGATCTAGTCCACGTCTCTCCGTATGTCAAAGTCAAAAAACATTTTACTTTGGAGTTGTTTACGACCTTGACCTTCGCTTCTGGCACCACGCGTCGGGAATCTACTTTGTAAATACCATGAAGACAGCATTTACGGAGTGGAGACACAGAAGGACTCTGACGCAGGAAATGGTTCTGCTTCTACGTTTTATGACGGCATGTTCGCGGGTGCAGCGAACCTTACAGGTTCAGTGAATGCGATGAAAAATCTAGATTTGGATTTTGCGAGCCAGAAGATCGAGCAGATCAAGGAGATGCTTCGGGACGAGATGTTGGAAGAATGACCTAGGCGTACCCAACTTCTGAGTACAGGATTTGAGTACTATCTTGGTAAGGTGTTCTTTTAAGAACTAAAGCGCGAGAGAGTATACGACTTTTCGATTCCGATAAACAGCACAAATCATGCGGGAATTGTGCTTCATTAAGTAGCTAGGTCTAGTGTACGTACCTTCGTAAAACTAGAATTGATTCAACCGCACGACCACGAGGAAATATGAGGATACTGTCTGCTTCCCGCCGCTTGCTTTCCGAAGTAACGTCCACGCAGCCCTCGATGCCTCATCGATTTCTGCCATTTCACAAAGCTCGCACAGTGATGCACAGTCTCGGATTGCAGTCGTGGCGGGAATGGACGGCGTGGTGTGCAGCAGGGATGCGTCAGAAACATATGATTCCCCGTGCGCCTCATATTTCGTATCGAGCTTGTGGGTGGCGTGGGTTTCCGGATTTTCTTGGTTACGGGAAAACTTGCGAGAAGAAGCAGCGGAAGTCCTACATGCAAGAAAGACAACTACCTCTAGAGACCTTTCTGTCCTTTGCGGCTGGATCATACGACTTCGAGATTCTACCAAAGCGGGCAGTCTGTCAACTTGTCTTCCGTCCCAAGGGTGAACGCGGCAACGCCGTTTGGTGTCCGCTCATCTTACGCTCCATGAGAGATGTTTACTCACCTTCGGCCTCCTTTTTTCTTCAAAGGCCGCGGCTCGCCGGTTGCGCCGGCGTGATCTTCCTGGTGGCTTCGGAAGGAAGATTTTTTTACTTCCCAGGAGATTTACTGGTCCAGTGCGAACAGAACCAAAGACTTCAAAAGAATGCACGCCGCATGCTCCGGATTCCTAGAAGTTTTGCGGACCGGTGTGAAATTTTTGACCAGAAGGGGCTGACGAAGTGCTTGGAAGAGCACCGCCAAAAATCGCAGTTGTTGCGCGAAGAGGAGTTCTGCACCGTTCTCTTTCCGGAAACGGATATCGGGCTGCAGCAGATCTTACACCAGGCTATAGAGTTCCTACGAAGCGAGTGTGGCGTTGCAGTTCAGAGACCGCGATCTGCTGAAACCAGTAGCACAGCCCACTACGAGCTTGCGGACGGGAGGACCTTGTGTGCAAGATTTTGTACTGTTGACGTGGACAGCGAGAAGCGTACGGGTCGCCGTGTAGATCTTGGTTTAGGCCGAGATATCGCCCGAAACGTCACCAGATCCAAGAAGTGTGCGTCCGAGCGGTGTCCCGATTATCTTCTGGCGATCTGGCGCGACGACAAAACCGACCAGAAAGTGAGGGGGTTCTTCATTTTTCCGCGAAAGTATCTGCAGGATCACGGCCAGCTAGCATCGTTGGAAGATGAACACTCGGGAAAGTCCGCGTTTTACGTCTACCCGCCATGGTTCACGAGCAATAGATCAGATTCCAAGAAACATCAGGTCGAGCAAGAGAAGTTCTTTGTGGATCTATCCACCGTAGAGGGGGCACAAAAATCAGTCCAGAAAGTGCAAAACGTCTTTTCTGTCGCGCGCAACAAACAAAACGCGCCACCTAGTGAGCATAATCAAGAAGAAGCTCGCCTGCAGCTTTTGCAATTTTTGCTTTTCCAACATCTCGGAATGAACGCCCGATTGGTGGTAATGCACGCTGGAAAGTTGTTCAAATTTGATATAGATAAGTGTCGAATCTGTCTTCAGCTGTCGGTGTGGTCTTCTCTTGTATCTATTTGGAGGGCGAGGCGATAGAGCGAGAGTGGAGATTCGGCATCGAGAAGCACGGGCGAAGAAGCGAGAGTTTTTCGATGTAGCATGCGTAGGATGAATTCCTTGCTGAATGTAGCATCATGTTTTCCCGCTCCTTGCTGTTGAAGAGCAGTGCTGCGACCAGCTCCCGCGCACCGCGAAGAAGCAGACAGACGGATTTTCTTTGCTTCGAGGACGCCCGCGAAGTTGTTCGCTCTTTGCAGCTCAAGTCTTGGCGCGAATGGCTGGAGTGGATTAAGTCCGGAAGCAGACCGGCCGGTATTCCCAGCGACCCGAGGACTTTCTACCGAAGCACCGGTTGGAACGGTTTCCCGGATTGGCTCGGCTACGAGTGGCACCCGCATGGTGGACCTGGACTGTCTTCACGAGCAAAGCGTGCATTACGCCGCAGCGAAAAGGACGTGACAGGCCGTCTGCAGACAACAACGAAGCAGAGCATCGCGGGTAAAGCGGTTTTTTTGGAGCAGGCAGGAAACTTTTTCCAGTTTCAAACACTACCGCACCGCAGCATTGCGCAAGTTGTTTACCGTCAGAACGAGAACTCTGCCGTCGCACCCGGCAGCAGCGTATTCGAAAAAACAAAATGGTGCCCGCTGGTGCTGCGTTCGGTCAAAGAAATTCGAAACAACTCCCTGGTTTTCCCTATGCCGAAGCAGCGACTCGGGATCGGAGTTGTCTTTGTGGTCACATCGTCGCGGCAGCTCTTCTTCTTTCCTTTTGAGTTTTTGGATTCCGTTCGGCTGCCCGGCACGAAGCCCGGCGCTCCGCTGCGTATTAAACTCGACCGAGCAGGAGTGTACGAAATTCGCAGTTCAGACGCGATGCAAGCGCTTCTGACCGAAAACTTGCAGCGTTCCCAGTTACTCAGCGAGGACGAGTTTGTTAGCCGCCTTTACTCCTCGAACTGCGACATCCTGCTGCAGAAGACGCTACTGCAGATCGTTTTATTTTTGCGGAATCGGTGCGGCCTCAACGTCCAGCGGCCTTCAGCTCGATCGCGATCACTTGACGCGCATTTTCTGATAGAGGGCATGCCAATAATGGCCCGGAGTTGCGAAAATGACGGACATCAATCGTACGTCCGGCTGGATCTCGGACTCTGCCGAAATGACGCAGTTCCTGAGGATTCACATCGCATTGTCTCCGCACGTTTGCCAGACTTTCTGTTCGCAATTGCAAGACGGGACGACGTTGAACAAGGAGCTGCGGCTGACGGTGGCGATTTTTCTACCGGCAGTCCCGAAAACTCAGAAGCAGAAGAAGCTACTTCATGTTTCGACGGAGTTTTTATCTTTCCACGCGCGTACTTGCAGGCGCACTACCTGCGCAAATTTGACTACACTGGAAGAACATCAATTTACGTGTATCCTCCCTGGTTTCGGCCTACTTGGCGAGAAGTCGGGCGAAAAAAAGAAGACCAGCAGAGGTTTTTCCTCGATTTTTCATCAAATGCAAACCCGGAAGAAAATGTCGCGAAAGCAAAGCGAATTTTTTCAGAGTACCGGCCCAGTCCAAAGTCTCCGGATGACGCTAGTGAGCTTGATGCGAACTACATCACAGCTTCCGAACCACCAGCATTAGCTACCTAAGGATAAGGAACAAGCAGACGATCGTTGCTGGCAAAAGAAATGTTCACAATTCAATTTGTCAGCGCGTGTCGTGTTCGTGGTGGATATACCAATTTCAGACCGCCGACGCAGGAGGATCTGGCTGTTGCGCGCTTACTATACGTCCTATCACACTCTATCTCTATCTCTAACGGCCATGAATAGCAATGAATAGTCCTGGTTTCAGCCAAAGACGCTTGAGTCTGAAGTAGCCACTTTAGAAGTTCCTTGCTTTCACGTCAGAAAGATCCTTGAGGTGCTCCTTTTTACTTGTGGCTGGAGCCACAAGGGAGATCACGATGAGGTGTCGAGAAAAGATCAATTAGAATGATGGCACTGTACTAGCTGCGATTTGCATGATGTTGTGTCTCTTCAGGACGGTTGTGACAAACAGACAAAAACAAAAGATGACTGATAGAGAAGCATCCAAGAAAGCATTTTGAGCAGATAAGCATCTTCATCTTGCTCTTCAGCTGATTTTTTTCTCCAGTACGATTACGGCAACTGGCCCTTTTTTTTCGTACACCTACACATCAAGTTGCACTCAGCACGAACACGACCACAAACTCAAACGAAAATGTCAGCATCCTCGTCCTCCGGCGAGGACGAATTCGTAGACACCCGACAATTTTCTTCCAACTCAAGTCTGGTTCAAGAAATCGAACAGAAACTCCACGAAGACGGCAATGACGCTTTAGACGACTCCGAGATCTACATGCGCCTCTCGCAGAATTCCGGCATTCTGATCACCCCATTTTTGCACTTCCTGAACAAGCTGAAAACGGATTCTTTGCAGCATGGTGTATATCGAGAGCAATTTCGCGTACCTGAGCTACTCGAGAATCTCCGGCGCCCTCTTTTGCAAGAGGAATTTGATGCTTCCGACGCTGAAAGTGGCGACCTGTTTGACCAGCTTTACGTGAGAGACCTCTTCGAGTTTCTATGGCGACAGTTGCTCCCGGAGAAGCGGCAAGAGGTCACACTGTACGGGAAAAAGCACGAGTTGAAACGGAAAATCCGGTTCTTGCACTACTATGAGACGTGCGTGGCAATGCGATGTCCGGCAGATGAAGATGACTCGGAACATAATCTACTAAGACACTGTATGGAACCGTGGAAGCTGAAGATCGGGTCGAACAACCTCGTGAGCGAATCAATTTTCGACCTGGAGGATAGAGAAGACGATGAAGCAGGATTTGCAGTAGGTGACGCCAACAATTATAGGGGCTTAGACAACGGCAAAAACAGAGGGTCACGGTCAGCACCACCAATAGTTGCGCAAGAAACTAAAAGGCCGGAAGATTATGGCCCGAGAACATCTTCCTCCTTAGGCCTAGTCGGGGAAGAGGTGGAAGACAGCGACTCATCATCGCGTGACGAATTCACTGGATCGCCTTGTGGCACGAAAAATACCTCCTCCCTGCTAAAGGGCCTATTCACGATGGTCAACTCCCTAGAACAGGTGATGGTCTATTCCCCAGACGGGACCAGACCCTTCTACAACGTCGCTTTAGTGAATTTCTACGAAGACCCGCAAGACTCCATCAATTTCCATTCGGACAAGGGAACCGGACACGACTGTCGTTTCCCTGTGGTCATGCTCAGTTTGGGCAATTGCGACAGGAAATTCAAGTGGAAGCCCGTTTCTACTACTACCTCCGGAGGACAAGCTGCGAAGAGGGAAAATGAAACCGCACCGGCTGCGCCCGATGGAGAAATGGATGCAGGTGGAGAGTCCTCGGCCGCAAAAAGAAGGAAAAAAGCCCCAGATGGTAAAGCAGCGACTGTTAGTGCGAAAATGCACCGTGAGGAACAAGATGGGAAGAACGGTATAATCGGTGGTCTCACCGCAAAAGCGGGCGAAATACTATTGCCGCACGGGTCCTTCACGCTTTTTCATGGGAAATTTCAGGAAGAATTCGAGCACTGTGTCTGGGTCTGGAAGAATACAAGACTTGTCATGCAGGTTTTCCACGACCCATGAGGTCTGGTATGCAGGACATAGCATGACAGATTCTGTGATAGTCCTATGATGCCTATTCTGCATGAGAAAGTGCATCGCGATTAGGTCACAACTGGACAGCTTTATTTGGCAATTGTGCAACAATGATTTTGACATGATTCAGATTTAGCATGACAAGTTCCAACCTTCCAGAGGAGGAGGGCCCAGACATATTTGCAATGCATAGGGAACAGTCATGTACCACTTCCGCCAAAAGCTCGTGCCGGAAGATTTTTTCCATATCAACTGTAAAAATGTCTGGGTCTGGAAGAATCCCACTTGTCATGCTAAATCTGAAGCATGCAAAAATCTGTGTTGCATGATTACCAAAAGTCGTCCTGTTTTGACCAAGTCGGGAGGCAGTTTCTCATGCAGGACAGGCATGGGAAAGATCGCGCAGAATCTGTCATGCTATGTCCTGCATTCCAGACCTCATGGGTCATGGAAAAGCTGCATGACAAATCGGGTGAAATACTATTGCCGCACGGGTCCTTCACGCTTTTCCATGGGAAATTTCAAGAAGAATTCGAGCACTGTGTTGCCCCTGTTCCGGAAAATAATCGGGTAAAAGGGAAGGACTACAGGCGGATCAGCATCACGTTTCGCTGCCATACAAACAGTAGTACTTCTTCGTCGACGCGTGGTAGTGGCAATAGTGGGATGAAAAAGTCATAGTCTGCTCGATCACCCACTTCCTGTATCATTTTTCCTGTCCGCCTGATATGAGTTTCAGTTTATTTTGGAAGAGCTAGTCGAACGCAAAAGCAAAACCAAAAGAATAAGAAAAAAAATGCTATCATAGACCGAAAGTGGATGTTTATTTCGCAACAAACGCCGTCAATGGAAATCAACATCGAAGTTGCCGTAGTCTAGCTGAAAAATGCAGATGTGAAGACTCTGGGACCATATGTCGAAAAATGGACGAACAGACCGAACGCAAAAAGTGTTCTGTCGGTCCGGTCCCAATCATTTCAAATGAAGAAGTTTTGGTTCAGATACAATCGGGGACGGAATCTTTGAGTTTATTGAGTTTTTTTTTTCAACACCTGCTTCACGACGACTGCACTGCCAGGAAGATCGGAATCCCATATCAATACGACGACACAGAGATGAAGATGACAAATGCACCTAATGTATTGTAGAAAGTGCCAAGGAACAAGCTTTTAGTACCGCTATCAAATAAACCAAAGCCAACTCTTCAAAAATTTTGAGCACCCAAATTATTACAAGATGACGCTTGCAAATGACGACAACGACTTCGCTGCTTCCACAAAAATGAACGAAAAAACCCCGCTAAGCTCGTCCTCCTGCTATCCCTACAATTTTTCCTTCCCCTCTCCTTCCGAGTGGGATTTCCGCGATGGTGGTGTCTATTTTCTCCGGCACGCGGAATCTTTGGCAAACGTCGTCGACTACGCCGGGGGAACGAACACGATTGAAGACGCGGGGCTGAGTGACGCCGGGAGGGAAGAAGCGAAGGAAATCGGACGGTATATGCGGGCGAAATTGCTGGAAACGGTCGGCGCGGGAGACAATGCTGACGCATCTAGTTGTACCACCGCAGGTTCTACTTCCCCTGACGCAAGTAAAAAGACAAAAATTGCCCTCCGCCTAATCGTTTCCCCGTTGCGCCGCACGCTCGCCACCGCGGAGCTGGTGTTTGGAGAAGCGATCAAAGCGTTGGAGGAGAATACCGTACGAAAAAAGTGTTTCGCTGTAAGGATTTTGCAAGTTCTGCATCACAACTTTGGTCTACATCACAGAGAAAATTTGCCATGCGAGATTCCTAAGGGAAAAGACAGCTAAAAATCCATTGCCTTGCATGTGTAGCAAGACAAACACTTCTCAGATGCATTTTCTGCATTACAAGTTCACAGTGAAGTAGTTTTTTCTTGCGATAGAGAAGGAGAGGTTATGCTCTCTCGAATTCGCAATCGACCCGGACATGCGGGAAGTGCATCCGAGAGCGTCCAACGTCGGGGTTTGTCCGAAAGTGATTTTGTCATCTGAAGCATCAACATCTTCACCCGAAAACAAAGTCACCATCACTCTGTTCGACGACGTCGAGGAAGCGCAGCGGAAAGAGGCAGCGCGAGTTGCAGCAGCTGGTGAAACTGAAATCGCACGACCGGCAGCAAGTGGACAACACGAAACCCTGCAGGACGCTGCAGCCGAGAATAGAGAATCCCCCTTCTTTCAGCCCATAGCCACTACCGCAATGAAGAATTGGCGCATGCTCGCAAGGGACGAGAAGCACATGATCGACGCTGACAGGTTGAAAAACAGCGAGGCGCGGATAAGGAATTACTTCTCTAGAAGTAGAGAAATCGAAAATAACAAACACGTCGACAAGACCACGACAGCCACGGAAGAAGTAAACACTATCATCTCCCTGACCTTCTGCGTGACCCACTGGGGCTACGTGAACGCGTTTGGGAACACGTTTTGCAAAAACTGGGCATTGTTGGGTTCAGACCCGAAGTTGCAGGAGTTGAAAGCGGCCAGTTACGGGGAACTCGCGAGCACGGCAGTGGTGGTGGACGAGGAGGAAGAGAATGAAAATCCGGAGGACGTCGAAACTACTACAACTTCTTCGCACAAGATGCAAATAAATCTGAACTCGAATTCCTTGTTCTATAGGAAGACGAAGACAAACAAGTACAGCCTGTTGCGGAAGGAACGGTATGGGGATCGGATCTGGAGGGATTTTGTTTCTCCGGATTTATCGGTAAAGGAGCCGGAAAGACAGGTCTTTGTGCGGCAATTCGACATTCGAAATTGTAGTCTGACGAAATTGTCGCTGATAGAAAAATGAGTATCTGGTGGCTCCACGCTTTTTCTCTCAGAAATGGTTTATGCCATAACAAGTTCTTCACGATCACGCACACGACGACGCACATATTTTACTGTATAAAAAGTAGGGTTATTGGCTGCTCTGCCGTTGGCTAGATTGCTTCTTATTTTCAAGTTGCAGCTGTGTTATCCTTATCATCGTTGTCGTAGTTCTATGGCTTCGTCGCCTATCGTGGTTGAGAGATCTACTTCGGACCTTTTGTCGTCAAGAGACAGAGCGAAATGATAATGAAGTAGATGAGGCCGTGATCTTCATCAAACTGGGTGAAATTGTAAGTGCGCTTGCGAGACGAGGAATGGATCCGAGAATGCATTGGGTACTTACTTCGTCGCACAAACCGCCTGAAGTTCTTCCTCTTCTTTGCTGTTTCAAAGTCTTGCTGCAAGCAAGTTTTAGTTTTTGGTATTGCTTCAAGAAAAGGAGAGCGACTCTCTTGAGTGTACATTCGCTCGTCGTTTATTGAAGAATTTAAGTATAAAGCAAAACGTAACATCAAAATGGATTTCCTCCGTGAGCTCCTCCAGGAAGCGAACGACGAGGTGAATGTGGAACAAACCCAGAACCAGCAACTCTTCACCCGCTTTCAGAGTCTCACCGACTCTCTCATCTCCATCACCACGCGACGGAAAAACCAGCAGAAAGCGCTCGACATTTTGGAAGTGCCCGAGATCGAGATCGCCCCTGGGGCAGGTCGTGGAAATAACGGAAAAAAGTTCGACATTCGAAAAAGCAAGATTGAAAACGCGGAACAGAAGATGTTGGAATTGCAGTCGATTCGGCTGCAATCGGCGGTAGAACACAAGTTTAAGAAATTAGTCCCGCACTTGCGGTGTGTCCACGGAGATTCGACCGGACCGCCGGAAGATTATGGGGATGATGAGGAGGTTCTGCTGAACGGGATGAAAATGAACAACAACCGGAATAGAAATAAGCAAACAAGCGGCACAGGTGGAGGTGGTTCTAAAGCTGCGAAGAAAGCCTCGCAGCGTCAACAAGATGCAAATGTCGTGTTGAACAAGCGCAATAACAAGAAAGGCGGCGACAAGATGAAAAACAGCAAGCGGAACAAGAAACAGTCGGTCGTTGATGCTGGTGAAAATGACCAGGAAGGGGAGATTTTTGGAGGAGAGCGAAACGATTTTCGTGACCAACAAGATCAGTGTTACGACCTTGTCATGTACGACGACGCGACGTCCTCGACTGGGGGCCCACTGCCACCTCCCATGCAGGGGTTTTACCATCAACATGATGCAAATGGAGAGATGATGATGTCCCAGCAGCAGGTGGGCTACTTTCGAAACGACCACCAGCTTCACTACGGACCGATGGATGTCGCGGACCCGAACTATGCCATGCCGCACGACAGGATGCCGATGCATCCCGGGGTGGTTCCCCCACCTGCGGGCTCTTGCAGCTTCAATTTTCTCCCTCCGCCACCCCCACCCCCCTCTGGCAATATGATTTTCTACGACCCGAGCAGGAGTGCACCGGTAGACGCGAATTACGAAGCCTATTTGAATCAACAGTACGGGTCGCAGGATTTGTACGGAGGATTTGGCGCGGTCCCTCCGCAGGATGATGGGATGTTGCCACCGCCACCAAACGGACCGCCGTTTTTACAGCAGCAGATGGTACTAGTACCACCTCCAGGGGGCAACATGATGATGCCGCCACCGGCAGCTCCACCAGCACCGGGAGGGCCGGGGTTTTTACCGCCTGAGCAACTACAGGGGATGGCGTTCGGGACGGAGTTTTTGGTAGACGAGTTCGGCAATCCGATTATCGAACCGATGGTACTAGATGAGTTCGGAAATCCGATAGTACCTATGGAGTCGATGATAGACGAGTTCGGAAATCCGATAATGGAGTCCATGTTAGACGAGTTCGGGAATCCGATGATGGAACCGATGGTAGACGAGTTCGGCAATCCGATAGTACCAATGGAGCCCATGGTGGACGAGTTCGGAAATCCGATGCAACTGGACGAACCGATGCTACTGCAAGATACGTTCGGGCACAGTCCGTCTGCAGTAAAACCACACGCGGACGAGATTACGAGGGTTGACGAATTCCGTAACAAGGACCCGATGATGATGCCGATGGACGATGATCACAACGATCGCACCGGCCAGGAACAACTACAAGCTGCGCCCGAAAATTTTTTATCGAGTCAGAAGAACAAGCAGTCGACCTGTGAGGAACAAGCAGCCTGCTCTGCGGGTACCAGCCAAGAACCAGAGCAGCAGCGACGGAGCGGTGCGGACGTTGGTAAGAAAAGCACGACGGATGGCATAAACAAAATGCAGCAACATCATGTTGATACCGAGGCCCAGGTGGAGAACAGCATTGTGCTAGTTGAGGAAGGAAAAAGTAATAACGTGGTCCGCGACGAGCACCAAAGCTACAACAATGACAAAGTGAAGAACTACCCGATGAAGAAGAATTTATCCGAGCAAGGGGAACAGGAAGAGAAAATGAATTTAAACCGATCGAAAGTAGACGGGGATCAACACGGCTCGTCCTTCGAGGAAGAGACTGGGATCGTCAAAACCGGCGAAGTAGAAGACGAAATGATGGAGCACATGTTGGTCTTGTCCGAAGTCAACGTGGGAGATGCGGAGCGACAGGGTAGTGGTAGTCAGCTACAGCAGCAAGAAGAAAAACCTTCTCGCCGCGGCAGGGGCAGCTACTCTGAAGTAGGCGAAGACGAGGACCACGGAAGTAACAACAGGCTCACAGGTCCTCGCGCGGAGATCGATGGAGATTTTGGCCCAGGTCGTGCAGGACAAGTGCCAGACCATTTTGAAGACTTGAACTTTGTCAACAATTTCTACCCTCGTAACGTCCTCGGTGGTCCGCCGCCAGAGATGCACGACCGGATGTCTGACCACGATTTCAGGCCGGAACTTTTCCCATCCTACAACACCAATTACAACCACTACGACCACCAAGTCGATTACGATTTATGTTCACAACACTCTTTCATCTCCCACCAACCTTCCGTCCATTTGCCACTACCGAATCAGATGGCGATTTTGTCTTCCGATGGCGGGGGGTTTTATGCAGAAGAACACGAGGGCTACTACAATCGCAATTCGCAATCTTCGCAGTTTGGAGGGTTTCATCACTCGTCTTCGCAATTATCGCAACACGAAGCAGCATTTTCTCAGGACCAGTTTGAAGAACAGCAGCAGCAACAGCAGCAGTACCATGACCCAGCGGTTCCACGGCGACCGTATGCACGACAGGGCAGCAGCAGCAGCAGCAGCTTCGTCGTGGGACCAAGTTGCGCGACGAGCACCAGCCACTTGGGAACAAATCAAAATGATGCAGATGCTGCGTTGTTAGCAGAACAGCAGCCGGCGATAACAACGCCGAGGAACAATGGTAGAAAGAACGTCGTCATTTTCTGGAATCGGGAGATAGATTTGGAGGACATCAAGTGCGACAGCCGGACACCCTCGATATCAAATGCAAAAATGTCTGGGTCTGGAAGGTTGGAGTTTGTGATGCTAACTGTGGACTTTAAAAAAATGTATTGCATGATCAGCAAGAGGAGTCTAGTTTGTCTTTGTGCTACGCGGAAAGGGCATTTGTCATGCGGAATAGGCATCAGGAAGCCCTGGAAAAATCTATGATGCTAGGTCATGCATTACAGACATGCCGGGTCATGCAAAATATGCATGACAAAACCGGCTACATTCCAGACCCAGACGTATTTGCATTTGATACTCGATCAATTTGTCGGATTTCATGTCTTCGGAGCGCGCGCGGAGAAAAAAACGGTTCCAAAACCGGAATCCCGACAGTCCCTGGCACATGTCGGATTTTATGAGTGTGGAGAAATATCACGAGAAAAAAGTGTTACAGTTACACATTGATTGTGTTGCAGGCCAAGCAAGACAGACAACTTCTGTTATGCCAGAAATGCTTCCGAGCTTCATTTCATAGGCGTTTTCCCGTAGGATCTCTGCATTGCAAGTTTTTTCTCTCATGCAGAGAAATTTGTGTTGCTGAATTGACAACAAATGTGTAAACTGTAACACTTTTTTCGTGGGATAAGAAAGGAGGGGAGGACAGTGAGGAGGAAGGAGGTCAACATCGTTTTGCGCCGCAAGAAGGCGGCGGGGAGGCTAAGGAGGAAGATGGGGACGGACACAATCGGGAAGCGAAGGAGGAGGTGGCCAGGATGAAGAAAAAGAAGTGAATGAACAATTCTACGAAGAAAAAAAAAGGGACACTGACTAGCAGAACTTTCTGTAGTGATCTTCAGATCTGGAGCTAGAAAATGGAAATCAACAAAGATCATCAATTTCCATGATGAGTTGAAGCGAAACTTCGACTCTGTGCTTGTAGAACTATCATGGCTAGGTGGTAAAGATTTTGGTACAAAGGAAGAACTTTAACTTTTTGCGAGGACGAATTATTTTGAATCTTGCGTCAGAAGATGCTCGTCAACCAATGAAGAATGAAATAATCCGAGACAACAATAAATTCAAGCAAATATTAAAGGCGATGAAGAAGCACGTGCACGTCAATGCACCAGGTGCAAATGCGATTTTTACTTCGTGATACAGTCAAAAACAATTTCGAATGTACTTATGAAATGTGTATGATTTGAAGTGTAAACGGACGCCTCCCTGGTAGTAGTAACTTTGGTCACCTCTGACTCCGGCGGGTGTAGGGTTTAGAAGGGGTGTTCCTTTGTATTGTTCTTGCGAATTGCATAAGAAAATCAAAACCGAAGAAGCCGTCGTTCGCCACTGGTGTCACTCCGCTTTTGTGATGGGCCTGTTCCCTATGTTTTAGATCCATGATTCGATGTTCTTGTGATTGAGACGTTTTTTTATTTTTGCTCTTGCAAGAGTGGTTCTCTATCCCTTCTCTTCTCATTTGAGGGACGAGAAAAAAGAATGCCCGCCTTTACCAGTCCGGCTTCGTCGCGGAGTTTATTTGCGGTGTCTGAGGGTTTCGGTTTCCTGTCGTCGTGTTTGCTGTGTGTACGACGTACACACTTGTTGCGCCGCGTGTTTGTGTCTGCCTTGTGTTTTCCACAATTCCTGCTTGTCGCACGAGGAAACAAAACGGGAGATGAACTTGTGGAGTCAACATCTTCGGATGTAGTTCTCGAAGCAGCAGGAGGAGGAGACGCGAGTTCTCCAACCCAAGCGCACGCGCAACAGGGACTAACCCACCCAGCTGAACGTCCCGATGAAGCCGATCCGGAACAAACCGCTTTCATCTACGGGGAAGGGCACACCATCGCGGAAAAGGAGGAGCTTCCGCTCTTCTACTTTTACGACCAGAGATTTGAAAAAGAGCTGGTGTGGACCAGTACTACTTCACGACGGGGAGGTACTAGTCGAGTAGGTGGAAGTGCACACGCATCTACTTCGACACACCTACCTGCTGGTGACGAGCAAGATGAAAACTACGACCTGGATGAATCTACTTCTACTTCGACACACCTACCTGCTGATGACGAGCAAGATGAAAACTACGACCTGTATCAGGAAGAAAACCCGCGAGAGTACCGGCACGAGTACCATTTCGGGCAGAAGCCTATGCGGGAAATAATTATATCGAGCGCTTCTTCTAGTTCTACAACTACCCACGGGACGACGTCGACGTATTCATCTTCAGCGTCAAGAACATCATCTTCATTTCCGGGCAGGAGTCTGAAACGGGCGGCGGAGCAAAAGCTGCGGTATTGGGGGCCCTTTGGTACTGGGGAAAATGTCACCACCAAGGAGGACGCTGATGTTGCGCCACGACGAACGTCCACAAGAGGTGCAAAAAAAATCTTAAATATCGCTCTGGTGATCTGCGGCAGCGCAGAAAAACGGTATTTCAACGTTTGGGGAACGCGGGTCGTGGATTACGAAAAGATCTGGTCGGTCGCCGGCCGGATGAGGCGGTTTCTGATGGAGCCGAACGTGAGAAGCGCGGATCCGAAGACTAGTACCGAGTTTCATTTCTACGTTATCAAAAGGAAAAATCCACCCTCCCCATACTGAAGCGGAGATTTGTGTAGCATGATTTGAGACCACAAATCATGTTGTCATGCTAGAAGGCAACAAAAGTGGACTGTAGTGCTGGGAGGCTTAGGAGAGCCTTCCGTCTTCAGCATGACAGGAGGCAAATGGAAACGGGAAACAGCATGACAAATTGCCTGCAGAGGAGGGAGCCACTGCGTCTCTTGGCCTTCTAGCAATACAAGTCGATTTGTGTACTCAAATACAGCACTACAAACTTCGTTCTCGATATGGGGAGGGGAGATTTTTCCTTTTGATATACGTTTTCTTGTGCGGATGGCCCGACCTGGAAGTAGTCGGGGAGAGGACCGGGCTGAGAAGTGACGACAGTGAAAATCGTGATGCTGCGACGTCGACTAAGACCACAACTGGGGGAATGAAGAAGTCGCTCCGCGTTGTGTCAGCATCGAACGAGGAGATGCGGTAAGTATTTCGTTGTAGCGATTTTCCTTGCATGTGCAAGTGCTGTAGTACTTTCTCACTCGTCTCGTGTATGACGATGAGTAGGATGCGCAGCAAAATTCAAGAACTTTTAGGTACTGGGCCCGACACTTTCTAGCACCCCCGAAGGCGCAAGAACCGCAAGAAAAGGTGAACCCAGCTGCTGACCACGCTGCAAAAACTCCAGACTTCAAGGTGACTTTGGTTCGGTTTCTCCGGGGGGGCTGGCGAAATTACGGGGATTTGGTGGAGAAAATTTCACCAGCATCATCAAAAAGTGGCGTTCAAATAACGAGGCCTTCTTCTGCATCATCTCCAGTCGTGCTACCGCCGACACTGCAAGCGTTGAAAGAGTCGACTACTCTAACCACCTTCACCGGACAGTTTGAGCACTTGGACGCGTGTTTCCGTGGGGTGAGGCAGTTTCAGGAGCTGTATAGGGACAGCAATTACGCGCTTGATGTGCATGAAGAAAAAGATCATCAACATCAGCCAGATGTTGACCATCACAGCAAAATAAACTTCTCCACCTCCAAGAATAAACTGCGCTTCACCTACTTCGTCCGCTTGCGGCCCGACCTTCTCCTGTACGATGACTTTCCGATCCTGACGCTTTTCCCGGAAACTCGCGTGGCCATGCGCGCCGTGAACGTTGTGTCAACCACGCCGGCGCTCTTCGAGGACGCGACGCCCATGATGCGGAGACAGTTCTGTCCGGACGAGCGGGCGCAAAACCTTGGGGACGAATACCAGTGCCGCACGCCAAGATTTTTCAACCGGACCTACGGGAGAAAGGAGCGGGAATTTGATGAGACGATGTTCGGGCTTCATCCGGGAGCTGATAGTATATCAAATGCCGTCCTGAAGACCTCCAGCATGACAATAAAGAACAGCAGCGCAGTGGTCTCATCAGACGAGGATCTTCCTGTTGGAGATGACCCTGGTCCCCAACTGAAAACCACGGACGCGATTTTGCAGAATTTTCGCGAATACTTGCGGGAAGTCGACGTGCCCATGTGTGCCGGATTGGACGACCAAGCAATTATTGTTCCCGAGATCCTTGCTGACGTGGTTTTCCTCGACGGTCGTAGTGACAAGGCGTGGACGGATTTTTCAGTACGGGAAATGAAAAATCAAGGCAGCGGCAGCAGCAGTGTCGTTGCATCTGCGAAGAAGATCAGTGAAGTAGATGCAATAGGCCAGCAGCAGAACAAAAGCAACCATCAAGACAACCCCAATGAACTCAACAACTACGTTTCCTGGTTCAAATCCGTGAACAATCCGAAAACGGAGTATGGCAAGCGTTTTCGGAAAGCCGCGCCGTTCAAAAAGGGATTTCTTCGGTTGCTGGAACAGGAGTACGAGCACTTCGTTAAAAAAGGGGGAACGGACGCGGTCGCGAACCCAAGTTTGCGAACGAAGTGGAAAATGGTGAAGCAGGAGATAATTATGTCAACTACATCGAAGGTCGACGTGCACGACGCTGCCCATCTTCCTGCTGGCAAGATAACGACGAGGACGACACGAAATAATTGGAAAAGAACTAATATCATCGTAATGGCGGTCGGCGAAGGTGAAAATAGTGGCCAGAATCTTTTCATCAAATTGACATTCGAAGCCATGATCCACCCAGAGGAGCTGGGAACTACGGCAGTAGAGCAACCGGGTCGTCAACTTCATTCCCCGAATTTCTTGATTGCGCGAGCGGTTTCATCATCTACCTCTTCTCTTTCAACGGCTGAGTCAGAGGCAAATGTTGAACAGCGCGAACAAGTTGTAGACAACGCCAACAACAATAAAACTGATCCCTTTATTCCCTTGCTGTTCCCGAATCCGCGTGATGGCCGCAGAAAAATGCTGGGGTGGCAGGAGGGGGTCCGGCAAAGCTGCGACTACTTTGTGAGAGATTATGGATTGCAAAAGTGTCTGGGTCTGGAAGGTTGGAACTTGTAATGCTAGCTGTCCATACCTCGAAAATCTGTATTGCATAACCAACAAAAGTCGCAACCTCTTTTGTATATGCAAAAACGCAATTTCTCATGCGGATTGCCTATGAGAGAGCGTTCTGGAAAGTTGTCATGCTGGGTTGCATTCGGAACTCTTTCCATCGTCCACATTCTAGCATCACAAGTTTCCAGACCCAGACATTTTTGCATTTGATAGAGATTGGAACCGAACAACAATTTTCGGAGGAGGAGGGGATCAAGCGGAGCAAGTTCCTGTCAAGAAACGAGCAAGGCTTGCAGCATTACAGGCCGCATCGACAGCGTTTTACGGGCCGAAAGGGGCTTTGCACGCGATGGAAAAGTGCGAGGCCTACATTTTCCCGTCGCAACTCTACGTCCGCAAGCGAGAAAAGGTGGAAAAATTTTTCGCATCAACTAATACCTCTAGTACCAGCATGACAAATCCGCACTCTCTACTACCTTCCGCAACACAAAGTAAAATTCTCCCGTCGTGGGCGAATTTTCCGGAAAAGATGTACGACGCGATGCACTATGCATTGCAAATAGCATCATGTCTGGGCCACTGAATTTGTCGTGCAAAATTTCAAGCACAACATGATCTGTGATGCAGGAATACGAGTCGCTAGCTCTACTCTATCTTTTTTGCCATGCTGTGAAACTCACTTGGAGTTTGTGATGTGATTTACGAGTGAAAGAAGCCTGAAAATAAACTTCTGATGCTGTTACGCCGGGGTGCAACCGGCTATTCTGTGGCGCGAGTACTTAATATTTATCAGCAGCACAATTGTACATGTACTCCAAGACCGAGACCCAGATCGTGGATATTTGCAGTGCATAGGCACCCATTAGGTTTTAACGACAACGAGGTGGTGATGACGGTTCGGGTGTACGCAAGACAAGTTCCGGTTCTCATTATCCCGATCGCTGTGTCTTTGCTGTCTTTCACAAATAAGGGAATCGTTTTTGGACCGACTCCGGAGCAAGAAGGCTGTGAGGAAGTGGAGGAAGATGAACCGCTGCGGCCCGAGGAACAGCAGAGTAAAAACAAAATGGAAGATTTGCAGCAGTTAGATACGTTGGTAAAAACCGGGCGAATTTCGTATCAACTGCGGAAACGGATCGAGCAACTGGCAAAGATAAGTCCGGAGATGTTGGTAGAACAGAAAAAGAACGAAAACACAGTTGAAAATGCTGAAGCAACTACATCCAGTGGAAGTTCAGCAACAGCAACACAAATTCGTCCATCTTCGGCCGCAGTAGACATGGTAGCAGCTTCCCCACGTAGTTCAGCATCCCGGTATTGTCCTGCTGATACTGACTATCCGGAACAACCTCTTCATCTTCCCCTCACAGCCTCCCACCGGGCATCAAAAGTCACCCCGAAAGACTATTGTAAGGGAAAATCTCCCCTCCCCATATCGAAAAGGTAGATCTCAGAAAATCGTAGCCGGAAAAGGTAGATGCTGATTTGTGACCTCAAATCGTCTCTGTCTTGCAAGAACGCAGCTCCACAGTCTCCGCCGCATTCTGCAGGCGGTTTGTGATGCTGGCGGCCCTACAGACTAGACGTTTGCCATGCTCAGCGCCTAGCCCAAAACGTCTCTACTCAGTCTTGACATGGGCCTACAGTCCTCTCCAGCAAGACAAATCTGATTTGTGTACCCAAATCCAGCATCAGAAGCCTCGTTTTGATATGCTGGGGAAGGGGGATTTTTCCGTTTGATAAAGACGCGACCTGCCGGCACCTGTACGCGAAGAAACTAGAGCTGATGAACGAGCTCAACCTATCCTGAGTAAAAACGTACCCACAGCAGAGTTGTAATGCAGATTGGCAAAGACAGGAAGACTTGTAATGCGCATCCCCATGAGAGCCATTGCCAATCGTGTATTGGAATTTGTGACGCTGTGAACAGGATGAGCAGATGAATCTGTGATGCGGCTGCACTTGCTAAGCTGCACTACACTGCGGAGTGCAACTTGTCATGCGTGACTCCCAAAACTCCTAGGTTTGTGTTGCAAAATCCACATCCTGACTCTGGTGTGGGAACGTTTTTACTCAGGATACAACCCCCGGCCGGCGCAGAGAAGGATCAGCAGAATAACCGGGCCGATGAAATGGGTGAACGAAGCGGAATTGTAGGACGGTGCAAGAAGCGATTGCAATGATAGTGCGGGGGAGCCAAAGGTGGACGGGATGAAAACAGCAGAAGCTCGTTTCTAGCTTCTAGGTTGGGAAGAAGAGGAAAATTTTGTGATGCGGACACAGCCTCTTGGTAACCTTTTCATTGAAATAAACTGGGGCAATGAACCAAGTTCGATAGTACCTCACGTATAGTTTGGGTTTCAAGGTTGTATCGACTTTGATTGTTGATACTTAAAATTAGCTTGTGGTTACTTACATTTACCACTGTACAGTAACTTCAGTTTCTTTAGGAGCTTGCTGTATTAGCGCCAGCTTGTACGATTCGGATTTTTCATATATGGAAAAGAGCGTCATCATCAGCGAGAAGCAGCTTGGATGGAACTGCAATCCAGGACACTAGTTGCTTGTTCAGTCCTATTCTGCTACTGTTCTTGCACTTGCAATGAGCAATAAAAGCGTTGTGCTGGGTTGCGGTGCAGCTCTGTGGTCTTGGCTAGACCGTTTTTGTACACTGCTACTACCTAGTCCGAGGGGAATAAAAGTTGAAGCGGCAGTAGAGTGGAGGTCAGAGTAGACCATGCTGATCTGGTTCTTCGTAATCTTGGCGCAGCGGCCAAAAATTACAAACAACTAACAACCGCAAGGAAGTCAACAAGAAGGGCCTTTTCGAATTGATGGCCTTCCTCTCCTTGCTTCTGCAGAAGAGTTGTATTTCAGTGTGCATCAGTCACTCATATTCAATCGATGTTCTGACGGTGCCGAGCCTCCTGCTTATATATACGATGAGTCAGTCGAAAATGATGTCGATCCCCATGTTGAGAAAAAAGATGGACCCTGGTGAAGATCCGCGTGCGTGCAGCGTAGATGTACTTATTCCATAGCTTTAGTAACTGCGTGTGCGTCTAGGTATGAAAGAAAGACTTTTGCCCATAAGAGTCTTGCGTTACATAGCAGTGCGAGCGCGAATTTTCAACACATACACATGCAACGTAAAGTAAGCAACTTTGTTTTTTTTGACTCTTGCTGCTAAGTATTCCTTTTGTCTTTTTCTGGCTGTTTTTTCAGTGCCTGAAACAAGTATAATTAAGCACTAGTATTCACGTACAACGGACGAATTCTTCATCTACACTGGATAAGTAAAGAAAGAAAGCTGTCTGCTCTATATTGAGTTGCTGTTTCATCTTCATCTTCTCTCTCTCCCAAGATCTTGCATGTTTTTTTCCCAAGCCGGATCTCGTTCCTTTTGGATAGTAGTTTGCAACTTATTTGCGATTTCTTGCCCCCGCGTTGCCGAACTCAAAATGAAAACTTGCCCGCCGACCAATAGATACTCAATGAAATGCAAATGGTGCGAGAACTACTTGAAGTACCACAATACCCTCTGACTTTTGCCGCTAGCTGGACTAATTTTATATTTTGTCGACAAGTTATCTCGCATGCTACCTGAAGTTCTTTTTCTTTGCCGAGAAGATATTTCAATATTTGAAACCAATGAAGATTCCACACGGGTCGATTCTTCTACTGAATTTCAACCAATCCGAATCTAATAGGGTATTTCTTGAGTCAATGGGGAAGGTAAAGAAGAAAAGACACTTTTATTGATTTCTTTTGATGTACGACACGATATTCATTGTTTGAGGAGGCGGTATCTGATTTTGAAGTACAACATCTCTGCGAAATAAGTAAAATACTTGAATGTATGGGGTATAAAGTAAATCGTTGCGGAGGCGGGCTACGTACTAAAAAGTACCCTATTGAAATAAAGTTCGATAAAAATTTCTTGTTGTATCGATATAATTCTTGTTTCGATTTCTTACTCTTAAGTTGAAATCTCATCCACTACAAATTAATTATACCATTACGCCTTTAGTACCATTTACCAAAAATGATTTTGCTTTTGTTCCCTCTAGATCGCGAAGGTCCTCCCGGTGGACACCGACCACAGTATCACCGACCACAGTGTGCAGCGGGTTAACTTTTCCAGTGCTTCCGGCTGTAGTTTTCCAGGGGAGACGAGAAAAAGCTAACAGCTAAAACGACCGGGGTCCTCGGGGCTACTCGTTGTTCTCTCTAAATACTTTATTGCTGCACAGAGCTGCTCGACTTGGATTGTATTTGGTGCACCGGAGCGGCGACTACACTTTTTCTTTTTTCCTGTACCAGACCGAACGGCGCCACCTGAACGAGTTGTTTTCGGTGTGTGTAGAAGTGCTTTTTTGGAGGGATTGCTTCCTTGTCCCTCTTCAACATCTTCTTCACATCCGTACGTAGTTTTGATTGCGGAATAAAGGCGACGACGAGGAAGGAGTCTTTGCCACCAGCTCATTGAGTCCACCTCGTCCTCCGCAAAGGAAACAAGGAAAACAGGAGTAGACTACTTGAGTGAAAACACCAGCGGCCTTGAATTACTAACTTATTAGCGACCCAGATTCACACAACCACAGCCACAGCCACACCTGCAACCCGCCGAAAGAAAACATCACCATCCGACGACAGAGAACACAGCAATACGCATACGAATGCACTAACTCTTTGTCAACACCGTTGACACAAGTAAACAACAACTTCAGGAGAATAAAGATTATATCAGGTCTTGTTTTAGAATTCGAACTAAAAACAAAGCGACAAAGAATATAAAGCGACATAAAAACAAAGTTATCTTCTATCAAGCGACACCAGAACTACAATCAGTCGAGTCTTGTCTCGCCTGCTTCAACCTGATCACGACAAGCGACTACGATAAAAACTATACGGAAGTAGCTGTGCTGGAGCGGCGTAATAATTTTTACCGTCAAGAATATAAGTGATTGCTTTACCATTTCCAGCGGAGGTGCAGCTCCTACGCGAAGTACATCAACTTGTTTCGGCGATCTGCCGATTCAGTGAGGAAACCGCTCGTGCTGGTTCTGGCCTTCTTCACAGAAAGGAAATCCTGCAGCTTTTCCAGCACATCTTGGTGCCCTGGACCCGAACCGAGTTCCTGAGTTTTCAAGGTACACTTTTTCCTGTTTGTCGCAGCTTTGGTTTTTACTTCCAAGGGTAGTTGATAATGTACACGACGAGGACGACCCTTTAGCACCAGTTGTTGTCAACGATTGTCGGGTTGATTTGAGAAGCGTATGCTTTCTGATTCTCTGGAAGCCGCAGTGCTGCTTGTTTTTTTCAGCTTGGATGAAGAAGAGAATTCAATGGTGGAAAAATATCAGGGAAATTGGGGTTCTGGTTCTCTTTCGTCCTGCTTCCACGGACGGACTTGGTCCAGTTCGCGCTATAATCTTACGAGCTGGGTGAAAAAAGCTACGACGACCACGAATCCGATGGCCGCTTCGCTGGAAAAACTAACCTCTTCGACGACGGCCGCACAATGCGTGCCATTTAGTGTAGCCCTACCCGGCGCGCCGGCAAGGGGACAAACGACCCCTACGCGGTCTGGAAAAAATTATGCAACTACAGGTCGAAAAACAAAAACTACAAGCAAGAGCAATGCACAAGGATTAGGAGCCTTTGCACGACCCCGCACTAGAGGTACTAGAGCTGCACGACAAGGAGGGAGGAACGTCCTACTTCTGCAAGCGGGCAGATTTTTATCTGGACGTTTCTACCCAGGAACAAAGTTATTTTACGAAGTTCTTGTCCTAAAACTGCTCTTGTTCGCCATCTCGATCTCGAAAATCGTCTTCCAGGACGACAACTCCTGCTTCTACTGGTGGAGCAGAACAACTTCTGCGACAACTTCGACGGCTGGCGAGGACGACCTGTGTTACGTTTACAACCCCGAAGATCATTTTCATCTTCCAGATGGCGAAGTAGATCATGCTGGTGAAGATGTAGAAGTCTGCTCTGGAACTTTTTCGTCGAGCTTTATTGGGTTTGATTCACGACCCCTAGAGCAACAACTCTTCTTACCCGTAGGAGTCTCAGCGACCAAGCTCGGTCGGCGAAAAAAGCTACAGCTGTCTAGGACTGGTGCATCAAGGCCCTCTTCGCCGGGTGGCCAAGAAGGTGGCGTTTCCTCATCTCAACAGGGTGAAGATGTTAACATTACTTCTTCGGCACAGGATATTAACAGGAGTTTAACGTCATCATCTACGACAGCACGAGAACGTCGGGCAGAACGCTCTGTTGGTTCGCCAGAAGAACAAGCAGAGCTACCTTCGGATATTTATCATTATGCGACCTCTCCTGTAGCTCTCCCCGCTGCCGGAACAACGCAGGAGATCTTCTTGGGAAAAGAACCAACCGCCCCACCTGAGGAGCTGCCCTGTTGCAGCACCAGCAAAACGGAGGAGTCTGCTGCTACTCTGGCTCTGTCGCAAGTCGATCAGGGAGGTACTACTAGTGGTCCTCGTGGCCGGCGGCGTCGCAGAAAGCATCATGATCACCAGATGACCGAAAAGAATACTACAAGCTCTACTTCTCAGCCGTCACAACGGGACCTGGATATCGAGGTGATTCGCCAGCAACTCTCGGAAGACGAACGCATGCAGGCCTTTTCCACTGCTCCTCCTACCTCCAAGAATGTAAAAAATGACCAAGGCGAACAAGCGACTGCATCAAATGTGAAGCGCCAACTGCGGAAGATGAAGCGGGAGGTGGAGTCTCAGGATCTTCCGCACGTCGGGGACACAAATGATCTTCAAGATCGTCATAGTCCACGAGGTCTAGAAGAAACGTCTTCTAGTTCTACCTCCCACTTACACCAACGGAGCCACGAGGGAGATGAAGAACTTCTTCGGGCCGGCGAGCGACACTCCCGACACAGCAACGCCGCCGCAGGGTCAAATGCCGACGCCAGCAGCTCTAGTAGTAGGCCGTCTTTCGCATCGTCGCATTTGGTGCAACACCGCCAGCCGCCCAGCACCCCGGTCGTGTTGGCCCCCGGCCGCACTCCTGGGAAAGGTGAAGATGAACCTTTTGATGTTCAACAGCATGATCGTATCACAAGAGGCGAACAAGAGAGCGGTAGAGCCGTGCTTGAGGACCCAGCGAGGACATCAACTCAAGATGATCAAGAACGTGTTCTACAACAACCTAAGCCAACTACATTTGATATGATCCCCGGCGGTGAACCTAGTTTCTCATTTCCACAAGACCAGCAGGATAAGATTGTTTATCCACATGGGCAACAAGAACAGCATGATCAACAGCTCCAGTTGCGCAGTTCCGACAGGATGGAACAAAAGGACGCACCCTCGCACATTGAACAACAGCCGCGAAATGACAGTGCCAGTCCCATAGCGAGGGTAATCGCGGCCGGGAACACACCACTAGTAAATCACGGGGGCCAAGAACAGATCATGGATGGCCAGCAGGGGCTGATCCAAGGAGCAGATCTGCCGCCCACAGCAGGCACAGCTGCTTTATCCAGTTCAGGCACGACATCGTCCCCGCTGCACAAAAAGACAACGCGCGGGACGTCGAGCGCCGGGTCGTTGTACCACGACTATCAGAAAAGTACCAAGCAGAACTTCTTATTCCAAGCGAGCAGCGGTGGAGGTTCTTTCCTAGCTCAACATGATCTGCAACTGCCACCTTCTCCACCGTCCGGAGCTGCGCCCGCGTTGTTTTCTGGTTCTGGTGGACAGATGAGGAACGCCAGCATGATATCTTCAAAGGGGATCATGAGAAGTTGCCCTAATCATCGTGATCCAACAACATCTTCTGAGGACGAATTGTCCAGACTACCAGACATACCATTGTT